ACAATTTTAGTTACGTTCATAATTGTATGGTCGTTTAGTTTGATAATTAAATTATGATTTAAGATATATTAGCCCATTAAAGGAAGCCTAACCCAATCCGGCCCAATTTTATCTGAAAACTTAGTAGGCCTGATCGGCCCGGAATATCAATGAAGATACTGAGGTTCTCTCTCCCGATGGTTCAAAATTCAAAGTTCAAACTTTAACCCAACCAATATTGTTGGGAAATGAAATCACACCATTTTCATAGAGTGCAAGTACTATTTCAAATTATGATCTGGACAATATTATGAAATTACATTACATAGTATTTTAAAAAATTACATTAACCTTTAATGTAATTTCATAATATTTAATTTCAATTCTTAAAGGTTTAGATTTGATTTCTGATAGATCTGGACAATATTATGAAATTACATTACATAGTATTTTAAAAAATAAAAAATAATTTGACTAAACATACAATTTTAGTTTATTCATGAGTAAACTACTTATAGACTAATCCATAAACCTTGTGATTCAATGCAACCCATTTAATTTAAAAGGTGTTTTCATTAAATGATTTGAAAAAATAAATTCACCCATTAATGCACTAATAAATCGTTTCAGTTTAGTTAAGTCGTTATTCAATTTGATACTTCTAAATTCTATTGGATAGAAATGTACTTAATACAACTTTATAATTTTAATAGCTGTTTGTTGAATGAGGACGTGAGCAGCTAGGCAGAAGGGTAAAAAAATCTCACTTATATCAAAACGTTACTAATCTTTTTCTTTAATTTTGTGACTGAATAATCATATCACTCATATGTCAAATCAAAGTCTATGGATATACATGTTTTTGCAATAAGAAGTAAAATACAACATTGTCCCGACAGATCACTATGGCCTGTAAATTGTCCTATATCAAAAGCAATCAATTTTCGAATGATATATGTTGATCAGTCCAAACAATTTATTACAAAACCAACATTTTGGGATCAATAATGTCATGCGAATTGGTTCAAAACTATCTTTAAAGTGAAGGTAAAGTATTACAGTTTGCTTAATTATTTCTCGAGTTTGATGATTTCGACCGTAACATAAGCTAGCATGTTAGACTCCGATATTCCTCAAAAATAGCAGCTAAATTACTTATCTAGCCGTTTTTAAGATGTCATTATAATTTCTTGCAAAAGCATATATATATAGCCCAAAAATACGTCACTAATGTATATGATTTCTGTCCTATAGCTGTCCAAAAATGGAGAATTTATTTCAAGACAAAAGAGATTAATTCATCAAACATTACAAAGTATTATAATAGCGATTTTTTTGTTGTTAAAAATTTGCCGATAAACATGGACCGGAGCGTCAACGTCTTGGAAGATTTAGTTTAAAGCAGGAGCACGTTCCTCACTAACTCAGTTTTTGACTTTTATTTGGTGTCCTACAACTAAAACTCCCAACCAACTCTCATTAACTGCAGTTCCAACTCATTAAACAAAAATAGCATTTAGGACCAATTAATCGCAACCATTGATTCCTTTATAATAAGACCAATTTGGGTGTTAGTACATCGTGAAATAGACCCGCCAGTTGTAAATAAAAATGAACATTAGCATTAATGAAGAACCAATTACTGCACTATAATTTTCTTGGTTAAGGTTAGCAAAGAATATTTAAATTATAGATTTGACTGTTTGATCAAAAAAAAAAATGTTATAGATTTGACTTAGCTACACTGAATATATGACGAATAAGTTTCGTTTGGAATAAAATTTTGTGGATGAATCTAGAATCAAAACCCCTTACTAGATTCATCATGCATGATGTATGTACACTTGTCCACACAAAGATGTTTATCGTTCTTGTTTCAACGATTTGGTTACAAATATCCGTGAAGGCGTGAACAATGAAAATTTCCTAAATTGATAAACATTTTTATCTTCGTGACGACTAAGTGATGAGACACTTCTCACACGTACCATGCTCTTGTCTACCGTAGCTAGCCATATCTGCTCATCACTTTTTTTATTTTGCATAGTGAGTTATTTCTTTACAATTCACCAATAATTTTTTTTTTGTATAGCTCTAGATATTCTAAGCAATGAGAGAAATGTTTTGGGATTTCATAAAATTGAATATTATTTGTTATACAGTTTTTGCATACTTAACATATAAGCATTTTAAAACGCGTACTATCATCATATGATATTTGATCAAAATAGTACTAATCTATAAACACGTTAACATTATGTATTAAAAATTTTGTGTTTCTTTCAAATTGTACATTTTACAAAACTTTTGTGGGTTTAGCTAACTTTTTGTTGATAAATATCTATCAGCTTGTAGAAGAGGGAACCTTTAATCGTGCTAACACGGATCCGATCCATTTAAAGTGCTTGTATAGCAAAAATTGATCGGACTATTTATTGCATTAATTGGTATGGTCACGTTAATAAATATTATTACAATGCGATTGACGTTAACGTATGATGTTACTGCTAACAAGAATTCAAATCAAATTTACAAGAAAAAGGTTCAATTCAAGCCACCATTTTTGCTTCTTTTTTTTTTTCGCTTCACAAAAAGTTTGGATTAGTGAAGCATACTCCTACACTCTCTTTAGGGATCGGACCCCTCTCTGTACTGTTATGTCGGCTGGTGTCCGCACACCCTACGCAGTATTATTTATTTATACTTTCATTTAGAATTTTTTTGCCAACATTTTTAGTACCTTGGAATATAGCTAGCGTTGCTCAAATAGTTTCACCAATAAATTGGTTAAAAACAGACGATATTTTATACAATGTACTTTCTCTGTTTCATTTAACTCTTATATTCACTTTATTTTTCTCTTTCAAAATAAATGATGTATGCAAAGTTACCTCATTGTCCCAGTTTATCCCTATTATATTGTTTAATTTCCATACTATTTGTAATTGTTGATTGTAACATATACAGTAAAACCTCTATAAATTAATAATATTGGGACCAGAAAATTTTATTAATTTAGAGAGGTATTAATTTATCGATAAATTAATAATTATTAATTTATAGAGAGATTTTCCTAATTTGGTAATTTCTTAAAACATTTCTTTCTAAAATAAAAATTTTCTTTATAAGCACTATCTTTTTAAAACCAATTGCAAGTAGAGAAGCAATTATTAAGTTTAAAAAACAACACAAACTTTTTTCGAATAATAGAGTCATATTTTATTAAAAATTTTACATATAATATTTTTAATATATATCATAGTAATTCATATATGACATATATAAATTTATATCATATATATTAGGTTAAATATACATATATATATAGATAATTTTATATAATTATTAATTTATAGTATAGATGGGACCATATGTTTACATAGGATTTTCAAAAAAATTATTATCTTATTAATTTATCGATTTATGTCATATTTTACACTGGTCCCAACTCGGGACCGGAAGAATTTATTAATTTAGAGAGGTTATTAATTTATAGAGTATTAATTTATAGAGGTTTTACTGTAGATACTTATTTTTTTTTGCACTTTCCTAATAATCGTGCAATTAACCAAAATCTATTTATTTTGAAACAAAAATTAATATTCTCCGCTTTACGATAAAAAGAAATTAGACATCATGCAATCACTGTTTTAGAATTTCAAAGTCATATTTATAAGAAAATATACATTTTTTCCCTGCATGTACATGCATGTAAACAGATGAAATATCAGTTAACAAACAAATCTGAACATAGTTTTATGTACATATGATGATGAAAAAGTTTAGACCATTTAACAAAAAAAAAGTTTAGACATAGCAAATGGATCCTATATCTTTCAAAGTATGCGACTTATAATTAGTGAAACAAATTTGAACATAGTTTTACGTACATATGATGATGAAGAAGTTTAGACCTAGCTAATGGATCTTAATCTTTCTAAAGTTTGCGACTTAGTAAAACATCAATTCATAGATCGATTCACAGACGTTATTATATAGAAAACTTGCCTGCCCACATAATGTAATACGTACCATTTTCTCGAACTGACATTTGAACCAGGCAACCAGCGATCTCAAATGTAACATATGATTGTGTAATATCATTTTTGTATGATGAATATGTATAATTGTATATGTATAACAAGACTTATGGCGCACGTATCAGCCACCAGGGCTGCTCGTTTTGATTATTACATGTCGAAAAAGTTTTCACAAAGAGTCCGCGTGAAATTAATGCCCCAACCTAACTTTCCTCACTTATTTTCCACTCCTTCCATTTTTTAAAATTTAATCTTTGAAATGAAAGATGTCTTTGTATGCGATCGACTTTACCAATCATACACCTATTGTTACAGTTTTTTGACGGAAACGTAGATTTCTTTGTAGGCATTATTCATTTGAGTTAGACAATAATCAATTCTAGACACTGTTAGAAAACATAGCTTAGCTGCCAAGACGACTATCTAGGCAATCAACGGTGTTCTTCCGTCGCAAATAGTCCCAAATCGACTATACACCAATCTTATCACACAACCGAATCTTACATATCTAAGATTAAATTCAGAACCATAATGTCCAATTTACAAGAACCATTAAACAGTAATATACAAGCAGATGATAGATTTCTTCGAGAAAAAAAAAGAATTCTACCAATCAAACGATAGAATCGATCGTGTTTGAAATATTATATCAATACTATCGTGATCAATAATATCTTATAACGCAGTTATTTGTGAGACGACAAATCCATGTACCACGAAAATACATTTACAGAGTAGTTAATTTCTTTTTTAATCCCATAAGATGTCATTAACTACAGTTCTCTATTTTTTTTGTGCAACCAACTATAGTTCTCAAAACGAGACACCTAAACAAATACAATTTATAATTGGACCCACCGATTTTAAAGTAAAGTATGCCACAAACTTTAAAAAGGCTAAAAAGAGAAAATAAAATATAAATACACTTACGTTTCTCAGACTCCATATATAGGACTCAAAACTTCTCTGGATTCTTCACATTTCACAACTACCACCACTCCTACACTAACACTTATATCACCAACACATTGTATTCTACTATACATAAAATTCAGTTCCTAAGTATATTTTTTTGGTTGTGAGATCGATGGAGAGTTACTTGAGGAAATTGTGTTTAGTTTCTGTGTGGGTTTTGCTTTTAGGTTTAGGGTTTAAGGTAAAAGCAGAGCCTCAAGTTCCATGTTACTTCATCTTTGGTGATTCTTTGGTTGACAATGGAAACAACAATCGTCTCAGATCTATTGCAAGAGCCGATTATTTCCCTTACGGCATCGATTTCGGAGGCCCCACCGGCCGTTTTTCCAACGGAAAAACCACCGTCGACGTTCTCAGTAAGCCCTTAACTATATCTTTCTTCTTAAAGAAACAAAAGCTTTGTTTCTTTTTTTGACATGACTTGTGTAATATAATGAAGCTGAGCTACTTGGATTTGAGAACTACATTCCTGCGTATAGTACTGTGAGTGGCCAGCAGATACTTCAAGGAGTCAACTACGCATCTGCAGCTGCTGGAATCAGAGAAGAAACCGGTGCACAATTGGTAACAAGAACAACATTTTGATATATCTCTTTGGCTCTCTGTTTCTGTTTAAGACTAGAAAAAATTGTTTTGACTTTTTTTGTTTTGTCTTGCTTTTGGCAATGAAGGGACAAAGGATAACATTTAGTGGGCAAGTAGAGAATTATAAGAACACAGTGGCAGCAGTGGTGGAACTTCTTGGAGACGAGAACACTGCAGCAGATTACCTGAGGAGATGCATTTACTCTGTTGGTATGGGAAGCAATGACTATCTTAATAACTACTTCATGCCTCAGTTCTACCCCACTAGCAGACAGTACACTCCTGAGCAGTATGCTGACGATCTTATCAGTCGTTACAGGGAGCAGCTTAATGTAAGTTTTATCGACTTAAATGATGTTTAATTTGGGATTCCTCTGTTTTTTTTTGTATCCTAGATCCTCATTTTGGGATGGCCTATTTTATGATATGATCTTTAGGAGTAATTTAAAGTATATTTTCACTTGAACCTTCCTTGTTTCACAATCTTTCTTATTTTGTGTGTTTATAAAGGCGCTATACAACTATGGAGCTAGAAAGTTTGCATTGGTAGGAATTGGAGCCATTGGATGTAGCCCGAATGCGCTCGCACAGGGCAGTCCCGACGGAACAACTTGTGTGGAACGTATCAACTCCGCCAACCGAATCTTCAACAGCAGGCTCATATCTATGGTCCAACAACTCAACAACGAACATTCCGATGCCAGGTTCACTTACATCAATGCTTATGGCGCTTTCCAAGACATAATCGCCAATCCCTCTGCTTATGGTATAGAAAAATCTTCATGAAACTTAAGTCTATATCACAAAACTATATTTTCTTATAATTTATGCGAAAAAGTTATAAAAGCTTCTCTTGATACATATATTGAGTTCTCTGAATGAATGTTTCCAGGGTTTACGGTTACGAACACTGCGTGTTGCGGAATTGGAAGGAACGGAGGTCAGCTAACATGTTTACCGGGAGAACCTCCGTGCCTGAACCGAGATGAGTACGTGTTTTGGGATGCATTTCATCCTTCGGCTGCCGCAAACACGGTCATTGCACAAAGATCTTACAATGCACAAAGATCTTCCGACGTTAATCCCATTGATATCTCGCAATTGGCACAGCTTTGAAAGGACAGAGAATAGGAGAGTTTTTAAACAGTTGTATGCTTTTCAGGTTCTAAATTGAATTCTTGGAAATATTTCTGAAGTTATATGTGTACCCAAATTGTTCTACTTTATAAAAAAAAAGGGATTGCGTTCTGCGAGTTACTTCAACATTGCTTTTTTTTTTTTGTTTTTTTTATTTGTAATGTTGTATTTTCATCGAGAAATTAAATTAAATTCAAGATGTTTAGTCGAGGATTTACTGTCTTAAAACATTTGCTTAGTTGAACACAGCTTGAATTCGCTGAAACTGAATCTAGTATAGATCGGAATTATTTTAAATTGTTTTGATCCTTTGATTTTTTATTAACCGTCATTAGTTTTAATACCTTATAAGAAAATTACATTAATCAACGATGAGTACAATGTAAGAAAGTAGACAGCAACATTTCTTTATGCTCTTGAAAATTTTCTTAGTTGATCCTCTCAGGGAAGCACGTAGTTCTCATCATCATCATACGTAATATTACATCCTCTACCAGGCTAAACAAAGCAAGCCCAAAAGTTATGAATCAAGCCCAAAAGTTATGAATCAAGCCCAATAGTTATCAATCATTTCTTGATTACGATATCAATCTAAAAACATGTAGTTAATACAATTAATACTCCATCCGTTTCGTTTTAGTTGTCGTTTAAGGTTTTTTCACACAAATTAATAAAAGCATTAAATTTTTTGTTTTACCCTTTATTAATATATTTTATAAAAAAATTCATTGGCCAAAACATTAAAACAGTAGGGATAAAACTGGAATTTTTACCAAACATTTGCATTGAAAATCTAAAACGACAACTATTATGAAACAAAATTTAAATCCTAAAACGACAACTAAACTGAAACGGAGGGAGTAGTTTTTATTTTTTGTCGTCTACTCTAAGTGCATCCCACCTTGTTTTGTTTTGTTTTGTTTTGTTTTGTTTCGTTAATTTAGGTTGTTGTTTTATTATGCTTTTATAACTGATACAATGACTAGGACTGGACACAGGTCATTAGATTTTAAGAGTAATAAATTATTTTTTAAGACATATATGATATATACACCATGGCATATATCTAGAACAAAAAAATGTATTTTACTATGAAAAAAAAAAAGATTTTCGTTGGTTACATTTTACATGACTCGGCTTGATAACCAATCAAATTTTCGTTTTGTTTTTTTTTTTTTTGGTAGGGACCGGGAGGCAAGGCCTCCCAGAAATTTATTAAACTAAAAAAGAAAAAATTACAACGGAATCATCCTTGGTCGAGTAGACCCAAGTGTATCTTCCCTTACAATCGAAACAACCTCCGTAGGAGTAGAACCGAAAAAATGAAAGCCTAGTGGCAACGTAAAAGCATGGTTAGCCAATCCATCGGCAAGACAATTGGCCTCCCTATACACATGATCAATCCGGACCGTCCAGTCCTTTGATATAAAGCCATGGCACAAGCGTACCAGGAACGACAGCGGATGCGACTCTCGAATCCCTGTCTTAAGAAACCCCACAACCAGCTCATAATCCACCTCCAAAATCACATGCGGCACCCGCCTCTCCCAGGCGATATACAGTCCATAATAGACTCCCCATAACTCTGCCAAAGGTGCGGAACACTTACCAAGGTTGACCGCAAAACCTCCACACCAGTTCCCGTCACCATCCCTTAGAACTCCACCTGCCGCTGCTAAGCCCGGGTTCCCCTTTGAAGCCCCATCCGTATTTAGCTTCATCCAGTCACCCGTAGGAGGCACCCAACCAATCCTCCTTTCCACACGACCACGCCGTCCTACCAGCTCTTCCCGAGATACATGGGCCATAGTCACTTCTTTAGCAAGCTCTCTAACAAAGCGAACCCTATCCCGGCACTTCCCATTCTCGCCAAAGATATTCCCGCATCGCCATTTCCACCCCCACCAAATGGCCATCGCAAACATAGTAGCCCATGGGATATCATCTACAAGTACTCCATCACACAAGTTATCGTACATCCATTCCAATAAAGACTTGTTAAAAAACTCATGCCTTCGCCGAACAGGTACAATTCTGGTCCAAATGCCCGCCAATGGCCGGACAATCTCTAAGAATATGTATGATAGTCTCTACTCCTCCTTTACAAACCTGACAAATATTGGAATCACATAGGTGTCTCCGGTGTCTCTCCTCATTGGTCATTATTGCTTGATTTCCCAACAACCATAGGAACACTCTAACTCTTTCAGGCGCCGTAACTCTCCATACACGACGATAAAAGGCACTCATATTAGGTCGTAGAGCCTGGTCACGAGTGATTAACGCATAGGCAGACTGCACCGTGAATTCGCCATTCTGGCTTTCTCCCCACGAAATGCGATCCTTCGCCCCTGTCACACTATCAATCACAATCGTCGCCAATTCCAATCTTACGTTCTGTGATACATGCGGAACAATCTTCTCCAACATCCAGCCAGACCCATGGCGCCATAGATCCTTTGCGGTCAGTGACTCATAATTCTCCGGCATCTCTCCACTCACTGACTCTAACAAAGGTCGATGTGAGGCCCATTTGATCGTTTTGTTAATCTAATTAGTCTATCTAGGTATTTTTTTTGTTTAATTTTTGTTTTTTGATTTTTTATGACCAAAGCCTTACATCAGCAATATTTATGATTCAAAACATATTTTTTTTTTGAGAGAACATGCATAATAAATGTAGCATTACCCTAAGCTAATTAAGAGTTTTCACCTACGATCTTAAATGGAAAGAGTTGGGAGGGAACATGGAAGCAGCACCGGCCTTGTTCAATTATGATACAAACAAGTCGTTGATTTATTCACATATAATCCACTATACCTTTCATTTATTGCCCAAACCTAATTCTTCACCTGTTTTCTTTTCACCCAATTTTCTTCCATTTCAAATAATTGGCATCTTTCAATTTTAGATATACATACACAACAAGTGACACCAATAATACACAATCTATCACGATTTTCTTTTCCTTTCGTATTTATTTATAAAATGACTTTTAATTGGCTCATTTAATATTCAAATTATGACAAAAGTTAGGATTTTGTACGCGGAAAAAAACTCTACAGCTGGTCAACGTTCAGAGAGAAGGACAAGTGGCTTTGTCAAAACCTACGACTTTGTCTTCTCTCATACTATTATAATGCAAAATATCTTCTTCTTACTATAACCAGCTGCAAAATACCTTTCTAAAACTTTTTTAAATGATTTAGACAATTCATATATTGAATTTAGATTTTAGTGAGGATACATACATATTAATCATTTGGCTTGCCCTAAAACTAATTTGGCTTCTTTTTTCTGCCGCTGGCTCACTTTGGATTTCTTGGGTCCGCTTAAACCTGATTGGAAGTAGATGCTTCTGGGACTTAAACCCAGCAACCTCTGGAAGTTGGATTTGGAGAAAGCTTTGCAAGCTTAGACCATTGGCTAGACCTTTCCTTGTCTGCGAGCTGGGGTCTGGCATTACCGCCAAATTTTGGCATGACAATTGGACTGGTCTAGGGCCTCTTATAGACATCACTGGTCCTCTTGGTCCTCAAATCTCGGGACTGCCTCTTAATGCTGTTGTTAGGGATGCGGTTCGGGGCAGTACTTGGAGGATCTCTTCCTCTAGAAGCCGCAACAATATCATCACCTTACTCAAATCCATTTTGCCAAATCCGGAGAATATGATTGAGAGCTTGCATGATGACTCTTATCTTTGGAAAACAGACCATCATGCTCCCTCAAACACCTTCTCAGCGGCAAAGACTTGGAGTGCTCTTTTCCCCCCGATGGCCACAGTCCCGTGGAGCAAATCCGTGTGGTTCTCAGGTAATGTTCCCAAACATGCCTTCATCTCTTGGGTCACTGCCTGGAATAGGCTGCATACCCGTGACAGATTGAGGAGTTGGGGATTAACGGTTCCGGCTACCTGTATTCTATGTAATACTATGCCCGAGTCTAGGGATCATCTCTTTTTTGCTTGCAGCTTTGGTTCTGACATTTGGAGACATTTCATGTCGCGCGCCGGCTTGAATCCGCCCAACCATTATATGGGCTGCCTCCTCTGGTTACAAAATGCTTCAAGGAACAAGAACATCAAGCTTATTATTCACCTCCTTCAAGCTTATTATTCACCTCCTTCACCAAGCTTCTGTTTACTTCATATGGCGTGAGAGGAACCAGCGCATCCACTCCGCATCTCCTCGTTCTGCGCCGTCGATAATCAAGGAAATAAAACTTATTATCCGGGCAAAGCTTGATCCTCTTTCGCGTGCTCAGCGAGTTGTGCCTCCTGCTTTAACCTTGCTTTCTACTTGGTTTTCTCTTTTTCAGTAAAGAAGCCCCTGCTGTCTCTCTTTTGGTGTAGTCGTTTCCTGTCAGGAGAAGGTTTGTTTCTTCCTGTTTGGGCCTGTGGCCTATGTGGGCTTTTGCCATGTATGTTTGGGCCTGTGGCCTGTTTGGGCGTTTGCCATGTATGTTTCAGTTTTTAATGGAAATTTAAAATGAAAAAAAAAAAAAAAAAAAAAAAAAAAAAAAAAAAAAATACATATTAATCATTGCAAAAATTATTTTATTGGTATGAGTCATGACTAAAAAGAAGTTCCGGTCGATAAGTCATAACAAGTGTTCCAAGTTTCGGTGAAATAAATCCTACTCTCCTATATGTTTAATTTTGATAATTACCAGTTTGTTGTTTGTTTGTTTTGTTCATAGTTCCTTCCCCAGTTCCTTTTAAGTTCCTTATGTTATTTAGTCTGTGATTAATCTCAATTTAGTTGTCGGCACATATACCTTTTAAATAATCGAATAAAAAGCCCTTGATAAATCTTGATTCTGATTATTGAATGAGAAAAAACTAAGTCACATTTTATTGGACCCACCAATCTTAAAGTGACTAGCCCTACAAAAATTAAATCTACCAAAATCACAAATATCTCTCTATATATACTTAGACAACTTCTTTGGACTTCTTCACATTCACTCATATCACTACACTTTCCATTATCAATATCTTTTTACTACTTAAAAAGATTTTGGTTTTGAAATGGAGAGTTACTTAAAGAAATGGTGTGTAGTGTTTGTGTTGTTGTGTTTCGGGTTTAGTGTAGTAAAAGCACAAGCACAAGCTCAAGTTCCATGTTACTTTATTTTTGGTGACTCTTTGGTTGACAATGGAAACAACAACGGTCTTATTTCTATTGCCAGATCCAATTACTTCCCTTACGGTATCGATTTTGGCGGCCCTACCGGCCGTTTCTCCAACGGCAAGACCACTGTTGATGAGACCGGTATGCATCCTTATTACAATCTATCTTCTTCATATAATTTAGTAGCTAGAGTTGTTGCTAATTACATAGTCTATGCGATTAGAATGTTAATGGTCCTAATCTACCATGGTTTTGACCTTTCTTTTTAATTTAATGAAGCTGAGCTACTTGGATTTAATGACTACATTCCTGCGTACAATACTGTGAGTGGTCGGCAAATACTCTCCGGAGTTAACTACGCTTCCGCAGCTGCTGGAATCCGAGAAGAAACCGGTCGACAATTGGTAATTAAAACATTAACACACTTTTTCTTAACTCTCTTCATTCAAAAATACTATAAAAGTTCCAACATTAATTTTTGGTTTTTTTTTTTTTGGAAAATGAAGGGACAAAGGATAAGCTTTAGTGGGCAAGTTAGGAACTACCAGAACACGGTATCGCAAGTCGTGCAGCTGCTAGGAGACGAGACTCGTGCAGCTGATTACCTCAAGAGATGTATTTACTCTGTTGGTTTAGGAAGCAACGACTATCTCAACAACTACTTCATGCCTACGTTTTACTCATCTAGCAGACAATTCACACCCGAACAATACGCTAACGATCTCATCAGTCGCTACAGCACTCAGCTCAATGTACGTTTTTTTTCTTGTGGCTAGTTTATCTCTGTTTTAGGTCATTAAACGATACAAAAGGTTTGGCTCTCTCGAGTTTTACCCATTTAGCAGTGATAGTCAGGTTTTTAGACGTATTCGTCCATCTTTTAACTTTCCTATTATGTCCCATCTCATTTAAATACGATTTTGTTTTCAATATGAAAATACGACTTTTGAGGCGGAGAATTACAAAAATAGCAATTTATAGTACAAGTTAAGGTCTCAGACCAATGAATTCAAACCCAATTTTGGTCTTCACTTGTAGTACACAATATAAAGTTTCTAGCTTAAGCTTTTTCTGAGTGACCAATCTTGTGAGAACTGGTTTCTTTTTTGGAAAATAATCTAAAGGATGTGTAGTAAAATTTCTTCAATTTTGTAAAATTTGCATCGGAGACTTACTTGTTTCACTATCATTTTTTTTTGGGGGAATTGGCAGGCACTATACAATTATGGGGCTCGAAAGTTTGCATTAAGCGGAATTGGAGCAATCGGTTGTAGTCCAAACGCACTAGCAGGCAGTCGCGACGGAAGGACTTGCGTAGACCGCATCAACTCAGCAAACCAGATCTTCAACAACAAGCTAAGATCTCTTGTTGATCAGCTCAACAACAATCACCCTGATGCAAAGTTCATCTACATAAATGCTTATGGCATTTTCCAGGATATGATCACAAATCCTTCTAGATTTGGTATTATATACACACACACAAGCGTGGTTTTCTTTTCAGTATGAAAGAAACCGAAATTGATATGTTTTGTCGGAAATGGTTCTTGTTTTCAGGGTTTAGAGTGACAAACGCCGGCTGTTGCGGTATCGGGAGGAATGCTGGTCAGATCACATGTTTACCGGGACAGAGACCATGTAGAGACCGCAACGCGTACGTGTTCTGGGACGCATTTCACCCTACCGAAGCCGCAAATGTGATCATCGCAAGGAGATCGTACAATGCACAATCGGCTTCAGACGCTTACCCTATGGATATTTCAAGGTTGGCACAGCTTTGAGGAAACAGAGAAATATAAGAATTATAAAAGTTCCACAAACCAATGTGTGATCTTGTTGTGTACCGTACCCCTTTTTAATATTTTCTTGACGTAATTGAAATCGAGTAAAACATTATTCTATATACATTCGATTTCTATACCAAGTTCATTACTCATACAAGTGAGTAATGAGAGGACATCGTTCACGGGAATTGCGCGTTACGGTTCATTTCGACAGTCACGATATCCAGTACAAAACACTTACCATGTTGCTTCCAGTAATCAGCCATCGGATTGATCCACTCTGGTTCAGCAATCTCCGCTCTCTTGTGCTTCAATTCATCTGTCGAAATGTTGTACTTCTCATCTCTTCTCTTCACCAACTCTGGCCTTAATACCCCTTGCCCCACCCCCTGAGGTGACATCATAAGTTCGGGTGCACCCATTGGTAACTTGTCACCTACAGAAACACACACAATAACCAATGGTTGGTCGGACCAAACTAAACCGGGAAAAATCGAACCCAATTCCGCACTAGAAATTTTGTGATTCTGATTAATGTTTGAATTAGTTAACCTGCGAGTCACTTAAACGGATAACTAATAGTTTAACCATACGATTAATCGGTATACTAATTAATAAAAGGGGTTTACGTAAAAGCTGTCCGGATTATGACCGATATTTAGAACAGAGACATACCTCGGTCTATCTGCCAGGTACACCAAAACTTTCCGTACGTTTTGGCTATGTTCTTGAGCTCCGGAGCAGCCACAACCTCAGGCAATCGTGGATAAGCCCACGAGCCTGACTTAACCTCGTAAGCATGAGAGTGCCAAAGCTTTTGCTCATCTTGAGACAGAGTTTCGTATAATCGGTCGGATATTACATATTCAATTCCTGTTACCAAAACTTTATAATAAGTTTTCAAAATTGGGCATTCGATGTGACTAACAAGAAAAAACGGTATGAGAAAAGAGTACCGATGAGAGGTGCATCGGAACGGTCAGAGGCGTAAACAGCACACTGAAGGAACTCGTCGTTGACGCGGTGGACGTAGTGGTGAGTCTCTATTTGCCGGGACATGTCACCACCATATATCGCAAAAGTAGAGACATGAGTGTTCATCTTCTTCAATGGTAATCGTCGCTGCATGATCGTTGATCCGGCATCAATCAGACGTGTTGAAACCGTCACCGGACCTCCAGGAGGCACCTGATCTTCGCTGCCGCTCGAAGCCATCCTTGATTTTCTTTTCTTTGCTCCAATTGTGTTTTGTTTTTTTTAGTATAATCATGGTAAGATTATATGTACATTTTATTTTATTTTTAATGATACTATGATACATGGCATTCATATCCCACAGAAACGTGTTACGAAATGGCCGTACATCGACCATGTGTTGAATCCGACTACAATTTACATATCTGATTTAATTAAATCGTCTACAAAACCAAACCGGACCAAAATTTAAAATCAACCAAACCAAACTCGTGTCGAACAGAACAGAACCGAACCAAACGGTTCCCATAAGCAACCGAAACATGTACAAGAATGATTCGCTGTGCAAAGAATGCTGACGGGAAAATTTCCCGGCCGCCGGAAAAACAAGAACTCATCTAAATCTCTCAATAATTTAGCAACGAATACTTCACACGCAATACAATCTTACCCTTTTCAACGCCTAGTTTTGCTCCAGTGACAAGCCAATGTCCAGGCAAATCCTGTGGTCCTTTCAACATCTCTGAAGAATCCACGATCTTGGCCAGTTTCCCTGATTGCCCTGACACGTCCTCTCTCTTTTCCTCGGTCGAACTCGATGTAGATGGACCTCCCGGTTCCAGTCTCCCTGAGGAAGCAACCGGTGTGTGGTCCCAGACGGACCGTCTTATTGTACATCCGGGGACTTTAGAGAAGAGTAGTTTCAAATGCAAAACGTTTTTTGATCCGAAATCCCAAACCCCGAGCTGAGCTCCGGTGACAATATGAACGCCTGAGAGATCGCCGATGTGGGTCTCAGTGTGTTCGATAGGCGAGGTGCTTACGTGAGAGAAGTTCTTCCATTTGATTGGCTCGAACCAGCGGCTATCTTGCTCCTCTGGTCCTTGCCATTTCGGTGCACCTATCGGTACGTGAGAGTCCCAGTGTGGCTGCAGGATTTTGGGGAGAGAGACTAAGTGTTGTAAATGAATAGAGAGACGGTTTTGTTTGCTTCCTTCTAAGCTCAGCCTGAGACCTGTGACTGGTTTACGCCCAACCGTTACCTGAAATACTCAAAGGCAATAGGCTTACTTAGTTCATCCATAAACCGAATGGTATCCAAACAAATGAATTGATCGCTCTGAGTTACCTGATCAGCACTGATGAACAGTTTCGGACCCATTAAGCTGAATTGGAGAGAAGAACACACAGGTTCTTTACGTTGGAGGTTACTCTGTTCGGGAGCCCAAGCTCGAGCTATTTGGAAATCCAAGAAATATTGTAAATCTTCAATAGGAGGCTTATCTGGTAAGAACATCAAGAGATTTGTTATGTTTATGAGAGTGTAAACCAGTGGATTCAAATGTAAAGAAGTTCCATTTTAAGATAGAAACTTACATTCCAAGTAAAGATCGATAGCTCGAGTCAGATGTTGTAAACCAGGCACACCTTTGAGCAGAGAAACAATAGGAGTAAAAGTCATGTTGATAATGTCTGGAGCTGCGGGTACTGTCTCAGCCCATCGAGCATGGCTTTGCTCAAGATCATCGCCTCCTCTTCGCCTAAATATTACTGTAATATCCTACAGGAGAGAGCTTTTTCAGCTAATATCTTCATTTAATCTGACTATAGATTAGTTTTTAAGAGGAATTGAATTTATTCACAAGAGTAATCTTGCCATGGCCCGTCACGTTGTACTAACCTTGTCTTTGTATTTTAAGGGGCCGGTAATAGATTGACTCTCTGCTTCATGAAACCTGTGCTCCGTCATCTCATTCACATAGTTTTCAATTTCAGATACCGGTAAAGGAGAAGACTGATGTTGTCTAATGTAAACTACGTCTCTTCCACCAATGGTCACCGAAGTTACAATATGAGTGCCGTAATTTTCAATAAAGCTGTACCAAAAGAGTAAAACAAGTGGAGAAACCACATAAGAATCATGATAAATGTCATCGATAATCACATTCAAGTGTAGCTTCCAAGAAAATTTATTCGGACTATCTTTTATTGGTTTACAACACTCAGCAAAAACTTGCTCTTCACCAAGATTTTAAAGTCCTTGTTTCATTTAGCCACAAAAATTATGGGTTCAAATGTTCAATCAAGACAACAAGAGGAAACTGACTATAAGTTCTTTAACATTCCATTGGTGTGAACTTTTGATGCCATTTTCATGTATAGTCTACATATAATATTGATTATAAACAGAGAGACCAGAACATACAGAACTGCAGAAAAAACGGTCTAATAAAGAGAGGAACATACCTAGCTAAGGAAGCGGGATCCCATGAGGAAGGAACAGCGCGTCTGATCTCATTGTGCAAATCCAATTTAAGATTTACCAATTTGACTTCATAAAGCGGGATAAAAAATCCAACCAGTGCAAGAGATTTTGTGGATGCTGCATCAACTTGCCAAGAACCCGTGTAATTGAACATTGCGTTAAAACATCCGAGTGGTATGTTCCCCTTTACACCTGATATCTCATTGAAGTATTCTGCCATCTGCCAACAAAGGTATATCTAATGAATAACCAGAAGCAAAACAGTATATTTCCACAAAGATATCTAAAACTCAAGACTCATTTTTTTCTCCCCAAAGACCAATCTTTATCCGAGAAAGAACACCAATATAAGAAAACGCATTGATCAGCACAAAAACCTGCTACAGCTATATCTGTTCTGAAATTTCCCTTAGCATCTAACTTGATCAAACACAATTGCCTCAGTCAAGTTAAAAGCTCAATGAAAAGTTTCCAAATTTAGAAAAGTCCAAAGTTAATTAGGGTCCTATGAGCCAGTGGTTCCACATATACACAGATCAAACATCATCTAACTGTAGATGCGTAGTCAAGACAAAGAGAAAGATTGTGTTAAAATTCAACAATGCCATTTAAATCATTAGCCAACAAAAAAAGTAGGTGAAAGTTACAAAATTTCACCTGATGGAAGCTGCAGACAGGGATTCTCTGAGTGCCAATTCGGCCGCGTGAACACTCAATATCAGCAGGAACATTAGGAAGAAGATACCCATCAGACAACTCAAGATCTCTGTTTTGTCCTTCTTCTATACGAACAAGTCTTGACCCAGGAGCTCCTTTGCAATAAAGAAGCCGAACATCAGATGTAACATCGAAACCACGACCCAGAGCTTGGATCGCATTACGGAGCGTCGTGGTCAAAGCTTCGGAGCTAGGTACGCTAAAGTTTCCTCCTTTACGATTCTCCATTTAAGACGCAAACAAAAAAATAAAACCTTTGAGATTAAATCTTGAAATGGATGATTGATGATAACAAACTAATCTAGGGTTTGTGAGTTCCTGAGGAAAGAAGATGGAGATTTTGAGCTTTCGATCGATTTAGTCTCTTACCAACACCATTGCTGGTTTTGACTATACAATAATCGTAGAAACCGCGTTTGAGATTTTATTGTTTTATTGTTTTTTTTTTCTGAGTGATATCAGGAAGATTCTTAGGTTGACTGGTCTTTTTTTTCTTTGGTTACTTACTAATTAGATCCTTTCTTCATTTCCAGACAGACAAATAGTTTGACTTTATGTTTTTAATTTCCCTTTTTTCTAGGGTTTTCAATATCATCATGTCTTTCTTCTTGAATTTGAGCATATGCTTTTCTTTTTCTAAGGAATATACAACATTTTACTAGTAAAAAAGTTTGTGTCATTATTTCAAATATTTCTTTTACAAACTATCTGTATATTTTGTATGTTGTTAACTTATTGTTATTAGATTGTAGTCCTTTCTTCGACTATATTTAAGACTACCTTTCTTCTTTAGCATTCCCAAAACACGTTGTAACCCAATTTTTCTCTCTATTGGAAAAAGATGTGGTGAAGTTTTAGTTTACTCTCTGCCATAGAACTAAAGCAAGTAATGTGCAGTGCAACAAAGAGCTAGGTTCAAATCGGTAACATTGTATATATAATACTACAATTATATAATGATTAAAAATAAAATTAAACCGCAACTAAAAGAAAATATGTGTATTGAAAAAATCATATAGTAAAACTATTTATGGGATTGGATAAACTTTGTGTATTGGTGGAATATAGTACAAAAATACTAATGTATACATATACTTAATCAAATAATACTTTTTTCTTAATGAATTTCAGTATGTCTTAAATATTATTTGATAAAATATATAAGAATATTAAAACTATACATATTAGAAATTATTAGAAAATTATGCACATTAAATATTATTCGAAATAAGTGACATATTTTCATTGTAAACTATTATTTTTTTGCTTTGGTAAAATGAAAAAAGTAACCATTTAATATAAAATTCTATACTATTATTTTGGAAGTACATTAAAGAAACTAACCTTGTCCTTTGTAAAATATTACTTAACATTGAAAATAAAATTTCAAAGAACAAATTAATACAACTCATTAAAACTAAACAAGTCAAATACTAATTTCTTTAATTTAATTAAATAATAGAAATGAGAATACATTATTAATTTTTAAAAAAGAATAACCAATCAAAATGAACATATAAGATTTGATATCTAACTTACCATATTAATTTGTTATTAATCATTATATTTCACCTTTCATCATCATATGATTCTATTTTTGTCAAACAAATAAATCATCATATCTGCCATATAATAAAAAAGTAGATTTTTTCGCATATGACATGATTTGATTATTTAAAAGTGAATATAAATTGTTCAATCTATGGAGAAAAAATTATAACGGGTCAAAAATTCATACTTAATTAATTTATTTTTTCTAAACAAAAATAAATTCATCAAAAATTCGAACTGAGTAACGGGTCAAAATTTGAATAATTATATTCAAAATTTTATATACTACAATAAATTTTTATATTTTGTAATTTGGAACTTTTAAAAACAGTCTAACTTGATATTTTTAAAGAATATCATAAATATTTAATAGATCAAAAATTAAAAAGTACAAATACTCTAATATGATTTTTTAAACAAACATACTTAAAATATTTATAGTAGGTGGCAAATTAAATGTTGTATTATATGATGGAATGAGTTATAATTTTTATAACTATTTGAATATTTATATTCAATTTCATACAATTTTTTTTGAAATTTGTAATTTTATATAGGGGCTTTTGCAAAAATGCCCCTTTTTCAATGCCACTTTTCAAAAATGCCCCTTCTTTAAAACCTTATAAAAAATGCTCCTAAAATATAAGATTTACCCAAATATGTATGTAACATTATTAAAACATACACAAATAAGTATCTAAAAATCTTATTTGTGTATGTAACATTATTAAAACATACACAAATAAGTATCTAAAACCTTTGAAAAACCTTTAAAAACCTTTAAAATATCTTGTAAAACCTTTGAAAAACCTTTAAAAACCTTTAAAATATCTTGTAAAACCTTTAAAAACACCTTATAAAATCTTATAAATACTTGGATCGAGTCTTCAAGTAATAGTTATCATCCATAAGTACCTTATAAACCTAATAAAATTTTATAAATTTTTCATATTTAAAAAGGGGCATTTTTGAAAATGGACATCTAAAAGGGGCATTTTTGAAAAGGGGCACACCAAAAGGGGCATTTTTAACAATTTCCCTTTTATATATTACAATAAAATTTTAAAATATTTTAATTTGAAATAGTTTAAAATAGTTTAACTTGATAATTTTAAATAATATCATAAATATTTAATATATCAAAAAGTAAAAAACTATAAATACTCTAATTTTATTTTTAATATATATACTTAAATATTTATATCATGTAGTGGGTTAAATGTAATGTATTATATATTTATATGATAGAAAGAGTTATGATCTTTATAACAAACTTTAGGTTATGATTATATGATGAAATGATTTAAGTAAGGTTTGACACCTCTAAATATTAAAGAATTTGATTCTGCAAGCAATGATGGATTGTGCAAGGAGTTTTTTTCATTGGTATTCTAAAATGAAAATATGGAATCTACGTACGAGTTAAATTTAGTATTATTATGTACTAAAATATGTTCATAATATATTTGATTATGCAAATAATTGCTAAATTCCATAATTAGCTTTAAAAAATCTTCATATCAATAACTAAAGTATTTTCTTTTAAGCGTCAACTTTTTTTTATAAAATAAATCTCCATTATAATATGCAAATTACAAGGCACCATGGTCCTTCACGGTCCACATGACCCAAAAACAACTAAATAATAACGACCAAAAGAGAAAAACTTGTATTAACTTTCTAATTAACTCAATCCAATCTTGTATGTATAACTTGTATTGAAAATAGAGAATAGTGAAATAGAGAATCTGCTGCAAGACATTGATTTTTGGAGAAAGAAGTTTAGAGATATAAGGTTCAATTTTGTAAAACGATCTTGTAACAGTGTAGCCGATAGTCTTGCTAAATTTGTTTGTCCAATGTCGTTTTTCCTTCCGGATCCATGGATTCCGCCAATGTGGCTTAAGGAACTTCTATGTAATGATTTGTTAACTTAATAAAACAAGTTCTTGACGTAAAAAAAAAAGTATAACTTGTATTAACTTTCTGAAAACTTGTATGAACCTTTTTAAAAAACATATATATACACAGTATACGTATACACCACAATCCAAACGACATGACGTTTGTCGTTTAAACTGATATAGATTGGGCCTTAATGGGCTTTGACTTTTCTTTATATAAAACCAATACAAATTTTCGGGATGTTGCACTTGGTCTCTTCTCCGAACATGGAACCTTCTTCTTTCTTGAAACGCGCGAAAGATTTGTTCTGCAAATCCGAGTACATCAAAGCTTTGGAGATAATTGAGGAAAACATAAATCTCTTCCAAAGGAATGATACGGTAGAGGTTAATTACCGACAAGGTTCAATCTTGAAGGCGTTAAACGAAGAAACGGAAAACATGGAGCTCAAGTTCATATACATGTTGGGTTCAGTAGAATGTTTTTCAAGAATTCCTATGGGTTCCGTGTATACGGCAAGTTTACTCTTCAAGATGGCTGAACAAACTGGAGCAGACTTGTATTACAAGAAATCACGAAACAAAGCAAAAGATTGTTTGTTTCGTCTTAGGCAACCTGAATTTGAAGACTTTGCTTCTGAATTCAACAGCAAAATTCAAGAACTTGAGTATATAATCGAAACTTCAGAGACAAGGATCGCTGTTTCCAAGATTCGCGTTGGGGAACAAAGTAAGGAGCCAAACGAACACGAAGAGACGAAGAACAGTCGTTTTGATTCCGTTGTTAATGGATTAAGGTCGTATTGGACGGGTTTGGATGTTGAGATCAAAAGAAACTTTATGAAAGTTATCACTGCAGATCTTAAAGCTAATGTCAAGATAACCGATGGCAAAGAAGGACAACAAGCTTTGGAGCAAATTCTCACTTACGCAAGGAAAAACGGAAAATGGAAACTTTGGATATGCCGTACTTGTTTGACAAGATTCTCTACTCCTGAAGAATGCACGAATCATCTTGAACAAGAACATGCTGCAGAATTTAAACCAAAGGATATGTTGCCTCAGAGGATTAGTGACGTCTGGGCTAGTCAGATATCTGTTGGAGGTTGGGAGCCTGTGAATGCAGCAGCTGCTGTTGAAATGATCAAGAATCAGCTCGAAGATGTCAAGAAATTTTCATATGAGAATGGATGGTCCAAAGACTGGCCTCTAACTGTGGATGAAGAGCGTAGTAAGTTACTCAAGGAAATCAAACAGCTCCTTGTGTTGTTCTGTGACGTGAAAATTCTCTCATGTAGCATTCGAGACAGGGTTATGGATTTTGTGGCTAAGAAACTTGAAGTTGAAGTTTCCAAAGACAGTCTTACTTATTCTCGTCTAGTTGAAACACCTCAGGGTATCTGTTTGCTGGAATGTCATGAACTTAATCAAATCAAGGCCTTTCTAAGAAGAGTCAAGTGTGAAAGGGATGATGGTACAGATGTGGTTCGCAGAGCAGTGGACAGTTTCTGCAATGCTACTCGATATAGAGAGAAGCTGGACTTTGACTCTGATTTTTCGACTCTGCTTCTGGATAAGAGACTGCTGCAAGGCAAGGTTTCTCGATATGATGATGAAGGTACAGTCAATGTTTTTGATCCTAATGTTCACTACGCTAAGGCACATGCTAGTGGAGATGATTATATGTCCTGGTTAAGCGACTACTCTTCGGGACATACGAGTTTTCGATTCCCGAGACCTATCAGGGCACACAATCTTGGTATTTGGGTGGCTGTTATGAGAGCCGTTCAGTTCACGTGTAGGTCTTTGGCCACCAAATATGCAAAGAAGTCGCAGCTCCTAGATCATGAGACAGCCCTTAGTGACGTCAGAAAGTTGTGTAGCAGTGAAGATGATAGGAGAAAGAATCTTAAGACAGATGAATGGAAAAATTATAAATCTGTTCTGTGCGACACATGTGAAGAAGGAGACGCTGCAAAAACTTTCTCGGATGCAGTAGGAGATGTTCTCAACAAATCATCGGAGCTTGAGTCTGAGAATCTGAGTGATGACGATGTTCTAGTGTTGGAGTCCATAAAGCTTCTGAAATCAGAGGTCAACAACAAGGTCCGTTCCTATACTTCCTAATCTTAGTTCTAATTAACAACATGATAACATAATGTTGTTTTCTTGAGAAGATGTGTTTATTGTTGATTTTCAGGTTGCTCTAATAGATTCAAAGATTTTGCTGATTGAAAACACAAGGATTAGTTTGCTCAACGACCTCACCAAACTTGCTGTTTTCGACTACCCCTATTATATCCATCACCCACTGAGAGTGTTTTTGCTGGCTCATTTGATGAATCGGTCTAACAATAGATGAAGCTATAGCAGAGCAAATGTAAGAAGACGAAACAGTTGCCTTAATTAGTCTTTCTTGAGTTGAGTCAGAAATTTACTGATATATGCGGTATTGGTAACTGGAAGAGTGTGCTCGTATTGATGGCCTAACAAGTGACGGAGCCCAGCATTGATGTATAAAGTATAGTATCATGTTCCAGTTACAAACAAGTTGTGTTTGAAAAAAAGAACTTACAAGTGAAGTTGAATATAGAAGATTGTGATTATTTTTACTGTATACACATGAAAATGACAATAGAAAACTATTGAAATAACAATTACAGGTTGTATAAATTTACAAGAATTACAGGTTGACGATAATAGGTTGTAAAAAATAGAATCAGATCAGATTCGATTATAAACCTGTAATTCGTAATTTTTGACATTCAAGTACAAAAACATTTATTGACAAACATAAATTAAAGATGTGAAACATAGGTTGTAAGATATCTGAAACTTAATTTGTAAGCAGATCAAATCATACTCGATTCTGAAGAAATTTGAATGTAGGTAAGCAACAGAAAAAGAAGAATTTATTAGCTCTCCTATAATCAAGGGAGATTACATAGAGACTAGCTAGACTAATAGATTGAGTCAACCTAGCGACTTATTCAACAGCGACCTATACAATATTATCATAATCCATCATAATCCATTCATCGCTAGAACCATCACTACTACCACCACTCTCCTTTTTAGTAGTTTTGGTATCTGCTTTAGTAGGTATTTCATCTTCTTCACTCTCCTTCGCATCCTCAGAATCGTATTCTGATGATAAATCTTTAGCAGCTTCCTTTGAACTGTTCTCTGCCTTGGCCTTCACGGAATCATCTGAAGAAGACTTGTCAGATTCATCCTCCTTAGAAAGATTCTTCACGGCATATAATTTCATCTCTAGAAGGCGATGTGTAGCAATTCGTTTTTCAATCCATTGACGACGAGCATTCTGCTCAGAATCAGAGATAGTTTTCTTGGCAGGAAGACTATCACCATCAAGTAAGATCATAATCGCCTTTGTACACGAAGTAATGTCTCTCTTATCTTTCTTTAGGGGATTCGTGGTCGTGGCCTTAATCACATACTCGCACATGGTGGAGAAAAAAGAGAAGAGCGACTTTATCACAGACTCGCCCATGGAGAAAAAAAAAATGGAGAAGAGCGACCTCTAGGGTTTTGGAATAAGTATATAAATCTTTCTAGAAGATATTCTATATAGAGAAGATGTTATAAATCTTTCTACAAGATATTCTCACAACAATTAAAATATTTTATAAATTTAAATTTATAATGATGTTTGACTTTGACCGAAAAGATAAGTGGTATATATATTTCAATTTCTAAAAGATTTAAATTGTTGTGAGAATATCTTCTAGAATAATAACATCTTTTATACTATAGAATATCTTCTAGAAAGATTTATATAATTCTCTTATATATATAGAACTTCCTAACTTGTATTAAAAGTACTATAGTATAGAATTTCCAAAACCCTAGCTAGAGTCTCTCTTCTCTCTTTATTGCTTCTCCATGGGCGAGTCTATGATTAACTCGCTCTTCTCTTTTTTCTCCTCCATGTGCGAGTATGTGATTAAGGCCACGACGCCTATAAAGAAAAATAAGAGAAACATTCCTAAGTTTACAAGGGAGGACTAGATGCGTTTCTGATCTTACTTGATGGTAATAGTCTTCCTGCCAAGAAAACTGTCTCTGAGTCTGAGCAGAAGGCTCGTCGTGAGTGGGTTGAAATACGACTTGCTGCGGCTCATATTATAGAGAAGAAAGTTCGTGCCGAGAAGACTCTTGCTAAGGAGGATGACTTATCTGACAAGTCTTCTTCAGATGATTCTGTAAAGGCCAAGGCAAAGAGTAGTTCGAAGGAACCTGATATATCATCAGAAGATGATTCTGAGGATGAGGAGAGTGAAGAAGATGAAAAACATACTAAAACAGATACTAAAAAGGAGAGCACTAGTAGTGATGAATGGATTATGATGGATTCTGATAATGTTGTATAGGTCGCTAGGTTGACTAAATCTATTAGTCTAATCAGTTTGGGATTTAAGTTGCATGTTAGGCTGTATTTTTATGATATAACGAATAATTAATGACCTTTTTAGAATTGCAGTGATAATATTCCCTCTGAAAAATTGCGAAATTATCGTTTTTCATCTCTTCATTCTTTAATCATCGCTCTTCTAATGTAACTGGAACATGTCACTAATTTATTAGTATGATACATTAATTATTCTAAAAGTACCTCCTTATATGAAATACTCTTTAAATAGATCAACATATACAAAGAAGTGTCTTCATCATCACTTAATTAAACCTCCAAAATCTCTCCTCTTCTCCACAATCTATTTCCAACTGTTACCTTTCATCTAAAAAGCTTCATTTCACATGTGTTCATGTACCGTTTACTTTCTAAATGTCTGAATTTGGCTACTTTCTAATATTATCTTTATTTTTTTTGTTATGTTAAACATCCGATATAGCAGTCATGTGTTATTCGTTTGAAATATATTAACCATAAAGTGAACATAAACTACCAAAAACAAAACCAAATTAAGTATTTATGTTATATTTATGGTATAAGTTTCTAGGATAACTGAGAATTGTGTTGGAAAAAGACGCATATCCATTTCGACGATTTTGAATCTAATTTCTTCAAAAAATTTATTTCTGAAATAAAATTTAACATAACTTTTTAGTTTTAAAAATAAAAGACAAGCAAGTAAAGGAGCTATACATAATTTCTCAAATGTTTTTTGCTATTCTTTTTTTTTTATTATTTTAAATAGTAATACTCTGTTTCTGGGTTAATTTTCTCAGTAAGATGACAAAAAAAAATAACTTAAAAAAGTATTAAATTTCTTTTAAACATGACTAGACTTAACATGACTTAATTTTTCTTGTTTAATTTCTGCTCATACATTTTTAAAGTTTCATGTATAAAAACCTTTTTTCATAAATAAATTTGAACATGACGTAAAAAATAATAATTAAGTTTCTTTTTGAATGACTTAAAAGAAATTTACCATGACCAGACTTAACATGACTTATTGACTTTTTTCTTTGACTTTATTTATTACTTATTTTTTTTTCATCTACTTAACATTTTTGAAGTACAAATTTGCTCCTTCCAATCGGGTCGGGTTTTTTTTGTGATTTTGACCCGGAAATCTTCAATCGGATCTTTCCTTATTTTTTGGCAAAATTAAAAAACGAAATTAATTAATAAATTCTAAAAATATATATTTTCTCAACTAATTATTACACCTAAACTCTTTATTTATGGCATATTCTTTCTGATTTTTATAGATAAGGAAACCAAATATGATGATTTAATGCTAATATAACAAATTTGAGCTAATTTCCTAAAACTTCTCTACCTAATTTAAACAAAAATATATGATTCTCATTTCACTTTTATTTGATTTATATTTATATTATTTTGAATTATTATAAAATAATAATTCAAAATAAATGAAGTGAAATTCAAAAATAAAATTTTAGATTTTTTTCTGCATATGCTATATTTCAAATTTTTTAAAACGGACATATATTACTCAATAAATGAAGAAAAAAATATGTGTATAATCTAAAGTACATATTTGCTCTTTTTTTTGGGTCGGTTTTGTTTTTTTTTTTAATTTTGACCCGGAATTTGATCCGGATTTTGACCCTCAATTAAGTCTTTCGGATCCAAATAATGAGACTTTCCAAAAAAAATCCTAGCAATTTAAATGATTGATTTCGTATATATATATATGTAGATATTACTAAATATATATAGTTATAACAAAATAATTTTTGAATCCAAGTCGTTTCCTGAATCGGTGCAAATGAGTTAAGTGCAAATCATTTTTCTTTCCTAAATAAAATGAACTATATATATATATGATAATATTCATAGGATTTAATCTTTTCATCCGGAAATCTTCCCTTACAAATCATATCCTTAATTAGTTGGTGTACCGCAGGTCATATCCTTAATTTCTATTCTAAATTAATTGAGTCATTCGGATCTTTTCTTAATTTCTACAATTATCTAAAACGGGAGAGTATACCACGGGTGAAATCCTAAAATTAACAAATCAAAATACAATTGTAAATTGTTTTTACGGGTTGGTCCAAAAACACACAATAATTTAAAACTATATATATGATGAAAACTATTTGAAAGCAAACTTTTAAATTGACTCGAATTATATGTCTTTTAAATAAAAGTGTTATTAAAAAAAATAACAAAATGATGTTTAATTTCACAGGACGTGATTATATGGTGGGACGGGTTTGGGTCGATATTAATACGTGACAATATACTACGGATGAAATCCTAGAATTAACAAATCAAAATACAATTATACAATCTTAAACACAAAATAAAACAAATACAACTTAATTTTTTTATTTTTTAGATACAACGCATGTGACCCGCGGTGTACAACAAAAAAATATTATACACAACAAATTCATTAGTTTATAAAAAGATAAAAAAAATCAAATAATTAACCCGCGGTATACCGCGGGTCATATCCTAGTAAACGAATAAAGACTCAACACAGAATTCTAGTTTCGTTCATCGTTGCCCAAAACCCAAAACCCAAAACCCAAAAATGCCGAGAAGGTGCTCGACATAATTCCTCAATGGGTGTCACGTGGCTTATACGTGACAAAGCCATGATCCTTCCTCTCTTCCTTTGGTTTCTGATTATAAAAGGAAGAACGAAAACCAAGATTGAGGATCTTCTCCGAAAATGGAGCCTTCTTCTTTCTTGAAAGATGCCAAGCTTTTGTTCTACAAATCAGAGTACATCAAAGCTTTGGAGCTGACCGAAGAAAACACTAACTTTGTCCAATGGAATGAGATGGTTGATGTTGATTCCTTACAAGGTTGGATCTTAAATGCATTAGCCAAAGAAACAAAAAGCATGGACCTCAAGTTCGCTTACTCGTTAGGTTCTTTAGATTGCTATTCGAGAAATTCTATGGGGTCAGTGTATTCGGCATGTGTATTGTTCAAGATGGCGGAAAATCTTGGTTCGGATTTGTATTACAAGAAATCCCTGCGCAAAGCAAAAGATGGTTTATCTCATCTCGAGGATTCTGACTTGAGAGACTTTGCTTTTGCATTCAACAAGGAAAAGGAAGAACTTGAGTATATAATCGAAGCTGCAGAGTCAAGAATCTCTGTTTCCAAGACTCAAGTTAGGGAGTCAAACGAAAATGAAGAGGCAAAGAACAGTGATTCTGATTCTGGTACTCTCGCCTTCATAAATTCTAATGTCTTTGAAGAACTGAGGTCGTTTTGGGAGGGTTTGAATGTTGAGATTAAGAAAAACTTTATGAAAGTAAGTATTGCAGATCTTAAAAGTGATGTTAAAATCATCAATGACAAAGAGGGACAACAGGCTTTGGAGCAAGTTCTCACTTACGCAAGGAAACACAGAAAATGGAAACTTTGGATATGCCGTACTTGTTTGAAAAGGTTCTCTAATCCTGAAGATTGTACGAATCATCTTGAAGAAGAACATGTTGCAGAATTTAAACCAAAGGATATGTTGCCTCAGAGGATTAGTGACGTCTGGGCTAGTCAGATATCTGTTGGAGGTTGGGAGCCAGTGAATGCAGCAGCTGCTGTTGAAATGATCAAGAATCATCTCGAAGATGTTAAGAAATTTGCATATGAGAATGGATGGTCCAAAGACTGGCCTTTGGATGTGAATGAAGAGCGCAGTAAGTTACTCAAGGAAATCAAATTGCTCCTTGTGTTGTTCTGTGACCGTAAAATTCTCTCATGTAGCATTCGAGACAGGGTTATGGATTTTGTGGCTAAGAAACTTGAAGTTTCCAAAGAAAGTCTTACTTATTCTCGTCTAGTTGAAACACCTCAGGGTATCTGTTTGCTGGAATGTCATGAACTTAATCAAATCCTGGCCTTTCTTAGAAGAGTCAAGTGTGAAAGGGATGATGGTACAGATGTGGTTCGCAGAGCAGTGGACAGTTTCTGCAATGGTACTCGATATAGAGAGAAGATGGACTTTGACTCTGATTTTTCAACTCTTCTTCTGGATAAGAGACTGCTGCAAGGCAAAGTTGCTAGATATGATGATGAAGGTGTAATCAATGTTTTTGATCCTAATGTTCATTACGCCAAGGCACATGCTAGTGGAGATGATTTTATGTTCTGGTTAACAGACTACTCTTCAGGACACAAGCATTTTCAATTTCCCTGCCGTATCAGAAGACACAATCTTGGAATTTGGGTGGCTGTTCTGAGAGCCGTTCAGTTCACATGTAGGGCTTTGGCCACCAAATATGCAAAGAAGTCGCAGCTCCTAGATTACGAGTCAGCCCTTAGTGACGTCAGGAAGTTGTGTATCAGTGAAGATGATAGGAGAAGGGATCTTAAGAAGGAGGAATGGATATCATATAAATTAATTCTGTGCAACAAATGTGAAGAGGGAGACGCTGCAAAAACTTTCTCTTGTGCAGTACGAGATGTTCTCAAGGAATCATCGCATCCGAGATTTGAGTCTAAGAAACTCAATGATGATGATCTAGTGTTGGAGTCCTTAGAGTTTCTGAAATCAGAGGTCAACAACAAGGTCCATTCCTAATCTGAATTCTAATTAACAACATGATAACATAAAGTTGTTTTCTTAAAAAGAAGTGTCTATTGTTGATTTTCAGGTTGCTCTAACTGATTCAAATATATTGCTGATTGAAAATTCAAGGACTAGTTTGCTGAACGACCTCACCAGACTAGCTGTTTTTGACTACCGGTATTATATCCATTACCCACTGAGAGTATATTTGCTTGATTGTTTGATGAAGCTATAGCAGAACAAAGGTAAGAAGAAACACTTGCCTTAATTAGTCTTTCTTGAGTTGAGTCAGACATTTATTGATATATGTGGTAATGTCTTTTACAGGTTGGTAACTGGAAGAGTGTGGTCAGATTCCGTGGAGAAAGAGGAAGGTTTTATGAAGCTGCTTGATCGTATTGATGGTCTAACAAGTGACGGAGTTTTATTAAGTATCAACCCATTATTGATGTACGGTATAAAGTAGTGACATGTTCCAGTTACAAACAAGTTTTGTTAGTATCAACTATCAACCCATTATTGATGTACTGTATAAAGTAGTGATTGAATTGTAAGTAAACCAAATCAGACTCGATTCTGAAGAAATTTGAATGTAGGTAAGCGACCAGAAAAAGTTTAACTAATTAAAACACTAACCAAAGAAACTAGGAAAAGATCAGTACCAACATTGCAGACTAAGTTTTATAAGATTCATGTAAAGTAGTAATCCATTAGTAATCGCTCAAGCAGAAGACGATTATATTTCACAATGTTACTAATGAAGTGTCCAGAATAGAAAACATACCAAAACATAAATATGTTACTAATCTTACCAAATCCACACTTGAAATTAACTGATAATTGTCAGCAATTTTTCAAAGGGAAGATTATCTCTGCAATTGTAACAAAGAAGGGTAATTAATTATTCGTTAAAACATAAAGAAATATAGCCTAAAATGAAACTTAAAACGCAAACTGATTAACTAATAGATGGAGGCAACCTAGTGAAATATTCAACAGCAACCTATAAGACATTATCACAATCCAGCATAATCTATTCATCACTATTAGTGCTCTCCTTTTTAGTAGTTTTCGTATCTGCTTTAGTAGGTTTTTCATCATCTTCACTCTCCTTCTCATCCTCAGAATCATCTTCTGATGTTATATCAGGTTTCTTCGCAGGTTCCTTCGAACTACTCTCTGCCTTGGCCTTTACGGAATCATCTGAAGAAGACTTGTCAGATAAGTCATCCTCCTTAGAAAGAGTCTTCTCGGCACGAACTTTCTTCTCTATAATATGAGCCGCAGCAAGTCGTATTTCAACCCACTCACGACGAGCCTTCTGCTCAGACTCAGAGACAGTTTTCTTGGCAGGAAGACTATTACCATCAAGTAAGATCAGAAACGCATCTAGGTCCTCCCTTGTAAACTTACGAATGTTTCTCTTATTTTTCTTTATAGGCGTCGTGACCTTAATCACATACTCGCACATGGAGGAGAAAAAAGAGAAGAGCGAGTTAATCATAGACTCGCCCATGGAGAAGCAATAAAGAGAGAAGAGAGACTCTAGCTAGGGTTTTGGAAATTCTATACTATTGTACTTTTAATACAAGTTAGGAAGTTCTATATATAAGAGAATTATATAAATCTTTCTAGAAGATATTCTAAGATATTCTATATAAAAGATGTTATTATTCTAGAAGATATTCTCACGACAAAAAAAAAAAAGATATTCTCACAACAATATAAATCTTTTATAAGTTTCAATTGAAATTATATTCTTGTAGTTACAAATACATTGAAGATTTTGTTTTTTGAGAGAAGTGCCTGGCCGAAGAGATTTCCACCTAAAGAGATGCTATAGAAAGAGATTTCTCTTCTTTTTTTTTTTTTTTTTTTTTTTTTTTTTTTTTTTTTTTGTGTGTGTGTGTGTGTGTCGAAAGGCGTATATTTAGCTAATATCCTTTGTTATCTCATAATAACAGTTTCATTATTTTGTTTCAAGTAAAAGTTAATGATTCATGTCTCAGTCTTCAGTTTCTTTTTATTTTTATATACAAAATGGTTGATAAAGCACCAAAAGATGGATGGAGGAGACTAGTTTGAAATTACCTCCAACATATTGTAACCGTGAAGCCCCACACGAGCATAAGATTTGACCAAGAGACCATAAAGAAAGATAGTTACTAAGAATGATTTTGAAACATTGACTCTAGTAGATGGTTTTGATGTGCCTTCAGCCTTCTGAATAAAACATTGTTTCCCCACAAGGCCACAACCAGCCTTCTACATGTCCTTCATCCTCAACACCTAACAAAAGTTTCGTATGCCTTTGTGAGGAATGAAGCTTGCAAGTAACGAACAAGAATTTAGAACGTGCAATTGAATTTGTACTAACACTCTCCATTCTTCATTTATGACTCGTCTTTATGTTGAGGAGTGGTGAGTGTGCTTCAAAGCAACGGGATGTGTAAAGTGTTTAGCTAATACTATAGCCAACGTGTAATGTGAAGGCGGCCGAAAATACTTAATTATATGAAGTTATGAACTAAATTATGGTCAAGATCAGGAACAATAAGATAGCTAGGCCAACAATTTTGTCTCTTCTTCTTCAGCGACATTGTGTGTCGAAGCTCCTGCTTGGAGTCGACTCTTAAGTTTGAAAAACAAACTACGTTAAAGAATTTTGATAAAGTTATACTGAAATTACTAGGATATGACCCGCGGTACACCGCGGGTTAATTGTTTTTGTTACAAAATAATTTAAATTATAGGTTGTATTTGTTTTGGTAATATTGTTTGTTTTGTTTAGTGTTTAAAATTGTATAATTGTATTTTAATTCTTAATTCTAGGATTTCACCCGTGATATACTGTCTCGTATTAATATAAATCCAAACCCGTCCCACCATATAACCCCGTCCGGTGAAATTAAATATCATTTTGTTTTTTTTTTTCGGCAAATCAAGTATATTGATATCGCCCACACAGCTGTGGTCCAGTGGTAGTTGAGAATTGGGGAAAGGTTGGAAGGAACTAACCCAGGTTCGATCCACGCTGGAAACAAAAAACACATTTGTGTGGGAAGTCTGGGCTTGAGCCAAAAGGCCCAAGCAGTTTACCTGGTAGTCCAGTAACAGGCGATCTGGCTACCCCCTGGCATTAGTCGGAAAGCATTCCAAACTCGGGACAGACAGTGTGGTGGCCCTTCGGGGAGTAGTCCACTCTGAAGCACTTCGGTGCGTTTCTACCGGGGCTGACCGGATCAGCCGATAGGGTTTATCAAAAAAAAAAAAAAAGTATATTGATATCAAAAAGTGTTTAAATATCATTTTGTTATTTCTTTTTAATAGTACTTTATTTTGGAGACATATAATTCGAATCAATTTAAAAATTTGCTTTCAAATGGTTCTCATAATATATAAGTTTATTTATAGAGGTTCAAATATTATATTAATATTATAGTTTTCATATCAAAGTTTATATTTATAAATTGATTATATTAATACCATAGTACTTTATATATTTATAAATAAATTATGCTAACATAGTACTTTATATTAATATCAAAGTTTTTATTTATAAATTGATTGTTGCATCAAATATATTTGTTTTTTTTTTTTTGGTATTAGAGGGGGGATAAATCCCCCATTTTATTCAAGAAAAAAGAAAAAATTACAAACGAACTTGTCTCGGGCGCGCAGACCCAATAAAATCGTCGCTTAAAATTGACGCCACAACCGGCGGAACTAAACTAAACGAATGAAAGCCAAGCGGCAAAGAGAATGCATAGTTTGCTAACCCGTCTGCTAGACAATTAGCCTCCCTATACACATGCGAAATCCGGACTATCCAGTCCCTCGAAAGAAAGCCATGACACAAACGTACCAGGAAGGACAGCGGATGTGTTTCACTTATCCCTGTCTTTAGAAACCCAACCACCAATTGAAAATCCACCTCCAGCTCTACTCTGGTGGCTCTCTTCTCCCATGCCATATACAGACCGTAATACACACCCCATAACTCCGCCAATGGTGCCGTACAACGACCAATATTCAAGGCAAAACCTCCAAGCCAATCTCCATGATAATCCCTTAAGACCCCTCCCGCCGAAGCTAACCCCGGATTACCTCGAGAAGCGCCATCCGTATTTAACTTCAGCCATCCATCTTGCGGTCCCGTCCATCCAATCAACAATTCCACCCGTGGCCTTGCGGCTTGGTTCTCTTTGACGTTCACGTTTGCCCCCGTCACTTCTTTTGCTAGTTCTTTGAGAAATCGTGTTCTATCCCGACACTTGCTATTAGATCCGAACACATTACCACATCGCCACTTCCAACTCCACCATGACGCCATAGCAAACATTGTAGCCCAAGTGCTCCCATAAACCTCACTCTCATCCCCGAGATTCCCATATACCCACTCAAGAAGTGACTGTGTAAAAAACCGCTGCCTCTTGCTCCTTGGCACAACTCTGATCCAAATACCCGCAATCGCAGGACAATCCCGAAGAATATGCAATATTGTTTCGCTCCCTCCCTTACAAACTTGACAAACATCTGTCTCGCAAAGGTGCCGTCGATACCGTTCAGCATTGGTCATTAACGCCTGCTGCCCGACCAGCCAAAAGAATAATCGTACCCTCTCCGGTGCGACCAGTCGCCATATGCGATCATACAAGCTCTCACATCTCTGTCTTGGTGTTTCATCACGGGTCAGCAGTCCATACGCAGTCCGAACAGAGAAACATCCATCGGGACTCTCTCCCCAAGCTAAACGATCTCTAGCTCCAGTAACAGTGTCAAGAACCACCGCCATCAGTTCAAGCTTGGTCTCCTCCGACACAAATTGACTAATTCGTGACAGCTCCCACCCAGCTCCATCTCTCCACATTTCTCTGGCCAAGACAGACTCATACCATGCCGGAAGCTCTCTAACCACTCTATCAACTAGTGGTTTATTAAATAACCACCGGTCTGTCCAAAATTTGATTTTTTTACCATCACCAATCACCCAACACTTCCCCGGGATTACCACCTCTCGTAGACCCGTCACAATACTCCGTCACAACACTTCCCCGGGATTACCATCAAATATATTTGTTAGCATAATTATAGATTGTGTTGTATATGTGTGTTAATAATGTAATTTGATCTATAATCATTTTATTATAACTAAACAATAAATCATTTCAAGCCCAATAAACAAAAGGCAAGCCCAAATATGCCAAGAGAGCAAAACCCAAACTGAGTAGATATTTTGTGCTCATATTATTCCAGAAAAAATTTAAGAAAAACGAAAATTGGAAAAAAAGAAAAAAAAAGAAATTGATGGTTTCCTGAGAAACAAAAAAAACACACAAAAATATGTAAAACTGAAAATCGACAACAGGCTCGGTGTCTCGCCGATCGAATCCCAATTCGATTCCGTTCTACATGACTTCCTATTCAAGGATTATAATCGGTTCCGAAGAACATGTTCAAAGCTGAATCAATAGGTAAGAGAATTTCAATCGTTACCGATAATATAGATATCGAATTATTTGCTTTCCAAACAAAGATTTGTTGTTTGTACATAGGTTTATTTTTAAAGACGATTTCATTTTGCATGTCTTTATTCCGAATTACGATTTGATTGTGAAACCAATTTCTAAAGTTTGGTCATACATGAAAAAACATAACTTATGAATCGATTGATGCAGCCACTTGTGGTTTGACAGAGAAAGAACTTCGGGAAATAATATGAAAGCTTGTTGAAGGGTTTGGCAATGATAAAGACAATATACTATCAAAACCCGTGAAGGTAAGAAAGAGATTGTATGTAGAATCAAGTTTTTGTTATATAGGATTATATGCTAAGAATATTGTTAGATTCATGGCAATGGTTATTAACCACATACCACCATATAGTTTGCAGCTGGGTATCAGCGTATAGGTGTGGAGGACATGCACAAAAGGAAAAATTCAGAAAAAAGCTCCTGAGATTATAGATCAATGTATGTTGATGGACCACATCAAATGCTTTGAAACTGTGGCCGTTGGAGTGAAAGACATTGTACCATATTCAGTCGCCTTCAGTTGTGGATCTAGAATATCCAGAGGTAGTGTATATACAGAGAAAGCAAAGGATGCGGCCATTGGTGTTGGTAAGGTTTTTGACCTTAAGCTAGAGATCGGAATTGTATTGGTTTTTTCTGTGTTTAGAGGTAGGAGAAATGAGCGATTATATATAGAGTTTTGATAGGTTAGTAGGGTTTTGGGTTAGAGAATAAAAATAATCTTGATTAGCAAGGTTTGAGTATCTTTGAAAATCTTTAAATCATCATATACTCTTAACCAATTTAGGATAATATCGTTAAAATCGTTTATATATGAGATATTTCCAAATATTTAAGGTTGATTGATTCCAGAATTTATATAGCTCATTTATTTAGGAAAGAAAAATATTTTGCACTTAATTCATTAGCACCTATTTAGGAAACGATTTGGATCAATTTGTTATAACTATATATATTCTCCATATCTTTCAATTATGAGAAACTAAATGCTTTTTGCCTTGAATGTAGGAAGCATCAAATATGGTAAGATTCGATTGAGAGAATTCGGGTAGAAAATCACAAAGAAGGTAAGATCCGATTGTCTCCAAGTCGGGTCGAAATAAATGATTTCCGGGTCAAAATTTTGACCCGATTGGGGACCCCAAAAACTGTTGCAAAAATGTATAGTAGATTATTAGCCTTACAATTTTATATATTTCAATTTTTAAATTAAAAATTACTAATCATAAAGTAATGAATTTAGTTTGAAAGAATAGCGGTTTTTTCTTTTCTTTAATTTCCTAGCTATTTTTAAGTTATGTTTTCAATTTCCTTATAAGATTAGGTAAAGAAAAACATCAACTTATATATTTGATTTTTTCTTAAGAAGCTTTCCCCTTTTCCCAGTTGTTTTGGGTTAATTAATTAAACCTCTTTCGCTTATTTGTCAATTAGAACAATTTTTAGTTAAAAGTAATATATTTTTATGTTAATATTATGAAGAGGGTTATGCAAAATCACTTTTTAAAATTTTAAATTGTCAATTATTTTTTAAAAGGCCGCATTTTAGGCATGGGTGGGTTTTAATTGTTTCATATTTTTTAAAGAATATATATTTAAATTTAAATTTATAAATATTTAAATTGCTGTGAGAATATCTTTTTTTTTTTTTTTGCCTCTCCATGAGCGGGTATGTGATTAAGGTGGATTATGATAATAAATTGTGAAATCGTGTTTTTATTAAGCGATTAGTTTTGGAGATGGATACAAATTTAAAGGATTTTGTATTTTAGCAGAATTCTTATAATTCATACGAGTCATATTTTGTCCACGTTTCATCTAACGCTAAATAATTCTTATAATTTTATTATTATGATACTTTAATCATTCTGAAAATACCTCAAAATCAAATAAAATAATCTTTAATTAGATCAACATATACAAAATCTCCTCTAAAAAGCTTCATTTTCACATGTGTATATTTACATATGTGTATCCTTATGTACCGTTACATTTTAAATGTCTGAAGATGGAACCAAGATCTCTAGCGGTATACCTGCTATAGGCTCCAACACTTGAGCTTCTGGGAGCACTTTTAACAATAATTCCTGCATTCACAAATCAAACATCCAAAACATTATATCACCATTGATCCAGATGGAATCAATATTTGATTTGGTTTTTGGGTTAAGAGAAAGCTGCACCTTAAATGATTCAATAGTTCCTTCTTTCTTTATTATGCTGGCTAAAAGTCCTTTTGCTTCAAGCTCGCCATTTTGCATCGGCACAACAAACCTAAATGTCCAAGGTAAACCCGATTGATGGCTACAAAATGCAAGAGTATAGATACATTTTCTTGAGATTAAAATGAAAGACGATAGATGATTATTTACTTGGCTTTCAAGAGTTTGGCGAGCTGGACAGCGTCTTCTTGACCAGAAACAAGAGTAAATCGTGGGAGAAGTTGTTTGATTACCGGTGTGATTACAATGTCGGCTCTTTCATTCTTCAGAAGTTCCATGTTGCATACACAATGCGGTTCATAGTAGAGAGATATCTGATCTTCACGGGATACAAGGAGATACCTGAGAACAGAAAAGAAGCAGAACTGAAATAACCATGACCATATTATTAAGGGAGATTTACTCAGATGTTATACATTTTATATGAAATTACCAGAAACATACAGATCTTTTTTTTATTACTATCATATTTCGGGTATATTTTTTATACCCAGCGTGCCCCTGTTAAACGTTACAGGAAAAAACGTAATTACAAAGAATGCCACTGCCACGTCAGCAAAACCGCGTCGCCACGTCAGAAATCGCTGACGTGTATTAATGAACTCAGCCGTCGAGCGATATAGCGGCAGTGACGGCTGAGTTACGGTATGTTGCGGCTGATTTAAGAAAAATGGCTGAGTTTTGAGCAAACGGCTGACTTACGAGTATAACCCAGCCTGGAGTTACGGCTGACTTACTGAAATCTGTCTGAGTTATGATAAAATGGCTGACTTTCGAGCATAACCCAGCCTAAGTTACGGCTGAGTTTTCACCCGATGGTTGATTTTTCAAATTTTTGGCTGAGTTATTGCTTCGACACGGCTGACTTAACTTTCTCCGGCTGGCTGAGTTATCAAAGACGGCTTAGTTATGGGATGACGTTACGGCTGATTTATGTTCGAGTATCATAAATCAGCCGTAATGAGCTGGATTAACGGAAAACTCGGCCTTATTATGGCTGACTTAGTAGCGAAAGATTAATTACTAGAATAGCATGCAATGACGGCCGACTTATTAAACGACACGACTGAGTTAAATATTTTTGGTTGAGTTACGACAGTAAACGGCTGAATTTGGCTGCCGTTTTTTTCGTTTTTTAATTACTGTAATAGTATTCATGTTGCGGCTGAGTTAAAGTTTTGTTTGATGGCTGGTTTAATTAAGCTGATTTACATTTTCGTTTGGTGGCTTACTTGCCACTTCATCAATTAAAAAATGACGTGGATGCAACATTCCATGTCATCATTCCATGTCATCATCATCAAAGGACAAAAAAATAGGGCCAAATTTTTTCAACTCGTCTTCTTCACCTGAGTTTATCACATCACCGGAACTTCCAATTCCTCATCGTCTTCCTCATTCTTCTTCAATTTCTTTCATCCTTCTCCCGATATGGTTGATCCGGTTCCGGTAATTGGGTATAAAAACACAAATACGTATTTAACACCGATGAAAGAGGGTGTAGAGTTGTGCAGATAGATGCGAAAACAACGCACGAAAAACTTGTGAAGTTGGTGCTCGATGATAAAGTTAGAGGAAATGTTGCGTCTCTTATTGTTTCGCTGCAAATTTACATGTCACGGCTGAGTTATATGCTTAAGGGAAGACGAAAGGTTCGTTCAATTTACATGTCACGGCTGAGTTATATGTTCCAGGGAAGACGAAAGGTTCGGTAAAATTACATTACGGCTGAGTTATATGCTTAAGGAAAGACGAAAAGTTCGGTCAATTTACATGTCACAGCTGAGTTATATGTTCCAGGGAAGACGAAAGGTTCGGTAAAATTACATTACGGCTGAGTTATATGTTTAAGGGAAGATGAAAGGTTCGGTAAATTTACATGTCACGGCTGAGTTATATTCTCCAGGGAAGACGATAGATGGGTGTAAATTATATGTTACGGGTGAGTTATATGCTTCAGGGAAGACGAAAGGTTCGGTAAATTACATGTCACGGCTGAGTTATCATTCAGGGAAGACGAAAGGTTGTGTAAATTATATGTTACGGCTGAGTTACATCACGTTACGGCTGAGTTACATCACTTTACGGCTGATTTATAATACAGATCGGAAAGCAACATTTTTTTGGAGAAGACAATATAAAATTTATTGGTCAAATAACAACAATCAAATTAAGATTCGTAAAAATATGTTTGAGGGATACATAGGAGGAAGACTAAACCGTATGAATCAAAACATAGATAGAAGTAGAAATGTCTCCAAATAGATCGATTGAGAGGAAGATTAAACGAGAGACATGTAAAATCAAAGTAAAAGAGTAGCTATTCTTGATTTCAACTCAAACCTGTAACGAATCATGTAGAATTCCATAGATCTCTTTGTTTTGGGTTTTGATTTTTGATGACTTTTTTCGTGAGCGTGGTTGCGAGTAGATCTGACGAAGCTTTTGATTTGGGACCCTATGGCAAGCGTTGTGGCTGTGAGGTCTAGGAAGATCCAGCCCAATCCTGCAATTTGAAGATCTCTGTCAATGTTGTACCCAAGTTAGTTGCAGATTATTAGATCTAAAAGCTTTTCTTGGATTTGGAGACAAAAAAAAAAAGAAGAGGAGAAATGATCTAAAAGCTTTTCTTGGATTTGGAGACAAAAAAGAGAAGAGGAGAAATAACGTGAGTTTGAAGAGTGTGAGATTGGTGATGTGGATTAATGACATGGATAATCAAATTTTTATTTATTATTTTTAATTAAAAACGAATTAAAAATTATTAATTAAAAAAAACTAATGAAGGGTGTTAATTGTAATTACACAAATGCTCAAAATATATGAGTAATTTTTAAAAAATGTATGATATTCTAGTAATATTCGAACTTTTGGTTAACATCTGAGTAAATATTTCTATTATTAATTGTTGTTCCAGAAAATTTCTATGAAGTAATTGGAAAGCTTAATGAGAGTTTTTGTCATTTACCCGTTTTCAGGGCGTTGCCATGGTGGACCGAGGACAGGTCCTGCTGTGGCTTTAACTCGAACCTTAGAACCGTTTCTTCCATTTAGCTCATAGCTATCTCCAGGTTCCAGATAGGTGACCTATAGTAATATTTCAGCAACCCTTATATTTAACTCTTTCTCATTTAAAATTTTGTTGAAGATACTCTGCAATTCTGATTTAGACTAGGAAATCTGAAACAAGTCACTTACGTTTCTAAAAAGCGGATCGAGCAAAGGCTTAGCATTTGGAGTTGCAATAACCTTTATGCCTGGAGATTTCTCAGAAAGTGGCCTAAGGGTATTCAAATGACAATGATCATCAAGGCTTTGAGTTATGAGCAGGCAATCAACTTCAGGGAGATCATCAAGCTGCACAGAATATAAATCTTAGAAACTTATGATGAAACTAGATTCCATGAGAGACAGCTCATCTATTTTTGTTATCCTGAATATACTCGGATCCTGATGATGATTCATGTTTCTTTACAAATGTATTCCCTACAAAATGTTACCTTGAAGCCCTTCAAATATCTCTTGGCAGCATCATAAAGCCATGGGATTCCAAAGTCCAAATTACCCACAAGAATCGGATCAACTAGGATTTTCAATCCACCTGTTTCCCATAGCCAGCTATTGCCCTAACTCCCACAAAATGGAAGACATAGTAATAATCTAGTAAGATGCAACATTTTCTTATGGAAATAAAAATGCTCAAGTAGTAAAGATTCTTAAAGTGAGCCACACCTCCAAGTAAGTCAGCTTGAAAGCATCTGTCCCAGAGCCACTAACCCCGGTAGCTCTGTCCTCTGACAAAACAGAAGATACCACAGTGAGAGACCGGGAAACATTCGGCGAGAGGCGGATGGAGAGGGATCTGGAAGGGAGGTGAGGAGCGGACGAGAACAGCGGAAATGCAAATGCGCTTAGGACTCTTGATTTGGTGTTGATACTTAGAGGAAGAGCACTGGCATGAAGCGGCATCGTGGCTGCTTTGCCACCTGACACCACCAGAGCCATAGATTTTGTTTTGCCACCTGAAAATGTTCTGAACAAAATGAGTGAACTGAAAAGAGATTCACTGGTTTACAAGAAGATCAATTACACAGTTTGAAACAGCTGAATATTTCTTGGAGTAGACCAAGTACGTGTCTTGGCTTGTCAATGAGCTAGCATTTCCCCAAATCTGAAACCTAATCATCTATCTATAAATCAAAATTTAGTCATAGCTTTGAGATTATATACAAACAAGATTCTGAAATTCTTTTCTAATTAGCTCACGAATATACAATTAGCTTACGGTAAAAGCCTAAATTCTCCACCTAAGCTAATTTGCACTGATCAACATCGAACCCAGACTCCAAAATATAAACTTTTGAACTTTAATTGATTCAGTAACAGTAAGAACCCAGAAAAGTATAAATCACTAGCACAAGTAATTAGAAACACACAACATAAAGAGGAAGAAGGAGAAGAAGAAGAAGAAAGAACCTGATTTAGAGATAAAGAGAGTTTTTGGTGAGAAAGTTAGTTTTCATGTCTCTCTATGAGTGAATGGTTTTCAAGTTCCCAACACAACACAAATAATCAGAGGACCCAAAAAAAATTGGTGGTTAGAGTGACTGTACACGGAAAAAAAAAAAAAAAAGAGTGAATTTACACGACGTCAGCTTCAAAACGCAGCGTATAAGAAGATTACTGGTCTCTCTGCCCTTGACCGGACCCGGTTTACCAAACCAAAAAATTCATTTTATTTCTCTTAATTTTAACTTGGAGTTCACGCTTTTCCATCACCGAACCAATAAAATCAAAATTACGGATATTCTTTATTAGGGTTTCGACTCGACTCTGATCATTTTTGTCTGTTGTGTTCTCCGTCACCGGAATTGAAAATTGTAGAAATGGTGCGGTTGTGGTGTGGGAAGCTCAAACTTTCGAAACCCTATTTAGCGTTAGCAACACGGAGTAGAAGCCGCTGGTTCAGTTCGCGTGGAGCTCCCTCTCATCATCATCACAGCCTCACATACTATGGCAGAACAGAGACAATCAATCGGCTTGAGCGATACATAACCGAACGCACATGGACGCAGAATCCAATCGTATGTCAGTACAAAACAACAGTTTCTCCAAGTGCTGCTCAAAATGTTACTATTGAGACATTTGATTCGTTATGTAATCAAGGGAATTGGAGAGAAGCTGTAGAGGTTTTAGATTACTTGGAGAATAAGGGTTTTGCTATGGATTTGATTAGACTCTTAAGGTTAGCGAAAATATGCGGTGAACCAGAAGCTTTGGAAGCAGCTAGAGTTGTTCATGATTGTATTATTGCTCTGGTTTCTCCTTGTGATGTTGGTTCTCGTAACGCGATTATCAAGATGTATTCTTGTTGCGGATCTGTTGATGATGCGCTCAAAGTGTTCGACGAAATGCCTAACAGGAATTCGGAGACTTGGTGTGTTATGATGAGGTGTTTTGTTAACAATGGATTTGGTGAAGAAGCAATCAATTTGTTTACTCGTTTTAAAGAAGAAGGGAACAAACCAGACGGAGAGATATTCAATGAAGTGTTATTTACGTGTACTTTGACAGGAGATGTTAAGGAAGGATCACTGCAATTTGAAGCTATGAACAGAGAATATGGAATCATACCTTCAATGGAACACTACCATAGTGTTATCAAGATGTTTGCAACATTTGGTCACTTGGATGAAGCACTGAACTTTGTTGAGAGAATGCGGATGGAACCGAGTGTTGATGTTTGGGAAACACTAATGAATCTTTCTCGTGTTCATGGAGATGTAGAGCTTGGAGATAGATGTGCTGAGTTAGTTGAGAAGCTAGATGCTACAAGATTGGACAAAGTGTCAAGTGCAGGTCTTGTAGTAACCAAAGCATCAGACAATGTGAAGAAGGAACCGAGCAATCGGTCTGAACCATATTGGTGTTATAATTTTAGGCCGGTAGATACTTCACATCCACAAATGAATATTATTTACGAGACACTAATGAGTCTGAGGTCACAAATGAAAGAAATGGGTTATGTTCCTGACACTAGGTTTTATCGTACTTTAATCATGGTGATGGAGAATAAAGAACAGGTTTTTGGTTACAGAGAGGAAATCGCAGTTGTTGAAAGTCTTCTTAAGTCAAAGCCTCGATCTTCAATCACTCTGATAACTAATGTTCGTATTGTTGGGGATTGCCACAATATGATGAAGTTGATGTCAGTCATAACTGGCAGAGAACTGATTAAGCGAGATTCAAAGCGATACCATTACTTCAAAAACGGCGTCTGCAACTGCAACGATCGCTGGTGAGCTAACTAATTGTTTTCCTCTACTGTACTCAAATCTTTTTGTCAATAGAAACAAGTTTAATAAAGGTGAGTATCTAAACTTGTCAAAGACATTTGTTTCTAAATCATTTCTATAATAATTTAGAACAACTTTAGTGGTTTAACTATAATAATAACTTCACAAGTCTTTTTTCCTCTCACATAAACTTAAATATATCATAGCTATTGATATTACTGTGACGAGGAAGAAAACTCTACTGTGGAGTTTAAGATCATGGATTCAGGGTATAACGGGTAGAGATCATAACCCGAAAAGGAGGATCGCATTGTCGTTGTTGTTTGATCAGTCACATCAGACGTGCTTGAGATACCGTGTGTTTCAATGTCCCTCCGCTTTGAGATGCTCCAGTTGTGTCCATATAAATCAGGATCAGAAAAAACCTGTGTTACCTCGATCTCTCCCTCAAGCATTTGCACGGCCTCTGACATTGTTGGTCTTAAAGAAGGAGATGAGTTTGTGCAAAGGAGAGAAACTTTGATCATCCTCACTACTTCTTTGCTATTGAAATCACCTTCGAGGATTGGATCTATGATCTCCATTATGTCCCCTTTCTGTTGCAGTGTCAGCGCCTGAGGTTTGATGTAAAAACAGGAACTTATAGAAACTATAAAAATAGTGAATCAAATGGGTAAAAGAGAAAGAAAAGATCGACGGTTACCCAATTGATAAGCGAGACGTGATCAGCACTTCCCTGTTGTTTCGTATTACTCTTTCCACTAACAATTTCCATTGCCACAACTCCAAAGCTGTACACATCTGCTTTCTCTGTCAGTTGACCCCATAATGCATATTCTGGAGCCATATATCCGCTGCATTATAAGAGAAACAAACACTGAGCTATATCTATATTTCATCGGCCATGGTGCGGTTTTTATTTTATACTCTACACTTACATGGTTCCTGCAACTTTAGTGCTAATGTGAGTGTGTTCTTCTTCATGGAGCCTAGCCAATCCAAAGTCTGATATCTTTGCATTAAAGTCAACGTCTAGAAGCACGTTAGTTGTTTTTATGTCACGGTGAACCATCTTGATCATTGATCCTTCGTGGAGGAATTCAAGTCCTCTTGCGATTCCCAGACAGATTTTTTGTCTTGCTGCCCAGTCCAGTTTCAGGGGGCTTTTTCCTGGTGATGGATGTAAACCAATGATATCGGTTTCATGTACTACATTTGAATTTAGACTAACGTAAAGAAAATCTGAATGACTTTTAATTACCAGATAGCACAAGAGCAAGGGAATTATTTTCCATGTACTCATAGACGAGCAACAATTGATTCTTCTCGACACAGCATCCGTAAAGCTTGACAAGGTTTGGATGATTTAGACCTGAGATCATTCCTATCTCATTCACAAATTCGCGGTTTCCTTGGCTTGACTTGGAAGAAAGCTGCTTTACTGCTATGATAGTCCCATCTGATAGCTCTCCCTGCATTAAGTTTCTCATATCAGAAACAACCTTATTTTCTCAGGTATATACGTTTGAGAAGAACTTGGTATCTTTTAACATTACTTTGAATACGGATCCAAAACCTCCTTCTCCAAGCTTGTTGCTTTGAGCAAAATTGTTTGTTGCAGCTTGGAGTCGCCTCCAAGTAAACCAAACCGTTTGCAGACCCTGGGCTCTTAAATCTATGTTCTCAAGGGAAAATGATTAATAATGCTATGAGATATATGAGGAATGGATTCCTATATAGTCTGTGAACTCTGATACCTCTTTCTCTCTTGTTCTTTTCTCCTCTGCATCTTTTCTGAGCATATAATCCCAACGCCAAGAGAGTAACTGTTACCAAGGCACCAGTTACCCCAAAAATTAGTGGATAATTAGTGTCATGTTTTGTTTTCTCCGCTGTAAATGAGAAACTAAAAGTTTTAAGTATATATAAACACCAAGCTTCAGAAAAATATCTTTAACAAAGTAGTTTAATTTTCTTTTTGTCGACCTCCGCATCGTGGTTCCAAACCTGACATTATGAAGAAGATGAATATTAGTGTTCGGTGGCAGGAACCAGTGTAAAGAAGATGAAGGTGATAATATGAACTTATGGCCGTTTGAGAGTGAAACAACTCAACTGTGAAGAGAGAAATACGATAAAGAGTGAGGTTACAAATGCAGAGACTTGAGATAGTCAAATACTTACTGTGACACAAGGAGATTGCAGAGATAAGAGGACCATAATTTCCTCTTTTAGGAATGAGAGTTGTCCCTTTCCCCGCCCAATACAAACGAATCTCTAACGTATGATCGCTCACATTAACAGATTTTATCTCTTTAACAAGAGGCTTTAGTGTCCCATTAGCCTCTTCTTTGATGTTAAAATCTCTCAAGAACAATTCTCCCTAACAGGGAAGAAAAATGACAAAGCAAATGAACAATCTATTATGCTTGTTGAAAATTATTCTAGTGTAGAGTGACGCTTTACCTGAACATAGACATCAAATATGCGTCTGCCAAGACGGCTATATAGTTCTTGATCAGAAAACTGAATCTCCATAAAATGTAGTTTCACATTGTAAGGTCCATTTTCCAAGCAAAATGCATAATAAGCTAAAGAGAGAGCTGATCGACGCGCAGTCTTATAAATATCAGGAGCATTTCCAGATAGTGGTAAACTAGTTGAAAAGATGAACTGCTCCTCCTCACTAAGATAATCCGTGAATGCACCAGTGTTACTGATTCCCCAGTTTCCAAAGCGCTGATTTGTTGCCTCGTTGAATTTGTAGTTATCAGGTTGATAAGTGGTTTTATAAGAAGAGTTTGTGATAACTATCTTGTCTCCACCACAATTTATATGTAGAAATCGTTGATCTACATTCCATAATGATATCACCATCAACAAAAAGAGACTAATTAACTAACTAAGCAGAGATTTTCTCATTATGTACTTACAACGCGTGCAGTTTATTGAACCAGCGCATGGAAGAAGCCCACTTCTGTATGACAAATTTAAACCATTTCCAATGCCGTATTTGAAAGTGAGAATTTCAATAAAGTTTTATATGTTCTTGGTTCTTGATTGTTCCAAAATAAAAAGCAGAAGAGTGTACTTACAAATTTGTCTTCAAATATGAGCTCCGGTATGTGTTAATATTACTGATTCAGCAGAAAGTGAAAAATGAAACTTCAACATGAGCAGCTTGTGTATCTATATATCTACCAAGAATTCATGTTCATACCTCTTTTCTTGGCAGCTAGACGTCCATGAGAAATTGTTGAAAGAGATGTCACTGTGAGGTTTGACCAAATAGAAAAAACCAGCAGACAGATTAGTTGACATGACCAAAAATATATCAAGTCATTAAGGGAAAAGCCTAAACGTACATATTAGATTGGCTATTGAGAAAAACACCAGATTCAACGTTTCCAGAAAGGCTATTTCCCGTCAAATAGCTGAAAGAACATGTCAAAACGATATATACTTGATCATAATTAAGACTGCATTATTCGCATTGAAAGAGCGCTAGCTCTTTAATATGTTAATCTCGGCTTGTAGTACTTACGTATTTCTTGGTTGTCTTTGTACTCTTTGAACTTCACCAGTCAGCTTATTAAACGATAAATCACTAGAAAAAATGTGAACATAATAAATCTCAAGATTCCACAAAAGTTCCTACATATATAGATCATCTCATACTTGCAAATCACTCTACCATCCATTTTCTTCATTATTCATGTGCTTACCAATGAGTACATGCCAATCTATATATAGATCAAACTGATATAGTCCAAAAAAGTATTAAACATATATATGAACAATGTCATGACTCATGAGTATTACACAAATTTCTAAGCTGGTAAATGTGGAGTATATTAAATTGAGGAAGTCTTTTCACTTGTGATCAAAAAGAACTTACAGAATCCTTAGCTCTTGCATAGTCCAGATGTAAGAAGGAATGGAACCATACAAACTCACATTCCTCAAAATCCTGGAACATGGACAGAGACTTTAGTTAGAAATTTTCAGATAGAATCAAGCCTCAAGACGAGAAAAGAATCTTTGGAAAATTACAGGGTTTTGATGGCTTTGCTGGATATATTTGGAAAGGAGTTTATCCCAGTCGTATCACTAATAATCCTGCATATAAAATATAACGCTTAGAACATCAGTCATTTTACTTGTGCTAATCTATTGAATGTAGGTTAATTAATCACAGTTCAACGAGATTTTCTAGACGGGCCACCGCATCAGGAAAAGGTCCTTTCAGTCCACTTGCGTACAGATACCTGCTGATCATAACCGGCACACAAGTTAGATGGTGCTAGAAAACGCAAACCACAAGAGACATTACAATAATTGGTGAAGGACAAGCTTACAGCTTTTTAAGCCTAGACCAGTTGCCAATATATCCTGGGATGGTGCCATTAAAGTTATTGTCACTTACCCTACTGCAAAAATGAGAACAAACAACGAGTTTTGAGATTTGTAAAGCTTATCTTCTTAGACTACTCTATAGGTTTTCTTGAATATCTCTTCATATTCGTTAAGTGTCAAATCATTTCGAAGAAACAAAGAATATAAAAATCAAACAAGTTTCATTTCACTCTAGGTGCCAATAAAATAACAACTTCCTCAAACCTCCGGCAAAATATATCACTGTCCTCAAGAGCTTGATGAATTTACTAATATTTGAAGTGTACTATAAGATTAGTATTAGGATATATACAAGAATATGTCAATACTATATTCTATGATACGATTCTATCTAAGATTAGGAAATACCATTGTGTATAAATACTTTGCTACGATTATCAATAAAGATAAGCCTTTCTAAAATATTTCATGGTATCAGAGCAGAAAGCTCTTGTGACCTAATTTCTTTTCTACTGCCGCCGTTGCTTGGCTTCAGCAGGGTATTAGGATATATACAAGAATATGTCAATACTATATTCTATGATACGATTCTATCTAAGATTAGGAAATACCATTGTGTATAAATACTTTGCTATGATTATCAATAAAGATAAGCCTTTCTAAAATATTTCAATTAGCATTTCCAGTTACAAAGGCAAGCAAAACAAGCTGTTGAAAATTTCAATTTCCAAGTACAGCAACAACTTACAAATCCTCAAGTTTAACCAGTCTAGCGAGAGAGCTAGGCAAGCTTCCTGTAAATTGATTGGACCCAAATTGCCTGCAAAATCCAATTTAAACTACATTTTTTTTTCTTCATAAAACCAAAAATGGTTAAGATGCAAAAGGGTCTTACATTCCTGTTAAGTTGGTCAAATTACCAATCTCATCAGGTATGGGACCAGTGAACTGGTTTGCTTCAATCCCTCTGAAAAATTTAATGCAAATATTAGATGTAATATATAAAGGACATTCCTACAAGTTGGGGGGGGGGGGGGGGGGGGGGGAAACAGTTTGAGTGAGACGTACAAAAATGTCAGATTCTTGAAGTTTTGTAACCCACTTGGTAAATTACCAGACAAATTATTCGCGCAGAGCGAGCTGAGAGAAAGAAAAAATTCAAAAGTTACTCGCAAATCATGAAGATGAAGAAGCACCAGAGAAAAAGAAGTGAGTGAGAGAGAGAGAGCTAACATGGAAGTGAGGTGTGGCATTGAAGCCCACTCCATTGGGATTGTGCCCGATAGATAGTTTCGGCACAAGTCGCTGCAAACAAGAGCATTAGCTCATTGCAATTTGCCTCAAGCTACAATATTTGGTGATAAAAAGAGAAGATATGCACATCAAAACGACCAACCAGGTCTTAGCTTGGAAGTTGAAATGTCTAACTAATCATCGATTGTTATAAAATTTTTGCGGGTTTTGAACTCACATCGTTTGGAGATATCGTAGGTCTGCCAGCTCAGGTGGAAGTTTCCCTGGAAGGCTAAGGGTCTTGAGCTCTCTGTTCTCGCTCAAATGCAACCACAAAATAGAAATTACCACAAGATTTTTTTTTTTTTTAATGGTAAAGAGAAAGTATTAAAGAAGAGAAGACAGAGCAATTAATAATAGGACTCACATGCTTGTTATATGACATGTATTGTTGTTGTAGAAGCTACAATCACAACGAATGGTGTTGTTTCTCTCCGAATTCGGAACAATAGAGACTCCTTGCGCCATAGTTAAGGTTCCTAAAGTGCAAGGGTCTCCATGACGTAGGTTCAATCCCTTGACTCCAAGTGTAGTAGCTATCTTCTCTAGCGTATTTACTGCATGTGTAGACATAAAACCAAGTATAAATATATAGATACACGGATTTTTATCATTATTTTATAAAAAAAATTAAAGGTTAAAACTGCGATTTTTCTCATACATTCATCTGGATGGAGAGCTGATAAAACAGATGTTGAAATTGCAAAGAAGATCGTGATGATGGTAAAGAAGAGAAGAAGAACTGAAAAGTGGATCAACATATTTAGATAAGCTATATATTGATTATCTAAATGTGTGCTTGTTTCGTTAGTCACAATATTATCATCAGAAATGGACTCAATGGTTATATAATGCAAGGAAGATAAAATGTTATGGAGAAACCGACCGTTACAGGAGCATAACAACATGACTAGGTCAAAAGAGGAGATGAATATGTTTCAACTCAGAACTCCTCGATTAATTTTTAAGAAATTGAATTCTTAATTATTTATTTTTAGAGATTTCATTAGGTTGTTGGGTGACTAGAGAGTAGAGATATATGATTGTCCAGAATTATTGTTGATGTCAAGTTCATAAATTAATGCACGATGTTTCTTGTCCCCTTATGTGTTAAGTTCATCAATTTAAGAGGCTCCATTAACATTGTAGACGCCAACGAACTATTCTCCGCAGTTATTTTTGTTAAAAATGCATTAGCCTCTTTTCATTGTTTACGTTGTTCATATATCACTTCCAAATCATTCATTTACAAAATGACATTTGAGATGTTATTGGACAAAAATGACTCTAAACACGTGCATCATTGTCTGAACAGTGAGATCATCCCACTGCCGGTGGCATTGAAGTGACCGTAACCAAATTGGTAAATTAAGTTGGTCTAACCGATGATAATAAATTTGTAAAATGGTGATAGCCAATGACGCAACAAATCTCGTCCGTTAAACTAGATGACAAAAATCAAATAGTTGTCGATATTTATCACAAGTTTTCTATATAATCGACGACCTTCCAATTTCATAGTAAAACTTTATATAGGTAGGCATCAAATACATGAAGAATGGACCAATAGCTTACCCTAGTTTTAATTTGTGATAATGTTGTAGCGTGTCATTCGGGTCCAAATTGATTGTGTGGAATTATCAACGATGACGAAATAAGAGAAATGTAATCAAGAAAGAGTCAAAACTTACAAAAAAAAAAAGGGAAAAAGAAAGAGTCAAAACAAGTATACCCAATATCATAAAGAAAAAATGATGAACACATTAAAGGCAAAGACTCTACTTTTTTAAGTAAACGTAAGGCAATAAAGGCAAGAACTAAAGTTTTTAGTGCAATTCAATATTTCAATAGTACAAAATGGTGTAAAGTGCAAATCAATGGAACATGGAGCTTGAGCTTCTAAATATTTTTTTTCAATAAAAATAAAATAAAATGGTGAATTTAAATTCAATAGTAAAAGCCCAAAACAAATGGTCTAAAGTACGATCCATTCCAGTTTCCAATTACCGCAAGGACCATGTGAGCCCTAATTTCGCACTTTTCTCACAATGTAGCCAACAACAATGTAGAAATAATCTGACGGTTTACGCTACTGTCTATTCAAGACAATGTACGTGGAATAAGGGTACAGATTATAAGCAGATTCAGAAGGATAAAGTAATCAACACGACATAATCAAAAGACAATGACGATGGCTTGAAGCGCAAGTCATCACCCCTTCAAGCATTTTCACAACTTGGAAGACTTGTTGATCACTCTCTCTACCTCCACCACATTGAAAAGTGCTCCAGCCTCGAGTCTAGAATCGCAAGGAAATCTCCTATCTTCTGCAGTACTAAGTACTAACGAGTATCACATGTGAGATGGAGAGGGATGCAGTTTTTTATGAACTGACTTGTGATTTATTATATAAGGATTTAAGACTTAAGACATATGTCAGATGGAGAGGGTTGCAGTTTGTTGTGAAATATTGTATAAGGATTTAGTTTTGCGAATCTTAAAGAATTAAATCCAATGACATTCTTTTGTAAATACTTGTGAAAGTCAGGATTTATTTTAAGTTACTTTAAAAATGTATATATAGATAGATAGAGAATTATCAAATTTAAACTTTTTTCTTATTATCATCAAATATAATATTTCAAAATTCCTGTATATTTAAGTAATGCTTTGAATTGTCATTAAAATGCACTTTAAATTTGAAAAGGGGTGGGCATGGTGTCATGTCGCCTTGAGAAAACCCTAATCGATTAAAAGCATCAGCCGCTTGCCTTCACCGAGCAAACAAAGTTGAGAAATATCGCGAGGAGAATGGATCGTGAGTTTGAAATTATCGCGATGAGAAAGAGAAGGGAGGCGTATAAGAAGATTAAGAAGAAGGAGTATAAGAAGAAGAAGAAGAAGAAGGATCGTCTACAGAGAGAGGAAGAGTATAAGAAGAAGAAGGAGGAGGAGGATCGTATACAGGGAGAGGAGGAGTATAAGAAGAAGAAGAAGGATCGTCTACAGAGAGAGGAGGAGTATAAGAAGAAGGAGGAGGAGGATCCTCTACAGAGAGAGGAGTATGAGAAGAAGAAGAAGAAGTGGAAGGAGTGGGTGGAGTTGCATGAGAAGGATAATGAGGAGTGTATGAAGGAGCATGAGAAGGAGAAGGAGGAGGAACGCGCGTATTGGGATGAAGTGTGGAAATCTAATGTAATTCTTTATAGGTCGAATTGATCCGCAAAAACTATAACCCTGATTCTAATTTTCGCCGAAACCCTAATGCATCTCTAATGTGTAATCTCAGGGGTTCGATGTTGATCATTTGAAGAGACCACGCTCTGATCCTGGAGTTGTGCCTTTTGATTTTAAAAAATATGATATTGACATCACCAATTTCATCTTATATGCTAGGATTGGGATCCATAAGTACAATATGTTCGAGGTAAAAGAAAAAATTACTTTTCTTCTTGCAATTGAGTGAGTGTTTCTCCTATTAATCCCCCTCCTAATATTGCAGGGGACAAACCTCAAGTACGAGCGCCTTGAGAAAGTCAATTATCTACCTGAATCTTATATGCGTCACATATTCCATATAACTTTCCTTGCAAAGGATCCAGCTCACACTCCCCTTAGACGTTTTCAGACGAGTATCGTTTGGTTAGTATGTGGCGTGACGTCCCTCACTTGTTATATTGCTAGACCTAAGCCCAAACCAGCAGGTAAATGTAGCGTTTGAAACATATACCATATTAATCATGTGGAATCCTGCAGTTCTATTTCCTCCACTAATCTCGTATGTGTTTTTTTTTCTGCTTTCTGCTCACTTAATGTAGTGTGACTTTTCTGTGTAGAGCGTCGACCAGGACGTCTTCATCACGGACCGGGAGGTCATTGCTACCGATGTGAATTGCCTGATCAGTGGCCTTCACTGAATGATCTGAATGATAATAAACGATTTTACGTGGTAAGATATTTTAAGACTCTCCCAGTGGTAGCAGTTTTACTTTGTTTTTGCTCCCGACAGTCCGGTTGTGAGTGATTGGTTTGCTTTTGCAGGTGCAAGAATCAGAGCTGCTAAAATATGACTGGATTCGTCTATACATGGAAGTTTCATTCCTCGAAGCAACTATAAGTCTTGAAAGCCCCAAACCAGAGCTGTCAAAATTGGTGATTTCGAATGTAGCTGTAGAAACTATGGAAAATGTGGAGCTGCCAAATGAGAGACTCATGGCCAGAGATGCAACTTTCTACATAAGGTACACCTATCCAGGTATGGGTCATCGCTTGGCCGTCGTTAGGAGAATCATGAAGGAAGAAAGCCTCTCTCTCCTCTTCAAAAAGTCTAGCCTCCATTGAGTTCCATTTGAAAATCTGGATCACATAATAAAACTCTGAATGCTCTGATACAGTTTCAATTGTCGTTTGGTTTTCGTAAGTGTGTTGGTTCTTTTTTTGTAAGATTCGTGAGGTGTTTCATATGTTATTAGTAGTATTATTTCCCCTTGCTACGAATGTCCTAAACTGGTGTTTGCTTCTGGTCCGATGCTAGTAAGTTCATTCCTCTGTTTTGCTTGTTCTTAGGGCACTGATCATTCATGTTAAAATAACTCATTGTTCAGACCTGGCCTTCTTTGACATTTTGACGAGTTTTTAACATTATTTTCTTCTGCTTCGATTCTTCTTCGACTCTCTTCCTCGCCTTGTTCAATTCTTCTTTGCTACTCTCTTTGCTGTTTGATTGATGATGACTTGTGTTCTAAGCAACACACCGCATGTTCTAGGGATAACTTGTCAAACCATGATATTAAAAACTTCTCGCAGTCTCTGTACTGGTGACTGAATCCTGTGAGGAGGATCACGTCGGTCATACTCTCTCTTGTGCTTGGGCCTAATTAATAATACTCCTGCTTCTGCTTCCTCAGCCGTATGATCGCCGATATCTCCCAAAAGTGTTTTCAGCAAGGTTGTCACAAATGTTGAGGCTCTCTATCTCGCATATCAATAATTGAATGAAATGATTATCAACATAGATTGAGAGATAGACATAGATTGAAAAGATTGGTAGATATCAAAAACATCAACAGGAAACTTCACTAAAACCAAAACTTTCTCTACGAGAGAGTAAATTATGTTATGAAAGCGAAAAGATTGAGTAACTATTGAAGATAAAAGGCATAGATCTCAGTCAGCTATTGAATATCAGTGGAAACAAGATAATTAACAAGACCAGATCCATTTGAAAATGTGGATCACATTATAAAACTATGAGTGCTCTAAAAAAGTTCCAATTACCGTTTGGTTTTGGACTTTTGGCAAGTGTGTTGTTTTTTTTTTGTACGATTTGTGAGGTCTTTTATGTTAAGCTTGTTTATAAGAGCAAGCAAAACAGAGGAATGAACTTTTAAACCAATCATTACCCTTATAACATGGAGTAGAAGACAGAATTTTAGCCTTTTTCTTTTTTACTATTTTTGATATATGACATTACTGAAATTTACAATAATTGGCCCATAATTTTATTATGATTGGTGTACTTGGGAATAAGGGTACAGATTATAAGCAGATTCAGAAGGATAAAGTAATCAACACGACATAATCAAAAGACAAAGACGATGGCTTGAAGCGCAAGCCATCACCCCTTCAAACATTTTCACAACTTGGAAGACTTGTTGATCACTCTCTCTGCCTCCATCACATCGAAAAATGCTTCCAACCTCGGGTCTAGAATTGCCAGGAAATCTCCATTTTAAGTACCCAATCGAGAAAAAGCTGGACTACTTCAATAACGGCGTCTGCTCCTACAAAGATTACTGGTGATGCATGTAACTGATTGTTTCGCTTACTCGAATAAGAAAATGAGTATCTATACTTATTATATAAATTTGTTTCCCCTACTTCATTAATGTAAACCATAAACTCTAAATTTGGTGAAATGATCAGCGACTTACTCTTCCATGTCCATTTTATGTCATCCATTTAAATGAATTCGGAAAAATGTTCAACCAAATAGAGAAGAAAGAGATTTTGATTCAGCGAGCACTTAAAACTTCCATAAAATATATAATTTGACTTTGATTTTCATATATAAGAGTGTTTTTGGATCTATGTAAATTTAGCTTATAGTAAAGTGTCAGACAACTTTAATGCTATAACTACGTAGTATAGGATAAACCCTCAAGTCTCTGATATAGTGATGATAAACATAGCAATGTGCATAGCTTTTGATATTACAGTGACGAGGAAGAAAACTCTTCTGTGGAGTTTAAGATCATGGATTCAGGGTATAATGGGTAGAGATCACAACCAGAAACAGAGGATTTCATTGTCGTTGCTGTTTGATCAGTCACACCAGACGTGCTCGAGCTACCATGTGTATCAGTGTCCCTCAGCTTTGAGATGCTCCAGTTGGGTCCATATAAACCAGGATCTGACATAACCTGTGTTATTTCAATCTCTCCCTCTAGCATTTGCACAGCCTCTGACATCGTTGGCCTTAAGGAAGGAGATGAGTTTATGCAAACAAGAGCAACTTTGATCATCCTTACTGCTTCGTTTCTATTGAACTCACCTTCGAGCATTGGATCTACAATCTCCATTATGTCCCCTGTCTGTTGCAGCGTCAGCGCCTGAGATTTGATGTAAATACCAGTTTCAGTAACAACTTATGGAAACAGATTGTGAATAGAATGGACTAAACAAAAAAAAGGAAAAAAAGCTCGACGGTTACCCGATTGATAAGCGAGACGTTTTCAGCATTTCCCTGCTGCTTCAAATTACTCTTTCCACTAACAATTTCCATTGCCACAACTCCGAAGCTGTACACGTCTGCTTTCTCTGTCAGTTGACCCCATAATGCATATTCTGGAGCCATATATCCACTGCAGCATCAGAGAAACCAAGAATGAGATGTTTTACACTCATGATGCGGTTTTTGTTTTATGTTCTATACTTACATGGTTCCTGCAATTTTGGTGCTAATGTGACTGCGTTCTGCTTCATGGAGCCTAGCCAATCCAAAATCAGATATCTTTGCATTAAGGTCGGCGTCTAGAAGCACATTAGTGGTTTTTATGTCACGGTGAACCATCCTCATCGCCGATCCTTCGTGGAGGAATTCAAGCCCTCTTGCGATTCCAACACATATTTTTTGTCTTGCTGCCCACTCCAGTTTCAAGGAACTCTTTCCTGGCAATGGATGTAAACCAGAGAGAAATTACATATTTGTGCACTTGAATTAGACTTAAAACGTCTGGAAAAACTGAGTCACTTTTATTTACCAAACAGTGCAAGCGCAAGGGAGTTATTTTCCATGTACTCATACACAAGCAACAACTGATCCTTCTCAACACAACATCCATAAAGCTTGACAAGGTTTGGATGATTCAGACCTGAAATCATGCCTATCTCATTCACAAATTCGCGGTTTCCTTGGCATGACTTTGAAGAAAGCTGCTTGACTGCTATGATTGTTCCATCCGACAGCTCTCCCTGCATTAAGTTTCTCATATCAGAAACAACCTTATTTTCTCAGGTATCTATGTTTGAGAAGAACTTGGTATACTTTGAATACGGATCCGAAACCTCCTTCTCCAAGTTTGTTGGCTTCATCAAAATTGTTTGTTGCACTTTGCAGTTGCCTCCAAGTATAGCAAACCGTTTGTAGACCCTGAGCTCTCAGTTCTATGTGATCATGTTCACAAGAAAAAAAAAAACATTAATAATGAGGAATGAATTCATAACTGGATTCTCAAAAACTTTATTTTTATAAAAGGAAAGATAAAAGACCTTCGTAAACTTCCATACCTCTTTCTCTCGTGTTCTTGTCTCCTCTGCATCTTTTCTGAGCAAAAAATCCCAAAACCAAGAGAATAATTGTTACCAAGGCACTCGTTACCCCGAAAATTAGTGGATACTTAGTCTTAGAGTGATGTTTTGCTTTCTCCGCTGCATATGAGACACTAAAAGTGTAAATTTATATACTTGATACATCATACATAGACCAACTACAGAAAAATATCTTTAACAAAGTATATATATTTTTGTTGACCTCCACATTGTGGCTCCAAACCTGACATTGAGAACAAGATGAATATTAGCGTTAGAATTTGAAGTGAATATATATGACCACTTGAGAGTGAAGCAAGTCAATGTGACGAAAGCCACAAAAACAATACGGAGTAAGTTGCATGCCGAAGCAGAGACTTGATATAGTCAAATAATTTTGAGTTTCAACGAATGGAGGAGAAGGGTACTTACTGTGGTGACACAAGGAGATCGCAGAGATAAGAGGACCATAATTTCCTCTTCTGGGAATGAGGGTTGTCCCTTTCCCCGCCCAATACAAACGGATTTCTAACGTATGATCACTCACATTCACAGCTTTTATTTCTTTCACAAGAGGCTTTAGAGTCCCATTAGCCTCCTCTTTGATGTTAAAATCTCTCAAGAACAATTCTCCCTGACAGGAGAGAAAAGGTTAAAAAGCAAATAAACTTCAATCTTCCATGCAACTTCTGATCAAAGAAACAATTATTAAGTAGCTAGTAATGCTTCACACCACCTGAACATAGACATCAAATATGCGTCTGCCGAGACGGCTATATAGTTCTTCGTCTGAAAACTGAATCTCCATAAAATGTAGTTTCACATTGTAAGCTCCATTTTGCAAGCAAAACGCATAATAAACGAGAGAGAGAGCAGATCGACGTGCAGACTTATAAATATCAGAAGAATCTCCATATAGTGCTAAACTAGTGGAAAGGATGAACTGCTCCTCCTCACTACGCTCATCCTTGAATCCACCAGTGTTACTAATTCCCCAGTTTTCGAAGCGCTGATTTGTTGCAGCATTGAATTTGTAGTTATCCGCTTGATAAGTGATTTTATAAGAAGAGTTTATGATAACTATGTTGTCTCCACCACAATTTATATGTAGAAATCGCTGATCTACAATCCATGATTATTATCACCATAAACAAAAAGAGACTTAACTCACTAAGCATAGATGTTAGAGATCAGTTATAAGTTAGAAATCCTCATCATGTACTTACAACTTGTGCAGTTTATTGGACCAGCGCATGGAAGAAGCCCACTTCTGTATAACAAGACTACCAAAATAGTTAGGCACCTCATCTGTACAACAAATTCCAACCATATCTATTGCTGTATTTGAAAGCAAGAATTTCAAAGTTGTATATGTTCTTGTAGTTTGATTGTTCCAAGATAAAGCAGAAGAGTGCACTTACAAATTGTTCTTCAAATATGAGCTCCGGTATGTGTTAATGTTACTGATTCAAAAAAAAAAAACTTCAGCAAGAACAGGTTATAGATACAAGACAGGAGCATGTTGTATCAATGTATCCTATCTACCAAGGTTACCTCTTTTCTTGGCAGCTAGACGACCATGAGAAATTGTTGTAAGAGATATCACTGTGAAGAATTGACAAAAAAGAGAAAACGAGGAGACATATTAGATGACATGACCAAAATATATAAAGTCATATGGACAAGGGGAAGCATAAACGTACATATTAGATTGGCTATTTAGAAGAACACCAGAAACGTGTCCAGAAAGCCTATTTCCCGTCAAATAGCTAAAATTAAAGAGCAAACGTCAAAACGATAATGAGAGATCTCCAGCTCTTCAACATCTTTTATCTCAGCTTGTAGTACTTACGTAAATCTTGGTTGTTTTTGTACTCCAAGAACTTCACCTGTCAGCTTGTTAAACGATACATCACTGCAGCATATGCGTACAAAATACATAGATAAAATTAGTATATGGATATACTTGTGTAACAATTGTATATGCTTGCATATATGTATCTCATTCTCACCAAAAAAAAAACATTTTCTTTTCCCTCTAATGTTTATTCATGTGTGTACATGACAGTCTATAATATAGTGAAAACATGATGAATATTTTGAATGATAAAAAACAGCGGAATTACGTTTTGAAAACATGAATAAGTGGTATATCATTCATCCCTAAAGCTTTTTCACTTGTGACCAGAAAGAACTTACAGAATCTTTAGCTCTGGCATACTCCAGACGTAAGAAGGGATCAAACCATACATACTCACATTCCTCAAAATTCTGGAATAGGGACAGATATCATAGTTAGAAATTTTCAAATAGTATTAAGCCTTAAGAAGAGAAACATAGAAGTGGAAAATAAATACAAGGTGTTGATGGCTTTGCTGGATATATTTGGAAAGGATTCTATCCCAGTCGTATCAGTAATAATCCTGCATGTGAATATATCGCTAATTAAAAACATCAGTCTTGTTTCAATTGTCATTTTGCTTATCTATTGAAGGTTGTTAATTACTTACAGTTTCGAAAGATTTTCTAGGCGGGCAACTTCATTAGGAATAGGTCCTTTCAGTCCACTTGCGGATAGATGTCTGTTGATCATATAACCGACACAAGTTAGGCGGTGCATAAACACAAACTCTATAAAACCTAATTGGTGAAGGACAAGCTTACAGCTTTCTAAGCCCAGACCAGTTGCCAATAAATCCTGGGATGATGCCACTGAAGTTATTGTCACTTAACCTACTGTATAACGATAACAAACAAGTAGCTTATACTTTAGACCTTTGTAAAACTTATATCTTCTAGGACTACTCTATAGGTTTTCCATTTTCAAGTAGAGCAACGAGTAAAACTTACAAATCCTCAAGTTTAACCAGTCTAGCGAGAGAGATAGGCAAGCTTCCTGTAAACTGATTGGACGCAAGATGTCTGCAAAACCCAATTTCAGAAGAGATCAATACCAAAGACTCTTGTGGTTTTTTCACAAATGGTTCTGATGCAAAATTTCTTACAATCCTGTTAGGTTGATCAAGTTACCAAGCTCATCAGGAATGGGACCAGAGAACTGGTTGGCTTCAAGTCCTCTGAAAAGTTCATCACATTACTGTAATGTAACTAAAAGGCACATTGAGTACATGTAGGGAAACAATTTGAGACGTACAGGAATGTCAAGTTCTTGAAGTTTTGCAATCCAGGAGGTAGATTTCCAGACAAACGATTCGCGCAGAGCGAGCTGCAAGAAAATCAACCTTACTCGCAAATCATGAAGATGAAGAAACATCGGAGAGAAAGAAGAGAGAGAGAGCTAACATGAAAGTGAGGTGTTGCATTGAAGCCCACTCCATGGGGATTGTGCCTGAAAGGTAGTTTCGACATAAGTCTCTGCAAACAAGAACAAAAGCACGTTGGGCATGGTTCTCTTTGGTGATTCTCTCGCTACATGATTTGATGATTTTCTCCATTTTCTTTAGGTTTTATATTTGAAAAGCATTTCAAAAACGTTAGACAAAAAAAAAACAAAGCATTTCAAAAACAATGATTTTTTATTTATTTATTTGGCTCTCTGCTTTTGTACTCTGTTCCTCAAAACAGTACTTTTTGTTGATGGTTTTTCTTTTGTGAAAACGTATCACGTGGTTGAACGTACATCCTTTGGAGATATCGAAGGTCGGCCAACTCAGGTGGAAGTTTTCCTGGAAGGCTAAGGGTCTTGAGCTCTCTGTTCTCGCTCAAAATGCAACCACAAAATAGAAATTACCACAAAGATTTTTTGGTATACGATTAATAAGAAAATTAAAGTATTAAAGAAGAGAATACAGAACAATAAATAACACTCACATGCTTGTTATATGACATATCGTGTTGTTGTAAAAGCTACAATCACAAACAATGGTGTTGTTTATCTCCGAATTCGAAACAATAGAGAGTCCTTTCTCCATAGTTAGGGTTGCTAAAGTGCAAGGGTCTCCATTACGTAGGTTTAATCCCTTGATTCCAAGTGTAGTAGCCATCTTCTCTAGCGTATTTACTGCATGCATAGACATATTACCAACTATAAATATACAGATCATATGCGGATTTGGGCGATGATTCTAAAAAAATGCTTAAAATGGCTATAATTCTCATACATTCGTCTGGATGGAGGCGAGCTGATAAAACAGATGTTGAAATTGTAAAGAAGATTGTGATGATGGTAAAAAAGTGAAGAAGGAATGAGAATCCGGTCAACATATTTATGATTCTGTGTGTTAACATCAGAAAGGGGCTCAATAATTATATAGTGCATGGAAACTTAAATGTTATGGAGAACCGACCCGTTTACTGGAGCAAATTAAACCAACATGACTAGGTCAAATGATTAGTTGAGATGTGGAATTATTGAGTTGAGTAGAATAAGGCTGTAATACGGAAAATAGAAGAAAAACAAACAAGACTGAATGGTTTTAATCACGCTAAAAACACCATTTAACATAGTAAATGTATTTAGGCAATCAAATTAATGATAAAGGACCACATATAGTTTAATAATTTGAAATAGTGTTCTCGCCTTGTCATTCGGGTTTGAATCCATCGTGTGAAAATACAAACGACGACAAAAAGAAAAAAAGGAAGAAGCAAAAAAAAAAGCATTGAACGTCGAAGACTCTAGTTTTCTAAGTAAACGCAAGACAATAAAGGCAATGACAAAAGTTGTCGTTGTAAAGTGCAATTCAATGGCACATGGAGCTTCTTAAAGACTTTTTTTTTGCAATAAAATATGAAATGGCGTAAAGTTCAATTTAATATTAGAGAATGACCCCCATGCAATCAATTGATTCCTTAATTTGACCCCTCACATATTTAGTTTTCATTTAACATTAACTCATTTTCTATGTTTGTTTTGTGTATTTTTTAAAAAAATGGCTACAAATCTCTAAAATTATGGTCATATTAATTTTTTTAGACGTATTCTATTTTTTTTTCAAACCTATTTTTCAAAATTGCTCTTAGACATATTTTATTTAGTTTAAAATAAGTTACTTAATATTAATATATAATTAAATAAAAATAATTAATTATATATGACCCCTATAAACTAAAATTCTAGCTCCGCCACTGATTTGATGTCACCCAAGTCAATCTCATGGAGAGAAATCGATTATAAGTTTAATCATAGTGAGAAGAATGATAGTTTGATTCAGTAATCACTAGAGACTTTCATAAAAAGATAGAATTCGAGTTTTACATACATACATAGCGATTACATGTGTTTTTGGATATATGTAAATTGAGGCAATGTAACTTCAGACATCTTTGTGTTAAAAGATAACTTCACAAACTTATCTTCTCTCATAAGAGAAATGGCAATTCACATAGCTTTTGATATCACAGTGATCTCGGAGAAAGTTCTACTGTGGAGTTTAGGATCATGGATTCTGGGTATAAGGGGTAGAGATCATTACCAGGGACAGATGATTTGGTTGTGGTTGTCGTTTGATCGGTAACACCGGACGTGGTGCTTGAACTACCAATATCCCTCAGCTTCGAGATGCTCCAGTTGGGTCCATATAAACCAGGATCTGACATAACTTGAGTTATTTCGATCTCTCCCTCAAGCATTTGCACGGCCTCTGACATTGTTGGTCTCAACGAAGGAGACGAGTTTGTGCAAACGAGAGCAACTTTGATCATCCTTACTGCTTCATCACTGTTGAAATCACCTTCAAGGATTGGATCTATGATCTCCATTATGTCTCCTTTCTGTTGCAGCGTCAGAGCCTGAGAATTGATGTAAAAATATGGGTTTCAGTACCACACAGAGTCAACTGTATAAATTGTGAAACGAATGGGTTAAAAAGAAAGAAAAGCTCCACAGTTACCCAATTGATAAGCGAGACGTGCTCAGCACTTCCCTTCTGTTTGGTATTGCTCTTCCCGCTAACAATTTCCATTGCCACAACACCGAAGCTGTAGACATCTGCTTATTCCGTCAAGTGACCCCATAATGCATATTCCGGAGCCATATATCCATTGTAGCATTAGTGTATTACATGAGAATTGAGCATTAGAGTACACATCTGCTTTGGTTGAGTATTACATGAACTAAAGACTTGAACAAGTTGCATATTTTGTCAAGTCGTAGTCAAATCTTCTTGAGAATTGACTCTTACTTTTCCTTGGATCTGAAAACAACTGGGTATAAAAATTGGTTTACTCCACTTCAGATTTCCTCTGTTTAAGGCCAATGACCACAGAAACTCTGCAAATGCCAGAGAGAGCTATCCAAATAACCAAATAAATCTCAGACAATCTCATATGCAAGTATTCCCTATCCCTAGGGTTTGAACCTCCCCTACGGTCTAGAAAACACAATGGACTCGGGATTAAGAGGGTACAGATCGTAACCAGATTCAGAGGATGACGTAATCGACAAGACATGATTATCAGAGGACAAAAATGATGGCTTGAAGCGCAAGTCATCACCATACACTCCAGGGTCTAATATGATCTGTTCTATCTCAGTCTCCCCTTCAAGCATCTTCACAACTTCTGACATGCTTGGCCTTAATGTCGATGACTTGTTGGCGCATAAAAGTGAAACCTTTATCATTCTCTCTGCCTCCATCACATTAAACACTCCTTCCAGCCTCGGATCTAGAATCTCCGCGAAATCCCCTTTCTTTTGCAACACAAATGCCTGGAAATGAGAATTAAGAGTTTATTTGAGAGAAAGCTGAGTTCTTGTGGAGAAAAGGACTGAATCAGTACCCAATCGAGAAGGCCAACACAACATTCGTCATCTGGTGTGTATTTTGCGTTGCTCTTTCCGCTAACAATCTCCATTGCCACCACACCGAAGCTGTAAACATCTGCCTTTTCTGTTAGGTGACCCCTCATTGCATATTCAGGAGCCATATATCCTCTGCAACAAAGATAACACTAACTGCTATTAAAACATCATCTTATGATGGATTCATCTGTATGACTGACTATGCGACTAACATTGTTCCAGCAACTCTGGTGGTAATATGACTCTGATTGTCTTCATGGAGCCTGGCCAACCCAAAATCTGATATCTTTGCGTTCAGATCCTTGTCTAGCAGAACATTTGTCCCTTTAATGTCCCGGTGAATGATTTTAACTGCTGAATCTTCATGAAGGAAAGCAAGCCCTCTCGCGATTCCTAAGCAGATTTTGTTTCTTGTTCCCCATTCTAGTTTCAGACAGCTTCTTCCTGCTCCCACAGTTTACAAGCAAACAATCAATATCAAGACAGAAGAGAATCCACTCAAAGGATTGTGTCCAAACATCTATCAGATAATTTACCAAATAATGCATCAGAAAGACAATTGTTCTCCAAGTACTCATAGACAAGAAGCAGCTGGTTTTTCTCAACACAGCATCCATAAAGCTTCACAAGGTTCGGGTGCTGCAGGCAAGCGATCATACCGATCTCATTTACGAACTCTTTGTTACCTTGATGTGATTTGGAAGATAGCTTCTTTACCGCAATCAATGTTCCATCTGGTAATCGCCCCTGTATTGTCAAATTTTTGGCTTTACCGTCACCTGTTTTTAAGAATACTACCATTGATTTCTAGAGCTTGAAGACTCTTTTGTACCTTATAAACAGATCCAAAGCCGCCTTCTCCAATCTTGTTTAAGGGATCAAAATCATCGGTCGCAACTTTTAGTTTCCTCAAACTGAATGAACCTGTTATTAGATTAGGTCCAGCTCTTTATTTTACAAAAAAATATCAGACAACAAAACTTTACATGGTTTTTAAGTACCGGATTCAAGTGATTATTACCTCGTTCTGCTGCATTTGCATTGCTAACACACTTTCTCCAACAGAATGCGCCCAGGAGCAAGAAAGCAAGAGAGAGTGCTAAGCCAAGAATAAGATGATATTTTGTTGGTTTATGATCTTCTTTTACTGGAAGAATCTGCACTGGAACTGAATGCGGACAAAAGAAAACAAAGAGAAAATATTTATCCATATTCAAGCTTTAGCAGGAAAAAAGGACTCAAAGACTTGACATTTCTTCTTCATACCACCGCATTCAGATTCTGAACCTGGTAAAACAAGAACAAGTAAACAATTAGGATAAAACTTTCTGAAGGAAACTTCATGTTTACTTCCACAGAACTTTACTTACTGGGACAAACTGAGACTGCAGAGATAAGAGAGCCATAGTACCCTCTTTGAGGAATGACCATCGTGCCTTTCCCTGCCCAGTAAAGCCGTATCTCTAATGTGTTATCAGTCACAGTCGTGTTCACTTCTCTTATAACTTCTTTGTGAGTTCCATTAGCCTCCTCTCTGATGCTAAAATCCTCCCAAATCAACTTCCCCTGAACAGAATTAAAGTTCAAGCTTCAAGAATCGGCTAAAAACGCTGAAAAGGTATTCTTAAAGAATTTGCGGCAAAGCGTATATGTACCTGAATGTAAATGTTAAAAACCCGTCTCGCTAGTTTGGAGTATGGTTCCTCATCTGAGAACTGAATCTCTGCAAAATGGAGTTTCACGTTGTAGCTTCCATTTTCGAAGCAAAATGCAAAGTAAGCCAAACTAAGGGGAGAACGCCGAGCTGTCTGATAAAGCTCAGGATATTTTGCTGATACTACAGATTCTGATGAAACTGAGTATATATCTTCGGTTATTGCATCATCCATAAAGTCACCAGTGTTGCTAAATCCCCAGTTTGCGCTATGATAGTTCATAGCTGAACCTGCGGGTCCATATTTATCACCCTGGTACAGAAACTTTCCACGAGAGTTTTCGATAGTTACATTAGGTCCCCCACAGTTTATATGCAGCGATCTACTATCTGTGGAAAGTAAACAATTTCCAGTTCATATGCAGAAACTCGAAAATGGGTATTTGAAAATCAATAAAAAGGCAAAAGAACCTACAATTTTGGCATTGCTTTATGGCGGAACATGGAAGAAGTTTGGTTCTGTATACAGAACAATGAGTTAATAACAGTACACAAAGTATGATTGATAAGATTTACAAAATGCTCTTACAGACGGTTTCTTGAGTGTGAGCTCTCATATGTGTTTATATTCCTGGATGGAAACTTATGTTAAGAGTATCCAGAAAGTTTAACAAGACTAAAGGCGGTAGTTGACAACAGAAAAAACATACTTCCTCTCTTTGCACATTGGGGACCACGTGAAATTATTATAAGAAAGATCACTGCACATATGAATATTGGTAAAAGGAGAGATTAATGTAATGCCGAGAAATGATTTGACGTATATGACTGCTATAAAACAAGATTGGCCATACATATTTGTGCTTGCAGTAAGGAAAGCTCCTGTTTCAACCTTTCCAGACAACATGTTTCCAGCTAAATATCTGAAAAATGAAGCCAGGAGATGAGTTCAACAGCATTAGTAAATTTTAATAGCATACCTAATCCTTTTGATCATCTAACACTTTAGGACTTACGTGTATTTCGGGGCGGTTGCATATGCTGGTATTTCTCCAGTCAGCCTATTAAAGGAAAGATCCCTGTCCAAAAAAAGGCATCATAAGAGATTGGACAGCGTTTAGCAAGATGCGTAGCGATAGAACATGAGACTTACAGCGTCATTAAACTGGGCAGATCCCAGATACTGGTTGGAATTGGTCCAGATAAGTTTATGTTTCTCAGAACCCTGAAAATGATCAACATCAGTCTAAACATATGTGATTGACCATAGGATCGTATCTGGACCTGAGACATAAAGATGTACTATTACATACAAATATTTCAGGCTCTTGCCAGTTATCTCAGGAACATGTCCCAATCCTCCAACCATGTCACTGATTCTCCTGCATAGAAAGAAAAGGCCACAAATTACAATATTATTGCTTCAACATATATCTAAAGAGAATAAAAAACTTACAGGTCGATCAAATTCTCCAGATGAAAAATGGAGTCTGGAATAGGTCCTCTAAGGCCACTCGCATAGAGTTCTCTGATACAACGTTATTAGCACAAGTCAGAAAACATTGAAATGTAAAAATACTAACTATTTAAGTGTAATGAAAAATAAAGATACTTTACTCACAATCGTTGAAGTTTTGATAACTTCCCAATAAACTCTGGAATCGATCCGTTCAGGCAATTATCACTTAAATGGCTATAAACAATATAATGAAGAGTAATTCAGCATGATGAACACATTCCAAAGCTGATATTTTGTAAACAAATCCACATGAGAAAGATGATCTTACAGATTAGTTAGATTTGTTAGTCTTGCTAATGTCTTGGGGAGGTCTCCGACAAGTTGGTTGGAAGAGAGTCCTCTGGAATCAGCAAAACAAAATCAAATGAATCATGTTTGAGAAAATCACTGAGTCATAAACCTGTTTCGATCTCTTCCAAAGTGATTTAAAAAGGGTCTTACGTACAGTCCCTGAAGATTCACTAGGTTCCCTAGTTCCTTAGGAATAGTTCCAGAAAATTGATTGGCTTCAAGAACTCTGCAATCAAACAAAAGGATGATAATATTAGTTTCTAGAAAGGTTCAAAACTTTTTCTGTGTTGTTTTCATAAGACCAACAAAATAATGATAAAAACATACAAAAGGGTGAGGTTAATAAAATTCCCCAATCCTTTGGGAATGTCTCCTGATAAGCGGTTTGCGCAGACAGAGCTGCAGAGAAACATTTCAGGTAACTTCAGAAGCTTTTCTTACTTTCCTAAAAACAAACAAACTTGAGAACAAAGACTTACATAGATTTGAGGTAAGGCAGTGAGGTCCATTCCATAGGAATTGAGCCAGAAAGGTAATTATGGTATAAGTCACTACAAAAACAAGCAAAAGAATTCCAGCCATTACTTACTATGTTTCTTCTACGATAGCAGTAGATATTGAAAATAGCTGAAACGCTGAAAACCATCCTCACATCGATTCAAGATGCCGAAACTTGTACAGCATTGGAGGAAGTCTACCTGGAAGATTGAATTTCTGGAGGACACTAGACATGAGGTACATAGTAATTGGTCAGAAACAAGAGAAATAAGCAGAAGAACGGTTAGTTTCTTTTTTTTTTCTGAATGGTTTTTCTTACAAGTGTGTGATATGACAAGTGCTGTAGTTATCGAAATGACAGTCACATCTGATTGTGCTGTTCTGTCCTTCCTTCAGAACACGTTGAGATATCACCAGAGTTTTTGTGAGACATGGATCTTCACTTAGGTTCAAGTGCTTCACACCCAATGTTTCTGCGATATCCTTCAGCGCTTCCACTGGAGAAGACAGCAAACCAGAAACACAATCACGTTTAGTTCAAATTCACAAAGAGAGGCCACATATATATATGATATAATGCTTTGAAACTACTAAACCTTCATCTGGGTGCAGAGAAGGAGAAGCAGATTCTGTACATAAAAAGTAGATAGGAGTTATAAGAACAAAGAGAATAGAGCTGAAAAGGCAACTTTTCGACATAAGCATGAGGTTGTAAGCTGCAGACATGGAAGATTGTGTTCAAGTGATCTATCTATCTATGACTTGAAACAATACATAAATATATATAACTGAAACCCTCCTTGAATACGAATGCACATATATATAAATATAGTTCGAAATATATGTATATATAGAAAATCGTGAAAAAGTGAAATGCAGTTTGACTAAGTTGAGGTTAAGAGTAAGCACATGGGTTAGTCATTGCTTGTATTAGGCAGCTTGACAATTTCTATGCATAACTTTGGTTGAGTATTATTACATGTACATGAAACAAGACTTCAACTAGTTGCATATTTTATTCAGTCTTCTTGAGAGTTGACTTCTACTTTCCCTTGGATCTAAAAGCTAGTGGGTATAAAAATTGGTTTACTCCAGATTAATCTTATTGAATCTCCTCTGTTAAAGGCCAATAAAGTCAGAAGCTCTGCAACTGCCAGAGGGAGAGATCCAAATAACCAAAGATATCTCAGACCCTCTCATACGCAAGAATTCCCTATCCCTAGCTCCTTATCAAATAAGACATCATTTTTGAATCAGACCACCATGAAATCTACATTGACATACTTGTTATCGATTATATTCTGTATACCAAAAACCATCTTACCCAATGGTGAACGTTTACAGGACAAGAAATCAATCTGTCCCCTATTATATGGCTTTTGGTATAGAGACTTCATGGTTATAACTTCATTAAAAACGTGTGGGAATGGTTCTTCCCGAATCATCATCAGCACCACAATCTAGAACCATATGCTCAACCAATAAAAAGTTCCCCAGTGCACAGAGAAACAGATTCAGGACTAGAAGAGGAAAGTAAGATGTAAGAAAGACACCAAAGATGTAACCTTAGTAGTTGTATAACATGGCATTGATACCTCAGTTGCAAATGGTGTTAACCAAAACATTTAACTTGATTTGACTAACATTTCATGAAGAAATCGTAAGCCCAAACCTAACTGTAGCTAGAAAAAAAGGCAAGATGTTGTTACCTAATTTAAAACTAATCACTGCAAAGAGTTTCCTCAACAATTCATGATAGATTTTAAGCAAAGAAAAAGCTTCCACAAAGTTATGACACTCTACAGCTCTAGTCTAATTATGCAGTTTTAATCTCGTTATCTTGTGTGTTCACTGTTCATAGATAATGGCAATGCAAATGCAGCTTCAAGCTTACCAAGTTACAATCTCTACCAGACAAGAAAAAAAGCTATGGCGTTATGCATTTCAATCATCAAAAAGCTTAATATCTGCAATTTGACGAATTTATCTTTGTCCATTGATGATATTTAGAAAGAAAAAAAAAACAGAGTCACAGACCTCAATGTCATCACGTTGGGGAAGAAGAAGTGCTGCAATGTAGGTGCCATTGTCGAGCTCAGGTCGGAGCCACCGAGAAGTATCATCATGATATTCTCGCCGGCAGAGAGGGTGATCATGTCGAGCACACCCACGGCGGGAACCAAAGAACTCTAATTTCATAGCCCAATTTAACCCAATTGAACGATTTTTTGGCCACTGACTCAAAAGCGTCATTTTTTCCCTTCTTATAACCAAAGTTTCAGTCTTGGGCAATGAAATATGTGAAAAAAAAGGTAACAGAGATTCTTATGTAAAGGACGGTAACAATGGGATCTAGGGTCTAGAGAAAACAATGGACTCGGGACTAAGAGGGTACAAATCGTAAGCAGATTCACAGGACGAAGTAATCGACACGAGATAATCGGAAGGTAAAGACGATGTTCCCATCTCCGACGATCTTTTAACATCGCCGTACACTCCAGGGTCTGATATGCTCTGTTCTATCTCTGTCTCTCCTTCAAGCATTTTCACAACTTCTGACATGGTTGGTCTTAATGTTGGAGACTTACTGGAGCATAAAAGTGAAACCTTTATCATTCTCTCTGCTTCCATCGCATCGAACACTCCTTCAAGCTTCGGATCCAGAATCTCCGCAAAAGCCCCTTTCTTTTGTAGTACAAATGCCTGGAATTTGAAAATCAAGAACCTTTATTAGTACCCAATTGAGAGAAAGCTGAGTTTTTGTTGGAGAGTGGGATTGGTTTAGTGGTACCCAATCGAGAAGGCCAACGCAACATTCGCTATCTGGCGTGTAATTAGCGTTGCTCTTTCCGCTAACGATCTCCATTGCTACCACACCGAAGCTGTAAACATCTGCCTTTTCTGTTAGGTGACCTCTCATTGCATATTCAGGAGCCATATATCCTCTGCAACCATAATAGCATTAACTGTCACTGAAACATTATTATCATAAGTAGGGTTATGTGTTTATGACTGAGTATAAGACTGACATTGTTCCTGCAACTCTGGTGGTAATGTGACTCTGATCGTCTTCATGGAGCCTGGCCAACCCGAAATCTGATATCTTTGAGTTCAGATCCTTGTCTAGCAGTATATTTGTCCCTTTGATGTCTCTGTGAATGATCTTAACCGCTGAATCTTCGTGAAGAAAGGCAAGCCCTCTTGCTATTCCCAAGCATATTTTGTGTCTTGTTCTCCAGTCTAGTTTCAGACCGCTTCTTCCTGCAACCAACAGTTACAAGAAAATAATCATCTTAAAGACAGAGGAGAATGCCGTAAAAGGATTTGGTCTCTATCAGATGATTTATGCTCATCTACAGAAGTAAAGAAGAAGCAGAACTTTACCAAATAATGCATCGGCAAGACAATTGTTCTCCAAGTACTCATAGACAAGAAGCAGCTGGGTTTTCTCAACACAGCATCCATAAAGCTTGACAAGGTTCGGATGCTGCAGGCAAGCGATTATACCGATCTCGTTTATAAACTCTTTATTGCCTTGACATGATTTGGAAGATAACTTCTTTACGGCAATCAATGTTCCATTTGGTAATCGCCCCTGCATTGTCGAATGTTTTGTTTTAAAGTCATCTGTTTTTAATACTAACATTGATTTCTACAGCTTGAAGACTCTTTTGTACCTTATAAACAGATCCGAAGCCACCTTCTCCAATCTTGTTTGACGGATTAAAATCATCAGTTGCAACTTTTAGTTGCTTCAAACTGAAGGAACCTGCTATCAGATAAATCCCTTTGAGCTCTTCATTTACCGAAAACACCGAGAAAAAAAAGTTTGATGTTACCTCTTTTTCCTGCATCTGCATTGCTAACACATATTTTCCAATAGAGCGCGCCCAAAATCAAGAAAGCAAGAAAGAGTATTAAGGCTGCTATGCCGAGAATGAGAGGATGTTTTCTTGGTTTGTGTTGTTGTTTTGTGACTTGATGAATTGGCACCGGAACTGAAGATTGACAGAAGCAGATAAAGAAAAAGATTGATTCAGATTCGGATATAAAAGGTAGACAAAAAGAGGATTCAAGGTCTTGACAGTTCTTCCTCTTACCGCCACATTCAGGCTCTGAACCTGATAAAACAAGAACAACAAACGAATTAGGATAAAAGATTCTGAGAGAAATTAATTTTTTCTTTTAGAAAGATTTTACTTACTGGGACAGACTGATATTGCAGAGATAAGAGAGCCATAGTTCCCTCTTTTAGGAATGATCGTCGTGCCTTTCCCCGCCCAGTACAACCGTATCTCTAAAGTGTTGTCAGTCACGGTTGTGTTCACTTCTTTAATAACTTCCTTGTGAGTTCCATTAGCCTCATCCCTGATGCTGAACTCCTCCCAAATCAACTTACCCTAAACAGATAACAAAGTTCAAACTTCAAGAATCGGCTAAAAACTCTGAAAAAGGCTTCTTAAGGAATCCGCAGCCAAAGGCTATATGTACCTGAACGTAAATGTCAAAAAACCGTTTTGCTAGTCTAGCAAATGGTTCCTCATCTGAGAACTGAATCTCTGCAAAATGGAGTTTCACATTGTAGCTTCCATTTTCAAAACAGAAAGCAAAGTAAGCCAAACTCAGGGGAGAACGCCGAGCAGTCTGGTAAAGGTCCGGATATTTTGCGGAGACTGCAGATTCTGATGAAACTGTGTATGTATCTTCTGTTATTGCATCATCCATAAAGTCACCAGTATTGCTGAATCCCCAACTTTTCCCATAATAGTTCGTAGCTGAACCGATAAGTCCATAGTTATCACCCTCATATAGAAACCTTCCTCTAGAGTTTTCGATGGTTACATCAGGTCCCCCGCAGTTTATATGCAACGACCTACTATCTGCAGAAAATGAATTGCTCTCAACATCATATGAAAAACTTGAAAATAGAGATTTGGCAAAAACCTGAACAAAACTTACAATTTTGACAGTGGTCTATGGCGGAACACGGAAGAAGTCTGGTTCTGTATCAAGAAAAATGAATTAATAACTAATAACAGAATGCACTATGCAGAGTGATCTGTGATTGATAAGATTGCTCAAACATGTTCTTACAGACTATTTGTTGAACGCGAGCTCGCATATGTGTTTACATTACTGCATCAAAACATACATTTTTAAAGCTTTCATAATTTTTTTTTAAGTACTTAAGAAAACAATAGAAAAACATACTTCCTCTCTTTGCAGCTTGGAGACCATGTAAAGTTATTATAAGAAAGATCACTGTAGATATGTTTATCCATCAAGAGATTAAGTTCATATATTTTTGACGTAGATGGGTAATCAGATAAGATGATATTGGCCATACATATTGGTGCTTGCAGTAAGGAAAGGTCCTGACTCAACTTTTCCTGACAACATATTTCCAGCCAAATATCTGAAAAAAATTGAAACCATGAGATGAGTTCAACAATATAAAATACTCTGACCGTTCAGCAATATGGAACCTACGTATATTTTGGCGCGGATGCATCTGCCGGTATTTCTCCTGTCAGTCTATTAAAAGAAAGATCACTGCCCGGAAAAGAAAAAGCATCATAGTCACAAGATTGGATGCTGTTTCGAAAAATGCGTAGCGATATAAACATGTATACATGAAACTTACAGAGTCATGAGATTAGGAAGATCCCAAAGACTGGTTGGGATTGGTCCTGTGAAGTTCATGTTTCTTAGAACCCTGAAACGTTAACAGAATCAATCTTGAGTCTCAAAAACACGTATAAGAAAATAGGATCTTGTATCTGCTCCAGACACATAATTATATGTATGGACACACTGCATACAAAAATTTCAGGCTCTTGCTAGTTATAAGAGGAACTTGTCCCAATCCTGCAGTTGTGTCACTGATCCTCCTGCATATAAATAAATGGCTACATACAGTTTAGATTCAAGAAGATCAACATGCTTCTGTAATTTACAATGTAATGAGAAATGGATGAATTACAGGTCAATCAGATTCTCTAGACGAAATATGGAGTCTGGAATAGGTTCTGTTAAGCCACTCGCGTAAAGTTCTCTGATCAAAGATAGGCACAAGTCAGAAAATATTGAATTGCATTGTAATGCTTCAAAATATTAAAACTACAATGAAGAATTCATTGGCTTACAATCTTTGAAGTTTTGATAAGTTCCCGATAAACTCAGGGATGGATCCGTTAAGGCGATTATCGCTGAATCGGCTGCAAACAATAGAATGAATGTAAGTGTTATACATAATAACACATAAAAACTGGCCATCTTGTAATGAAAAGAAAGCTGAGCATACAGATTAGTCAGATTTTTTAGTCTTGCTAATGTCTTGGGTACACCTCCAACTAGTTGGTTAGAAGAGAGTGCTCTGAGAGATTCAGCAAAACAAAAACAAGATTAAAATACCATGTTCGAGAGAATCACCTAATCTAGAAACTTGAAAAATTAATTTAAAGCCTGATTAACATATTCTTGCTTACAATCCTTCTAGATTAACCAAGTTCCCTAGTTCTTTTGGGATTGTTCCAGAGAATTGATTGGCTTCAAGAACTCTGAAATCATTCAAACAAACAAAACAACTTAGATTCGAATTTCAAGAGTATGAAACTTTATATGTAATCACATCAGATGAACAAAGAAACAGTAGAAACATACAATTGAGTGAGGTTAATAAACTTCCCTAATCCCTTTGGAATGTCTCCTGATAAGCGATTCGCGCAAACAGAGCTGCAGGAAACATTTCAAGTAAACTCAGAAGCATTTTTTACTTCCTTAACAAACAAGAAACTTAAGAACAAAGACTTACATAGATTTTAGGTAAGGCAGTGAGGCCCATTCCATAGGAATTGAGCCATAAAGATAATTACGGCACAAGTCACTGAACAGACAAGCAAAAAAGTTCCGGTTTGTAATGTTTCCTAATAACAACATTAAAAACAGAGGAAACTGAAGTAAAAGAACCCTCCTCACATAAATTCAAGATAGCGAAGCTTGGAAAATTCCGGTGGAAGTCTACCCGGAAGACTGAATGTCTTAAGGACACTGCACATGAAGAAGCAACATTAGTTATACAGAGCCGAAAACCATAGATCTCCCCCGGAAAGAAAAAAAACGGCTAGTTTCTTACAAGTGTGTGATATGACAAGTGTTGTTGTTGTTGAAACGACAGTCACATTTGATTGTGCTGTTTTGTCCTTCCTTGAGAACATCTTGAGTTATAACCAGAGTCTTTGTGAAACATGGATCTTCACTTAGGTTCAAGTGTTTCACACCAAGTGTCAATGCAATATCCTTAAGCGCTTCCACTGCAAAATATAAACAAACAGAAAACACAATCAAGTTAAGCTCAAATTCATAAAGACAAGCCATTTTGTTTGGCAATATTATGATGCTAAACCTTCATCTGGGTGCAGAGAAGGAGAAGCAGATACTGTACAGACCAAGTAGATAAGAGTAAGAACAAAGAGTAGAGAGCTAAAAAGGCGGCTTTGCGACATGATCATGAGCTTGTAAGTTGTAGACATTGAAGATTATATGCAAGTGATCTATATATGACTTGAAACATTTCATATATAGTACTAGTTACTAAAGAAAAAAAACTATTAACTCTTCTTTAATACATTTTTATTAAATTTAATATATGTATGTATATATAGAAAATTGTGAAAGATGTGAAGTGTCTTGAAATGAAGTTTGACTAAGCTGAGATTAAGAGTTTACACATGGGGTATGTTGCTTGTTAAAGCCGGATAAGTGTATCACTTTTGTTAATTACAATCCGACCTCTCTGTTTTGATTTATTTACAATATGAGGAGAACTATTCGAATGAAGATTATTCACCCTTTTTGTTTGCATTTTACTTGTAGAATTACTAGAAAAGGATACTTAAAAATCTTACATAAACAACTCTAAGTTTAGATTTTGAGTCCCAATATGAAGGTTGTGACTAGTTTAGTCAACAAATGAAAATGGGGGTTGATCAGTTGTGTATCAATAATCTTGATAGAATTTTACATGAAATTTCTTTAGTTGAATACTTGAACTAGTTGGTTATTTTGTTTATTTATTAATCAACCTTCTTGATAGTTGACTTATACTTTCCCATGGATCCAAGAACAAGTTGATATTAAAATTAGTTTACTCCATTTTAATTTTGTTGATTCTCTGACAAAGTAGTTTATAGTTTTATGCAACAGGTACTAAAGTACTATACGGATTTGAGTCATTTTGGTCCTTTTCTTGGTAAGTCAACTCATCCTTTGAAGTAGGCTATTTTAGACAATAGGAAGCTAATTCTTTAAGATTACATTTTGTTGCCAAGAAAATGAAGAAATAATATTGTTTGTGTACAGATCATGTCACAAATCCAGCCTATGAAAGATCACTGATTACATATCATTTGAGTTTTGAGTTTTCACAACATTCAATCCTCAACTAAAAGAACCTAAATACAGATATGGGGAATTACTGTAAATGACTAATCATGGAATAAACTCATTAACATTTTACAAAATTAATAGTTGGATATCTCTTCAAGGCCTTGACTCGTCTTTCTTTCTTTCTTTCTTTCTTGAACTACTTGTCCAGCCCCAGAAGAAGACGAAGAAGAAGACGGGTAACTTTTAACAGAACACTGCGTCTTACTATTGTTCTCCATGCCTCTCCTTAAATCTTTAAACGCCTTAAACCTTATATCCCCTGAGTTCCTGCTTGCTCCTGGGGTTGATTCTGGCACTGGATATAGACCTTCGAGCATAGCAACGACCTCTGACATTATAGGACGATCTGTTGGGGAAGCGCTCGAACACACAAGAGCCACTTTTATAACTGCTTCTGCCTCTTTTCTGTTCACTTCAGGCCTCAATCTCTCATCCACTACTTGCATCAAATGCCCCGATTCTACGCACTCGTTAGCCTGCAGATACAGCAAAGGGGTTTATCAAGAAAACCCTTTTTTGGTTTTAAAAAGTTCATAAGCAATTGAAACTTGGGATCAGATTATATTTACAAATTCCAAGAGGCAAACGGAATCTCCTGCCCCCATGAAATTACTGTTGGTTATGCCAGCGACGATCTCTAGAACCAAAACACCGAAGCTGTAGACATCTGCTTTGAAAGTTAAGTAACCCCACAGTGCGTATTCTGGCGCCATATATCCTCTGCAGAGGTTCACATGATTCTTCTGGTTAACAAACAAACATAATAGTAAATAACACGATTAACGGAAAAAAAAAGGCAGGCTCGGGCCTCACATAGTCCCGGCGACTTTGGTGCTGATGTGTGTTTTCTCCTCTTCGTCAAGCCTAGCCAATCCGAAATCGGATATCTTGGGAGTTAAATCCTTGTCCAATAAAATATTTGTGGCCTTGATGTCTCTGTGTACAAACTTCAACGGTGATTCCTCATGGAGAAACGCGAGACCCTTTGCGATCCCGCAGCAAATCTTAAACCTAGTAGACCAGTCCATTGGAATCTGTTTATGCTTTGGACCTAAACATTGCAACAAAAACACATTTTATTTAGAGCCGGAGCATCAAAAAGCCTTCATTAGCAAAAGGTGGGAAATAAGAAAAAAACTCACTGAATAATGCGCTAGATAAACTGTTATTTTCCATGTATTCGTACACCAGTAATAGCTGAGCCCGCTCGACGCAGAAGCCATGAAGCTTGACGAGATTTGGATGTTGAAGACAAGAAATTGCGCCTATCTCGTTTAGAAATTCTCGGTTCCCTTGTCTTGATTTAGATGAGAGTTGCTTAACTGCTACAACTCTCCCATCTGCTAACACACCCTGCCATTGAGATTTTATATCAGCATGAACTGAACTACAACTTTAACTTCTTTGTATATCAAAAATTATTTCATCGCATAATCTTTACCTTAAACACAGGACCGAAACCACCTTCTCCAATCTTGTTAGTTGGATTGAAGTCATCCGTAGCAAATTTGATTTGCCTTAATGTAAAAGTTCCAGAAGGCAACTCTTCTTCATAGGGATCTGTGGTAAAACTCAGAATCAATAAACAAAAAATCACTTTCTTCCTTTTCTTACTTGCTTAAATTCACAATGTTTCCCTTTTTCAAATGAACATAAACAGGCTTCTTGGAATCCAACTTCATAAAAAGCACTCTAGTATATATATTATCAAATCCATATCCAAAGCAAAAGGAACGAAAAACAAAAGCAGTGATCACCTTTTCGTCGTTGACCACATCTTGGGAGGCAGCCACACATCCACAGAACTCCCACTATAAAGATAATAAGGCATGGTGCTCCAACTCCAACTGCAATATATGCTCCAGGGCTCATTCCAGTTTTCGGACGTTCGCACGGCTTAGAATCTGTACATTGAAGGTATAAGTATTAAGAAAAATTACTGTCGTGAGAAAAGAGTTCAAAATGCATACAAAATCTGATGCACACAACCACAGATCCACCTGGCTTCTGCGGGAATAAGAAAGCTACCTGAAACTATGGAAATAGCCGATATGAGAGGACCATAAACCCCTCTAGTGGGAATCCTGGTAGTTCCTTTACCGGCCCAACTCAACCGGATGGTTAAAAAGTGGTTTGTCACATAAGCAGTAAATGGTTTGATTATAGGTGTTTGAGCTCCCTTTGCTTCATCCATGATGTTGAAGTCCTTTGCCACTAATTTCTCCTGAAGAAAAGAGGATTAAGAAAAATAAAACTAATTGCATTCACAGCTGTTTTATTTCACCAGCGGGGCAAACGCTAACCTGAATGTAAATGTCAAACAGACGCCTTCCAAGCCGGCTATAGTTTTCATCATTGGTGAACCGCATCTCAGCAAAGTCCAGATTTATAGTGTAGTTTCCATTTTCCAAGCAGGCATGGAAGTAAGTTAGAGATACTGGAGCTATTCGTGCCGATTTGTAGAGATCAGATAGGTTAGATGCCGGGACAAACATGGTAAATCTAGTGTTTTGGAAATTGTTGTCGTCCATGAAGTCCCCTGTACTGCTAAATCCCCAATTAGCGTCAGGCTTCAAAAAATACTTAGCAGCACCACCTTCAACATGTCCATCTCCTTCATATAATTCTTTTGTTTTTTTCTCCTTTACATATATCGCTTCCACCGCAGTTCACATGCAAGCAGCTAGAATCTGCCAGATAAACCAAATTGCATAAATTGAGAGAGAATAAACAAGTGAACTTTACACATCAACATTTCTATTTTATGATGATAAAAAGACAGTAAATAACAATATTGACGTGGGACTAAAGTAGAAGGCAAATTAGCAGGTGGTTTCAAATGTGAGACTCTTGTGAAACGATCTATCATTACTAGTCCTATGTGATTGCTAGCAAATAAATCACTGTTATGTAGATAAGTGTACTTACATCGAGGACATTTGAAATCTTTGATACACGGCAGAAATTTGCTCCTACAAAAACATCAATTGGGAATTGCATATCCGTATCAATTGTGGAATATTTTTTTCTGAAAAGTACAAACATTTCAGCCGAATATCTTCGAAGTACACTTTCTAGCTTGTATACATAAGATACAAACATGGCCTCTAGATACTAAAGATAATCAAAAGAAAAGACCTTACGATTTTTTTGTCGAAGTGCTCTGAAACAAGTTTAGATTCAGATTCCTAAAACAATAAAAGTCGGAAAGATTATCAGCTAAAATGCCAATTATGTCGACCAAAAATGTAAAAGAAGAAAACACGACGATACTCACATATTTGGGCGACAAGCACGACTTTCAGGACTCTGCCACTTCAGATTGTTATATGAAAGATCTCTGCATCAACAAGTAAACTGACATCAAAATGGATGTGTACTGCAACAAAAAACTTGGATTCCTAGTCTTCTGAGAAAGCAATGTTGAAGGCAATTTGCAAACTCCAGAAATATACATACAGTGTGATTCCATCTCTTAGTAATTCATCTGGAGCATCTCCCTCGAGCATATTACCAGCCAAAATTCTGCAAAAAAAAAATAAAAGTCAAATAATAAGTTTAAGAAGTAAGATAGAACTTTTAACATACATGACAGTAGAATCTTTTCACTTACATAAACCGTAACTTTTCTGCTTGTGCAAACGACGGAATTCCCCCAACCAACTTGTTAAAACTCAAATCCCTATTCACCAACACAATAAAAAATTAATCAGTCATGTCGTTGTTTCATGTACAAACCTACTCTTTCTTTAATTTGCTTTAAGTTCAAAATTCTTCAGTGGTATTTCAACTGATATAACGTAGTTCACTGAGACTTGATGAAAATGTCAGAAGACGTTCTTACAGTGTCTCCAACTCCTTCAAATTTGAAATATAAGTAGGAATTTGTCCAGAAATGTTACAGTTCTTCAATATACTACAAAGAAAAATAATAAAAAAATTAGATAAAATCAGAGATAGATGAAACAGCTTCACGAAGGCATATGACAGAACTAACTTACAGTTTAACTAAACCTGTCACGTTCTTCAACGAAGGGAATGGTTGGACTGGTCCACGAATATCACTGATCCTCCTGAAAACAATAGGTCATTATAATAAAAGCGTCATCTCCATTACAATAGATGAAAACAAATTAAGTTTATGAAGAAAATAATGAACGTCAAAAGAGTGGTGTCTACTCACAGATTAACAAGATTGCTCAGAACTGAGATGACCGATGGGATTGGACCAGTGAGACCAGATGCAATCATTTCACTACAAGGTATGAAAAGAATATCATCACTGAGTGCTAATAAAACAGAGAAGAGTTATATAATAAATAGATTTTTACAGTCTCTCGAGTTGCTTCCAATTTTGTATGTAACTAGGTATCATTCCACTGAGTTGAAGATCGTTAATCCTGCTGCATTGTTTAAAACCAAGAAGCAGATGAACAACAGATTCCACCGTAATAAGTAGTTAAGTTAAAGGGAAAAATAACAAAAGCTTACAAATCTGTCATATTCTGTAGTCTAGCTAGTGAAGCTGGCAAAGATCCCGTCAATTTGTTAGAGGAAAGCAACCTGTAAGAAGAAATGACCCACCAGAAAGATCTCATCCTTCAGAAACACACCACGCGCTAAAACATTGTCACAATAAAAGAAACCAAGAACGGACAGGGAATCAGAAACTCTCACAGTTTTTTCAAGTGGACTAAGTTCCCAAGCTCCTGAGGAATAGTTCCAGAAAACTCATTTGACTCGAGATCCCTATACAAGAGCAGCAAAAATATTACAACAGCAATCCCATAGAGAATGCTAAAGCTTTCCAAACGAGAAGTGCACCGAAGTATTCAAATTTCCGCTAACGCATAGAACATGATAATTTTAACGGGTTCACCTTCAGGAAAGGCTATTAGTGGGACCTAGTAGTGCAAGTTTCAAGAGGTAAAAAGTTGTAATATTTCCACCAGCTAAACTCATGGATAGTTAGTACATGAACTTTCCGTTTAAATAAACACCAAACAAATTTACAGAACAAAATAGATTGACCGAAACTTACAAGTATGTTAGTGTAGAAGAGTTTCCGAACTCTTTTGGAATTTCCCCTGACAACCGATTCACAAGAAGAGAGCTGCGGAGACATTCTGTTATTGTACAAGAGTATTCAGAAACTAAAACTAAAACATAACAGGGAATAGTCTTACATAAAAGTTAAATTTGAAGAAGCCCATTCAGGAGGTAAGGTCCCATTGATGTAGTTGTAGGCCAAGTCTCTAAAATATAGCAAGAAACGGTGATCAAATTAGCATCTTTTATCTTCTTAAATCGGCAAAATTTGCCTAGCTAGTTTAAAGCAAGGTTGAGATACTTGTATGAGAGCACTTACATCTCCCGAAGGTAGGGAAGCTTGACTATTTGAGGAAGAGTTCCTGGAAGATTATGCTCCTTGAATGCACTAAACAACAAGTCAAAGAGCAATAAGAAAATCGTTAAAGAATTTCGAAGAACCTAGAGACAAGAATTTCGAAGAACCTAGAGACAAGAATTTCTCAATTCTACGTAGCAAATATCAGTAATCAACGGTGCATTACCAAACACGAATATAACCATAATCCCTTTGAAATCTTATAAGTGGAAAGACATTCAATAATGAAGGGTGCCAGGGAATTCTTACATTCTCACAATATGACAATCAGTGTCGTTAGTGGGGCTGCATTCACATTCTATTTCTTGCTTAGCTGTTGGAGGAGGAGTTTCAGTTAACCCCACCATTTCAATCTTACAATTTTCAGCATCAAATTTCCAGAATTTCGATCCCAATGTGGTTGCGATTTGCTGCAGAGCATCGACTAAGGGACAGGCACACAAGCAAACATCATCAGATATCAGTACAATTACTTGAGCAAAAACAAGAATTACATACACTCTTGGCCTTAACAATCATGACACTAAAACAAGATAAACAATGTATCTACAACTTTTCATCAACAATAAACAAATGTGTACGATTGCTTCAACAATTTATATAGGATCTCTCAAGAAACTGCCTTACAATTAACTCAAAATTGTCATCATCCTCATCATCATCATGTGAAAAAGGCCTAATCAAGAGTTTAATACAAAGATATGACAAGTTCTTTCTCAAGGAAACTCAAAGGTCAAGGGGATTCAAACAATAATCAATCAAAAATGATATAATAAACCCTAATTGACCTAATCACACCCAATCAACGCCTGCAGATTTTGGACTCAAAAATTTCAATTAAAAAAAATGAAAAACCCCAACGTCACCGGAATTTTTGCGGCTACCAATCATAAAATCCCATTTCCAACAGATAATGAAAACCCGAAAAAAGGAAACTTTACGAATAAATCTGTAAACCCAGAATCCAAAAAGGTGTGAGAAACAATAAAGTTCAATTTTTTATCGAAAAGAAAGAAACAAAAAACAGAAAGGAAGTAACTTGAAACCAAACCTTCTTGCTGCGGTAATTTGATAGCATTAATACTGTAAAATTTGAAGCAAATGATAGCAAAAACAGAAATTGCAAAGATGTTAACATCTTTCTTCTTCTTCTTCTTCTCGGCCAACATTTGATACAGAGATATCATTGCAACAAAAATATCTCTGTAAATCAATGTCTCATCGGAAACGATAAATCTTGACGGAAGAAGATCTGAAAAATATCTATCTGGGTTGGTTTGGCAAGTGTGATGATTTAGTGGATTCGTAGAATTATGACAGAGAATCTACCAACAGTGTGTTTTTTTTTCCTCCCCTCGTTTTTTTTCTTTCTTTCTTTTTTTAACTTCTCTAGTCAATGTTTTTCTTTCTTACAACGTATATTATTAGTCAAATTTGAATTTACAGAGACGAATAAAAAACCAGAAAAGAATGGTACAATCCCACAATGAGAAAAATCAATAACCTTACAAAAGTTGAACAAAAAATAATCCACTAGAGGTAAAAGGGACATAAATCAAAAATAGTATATTGAAATTATTTATATCTGTTTGGAGAAATTAACCTTTCTTTTCATTGTGTGTGTGAATGGTGTGTTATTTATTGAATGACCAAAATAGTCGCCCAAAGAAAAAGAAAAAAGTTTCCAAAATAGCAAAGGAAAAATCAACATTATTCATTACGACGGTTCTTATAAGAAAGAATAAATAGATTCTCTTAAATTTAAAGAAGACAAAATGAGTAGGAAAAAGACAATTCAAAATGAAATTGACATGTGGCAAAATTATGGGGAAGCATAACTAGGCCTGAGCAAAATAACCGAACCACGAGAACCGAATCGGAACCGAAGCAAAAAGAACCGAACCGGAACCGAACCGAAATTTTAAAATACTCAAATGGATCCTAAATTTTAGAACCGAAAGAACCGGAACCGAACCGAACCGAAATATTTCGGGTACCCAAAAATACCCGAAATATGAGTTTATATCTAAAAATATTAGTTATTTTTAGATCGAATAACCAAAAATATCCGAAATACCAACAAATATTTGGAAAATATATCAAAAAATACTTAAAATATCCAAAAAATACTCAAAAATATCCGAAAATACCCAAAAATATCCAAAATACCTAAAAATATCAGAAATAAAATATCCGAATGGATCCTAAACTTCAGAACCGAAAGAACCGGAACCGGAACCGGAACCGAACCGAAATTGTTTGGTTCCTATATGGATCCTAAACTCTAGAACCGAAAGAACCGGAACCGGACCAGAACCGAACGGGTACCCGAACGCCCAGGCCTAAGCATAACCATACATATCCGCTCTTTGTTTTTGATATTTCCTCTTTGAACTTTTTGTCAACAAGTGTAAAAAGGATATATGGTTTAGTTCATTCATATTATTTTTTATAATTTAAATTAAAAGAATAATAAGTAAAGTATATTGGTAAGATTGAAGGGGAAAATAAGTACATGAAGTAGGAGCAAAGTTCAGACTACATTCGGCGTGGTCAGTGGTGGAGCTTTCCCGGAGGTTGGTGTTGCTCAGAGAATTTTGAAGCGTTTTCTTAAATTAATTCAGAAGATTCTCGTGTTTTGGCTTGGATTTGAGATCGGCAGAAGGGAGGAGGATTCTCATCGCTCCGAGACTAAATGGTGGTGGCTAATCGGATTTTTCAGCGGTGGCCGGCGAAATTGACGGTGGCTCTCGAAGATCTGACGCGTGGTGTTGAGAAGCACACATCTTCAACACATGCCAACGCCTAAATTATATTCGTGTTAATTTTTTATCTTCTGTTAAAATATGACTTAGTTTTAGGGCTGAGCTGTAATTTCGTTATAATCTTCTGTATACTTTCTATTCTCTGTCTTTATGGGCTTTTTAATGAAATCAATGGCCGACATTAAAAAAAAGGGAAAATAAGTTATTGAAGTAGTAAAGTCATTTCTTTTTTATATGTATAAAGTCATTAGTTGAATCACATTTAATTATGAAGTAATAGAAGTTTGTATGATTAAAATTAACAAAAAAAAAAATCTTGATGGTGGAATAATCTTATAAGTATCCTTTAACCTTTATTCGTAGTCTTAAATAAAATAATATTATGATTTAACATTCTACAGTATCACATTTATAAACCTTTTAAATTATTTTATCACTAAAAAGTAAATGAGATAAAATTCATTCAAACACTAACATATCTTTGTGGAAGACTATCTAACTATACCAACAAACAATCATTTTCTAATCTCGGCTCTTAGATACCTTGAATCTGCATGTTTTTTTTTTTTTTTTGTCATCCGAAATTAATTAAAATTCAAGAGAACCATTCCTGAGGAATGTTGTTTACATATGTGATATGAAGCGGTTCTGTACGAACTTTTCGTGCCAGATTATCCGCTTTGACATTAGCTCTACGAGAAATTAAAGATAAAGAAAAAGATGAAAACTCCTCTTTGTCGTTCTGAAATTCCTCCAAATACACTGAAAACGCCGGCCATTCGGTTGGAGAAGACACCATCTTCACCAGGTCTGAACAGTCTGTAAAGAACGCTACATCTTGATGATCTGCACCAATCATACACTTCATCGCCCAGAGAAGGGCCTCGACTTCGGTATGTAGTGGAGATAGACTTCTACGGAGGTTCGCAGCTCCCATGGCTGGCGGCTCTCCATTTGACGATGTACAGAACCACCCTGTACCAGAAAACTTATCACTTTCTTTCCACGATCCATCCACGAAACAACGATATCCTGAATAGTTCGAATCAAAAGAAACCTCCCTCACTCGGGACAGAATTGCCGAACTCACAACACCATGATTTTCTTCTTGGAGCTCTAATTGAGCTGCTTGCCATAATTGGGCCTCTTTTTCTGCTAACCGTAATACCTCTAACGGGTCTTTATCTATATTTTCAAAGATTTTTTCATTCCTTGCTTTCCAAATATACCATATAATCCATGGAAAAGCTGAAAAATCAAAGTCTGAAGGTATTCTCCAAAATAAGTGATCCAAATTCGCAAAAATGGATTCCGTGGGAAAAATCCCGATCGCCGTTGGAATCTGTGAAAGTGCCCAAATCTGCCGTGCCGGGTGGCACTGAAATAGTGTATGATTGATTGTTTCCTCTGATGCACCACATCTGGCACATCCTGTGTCACAATCCATTCCTCTTTTCCGTAGATTTTCCGTAACCGGTACACAACCGTTTAAAATTTGCCATAAGAAATGTCGTATCTTCGGTGGGCACTGCACTTGCCAAGAGTGTGCTTTTAGCGGTTTGATATCTGGACCAATAAACAAAAAATTGGTCTCCGACTTTTCTATCCGTGTGGTATGATAACCCGACTTAACTGTATATTTTCCAGATTTTGTAAAGTGCCAACCTAGAGTATCGTCCTTCGTTGGCGCACCCACTGGAAGGGCGCTTATTAGCGCGACATCTTCAGGATCAAAGATCTCCTTTAAGAGATCAATATTCCAAAAGTTAGACCGACTATCGATAAGGTTTTGAACTTTTAATAATGGGTCAGCAATTGAACCATTACTTTTTGCTGGTCTCGGGAATTGAGCTGGAATCCAGGGATCCTCCCAAACTGAGATGGATGCCCCAGATCCGACTCTTTTAATAAGTCCTTTATTAACCAGAGATCTAGCTGAGCATATACTCCGCCATCCATATGATGGGGAGTATGATTTTATATTTTCCAAAGGATTGGATTTCCGAAAATACCGTCCTTTAAAAACCTTCGCAAAAAGAGAATCTGGGACCGTGATCAACCGCCATAACTGTTTAGCTAATAATGCTGAGTTAAAGTCGTCTACATTCCGGAAACCCAAACCCCCTTCCGATTTGCTATTGCATAATTTATTCCATGCCATCCAATGCATACCTCTAGAATCACCATTCGAACTCCACCAGAAATTAGCAACCGCACTAGTAAGTTTAGAAGTAATTGTTTTCGGTAGTCTGAAGCACGACATAACATAAGTTGGTAATGCTGCAGCTACCGATTTAATCATCACTTCTTTCCCACCTTTCGATAAAAATTTTGCCGACCAGCCATTAATTCTGGTTTGTAACCTATCTCTAACAAAAGAGAAAATCTTTGTCTTCGAGCCACCCAAGCTCTCCGGCAATCCGAGATAAGAACCCATACCACCGATATTAGTGATACCCAAGGTAGCTTTGATATCTTCCTTGATTTCATCATCTACCTTATGTCCAAATTGAATCGAGGATTTTTGAAAATTAATCTGCTGTCCCGAAACCGCTTCATACTTTTTTAAAATCCCCAAAATAATCTGCATGTGATTAGAAGAAATTAAAACTTAAAACTTAAAAGTAAATTCCTGAGGTTTGGTTTTAAAAATTTAACTCCGGTTATCAATAATCCGGTTTGATGGTCCGCTCCGGTTATTGGCTGCAAAGAGTATGACGTATAAATGAATTTAAAATTAAATTAAAATTTCGGTCACGCCGTTTGTGAGCTAATCTATCACACGCTTATCGTCACCGAAGCTTTTGAAAATCCCCAAACTCACGCAATCTCTTCTTCTGGGTTATCATCATCAATGGAGTCCGAGTCCGACTCTTCATCAAGCCCTAGCACCACCGAAGAATCCGATCGATTCCTCGACGCACCTGACGAATTTTACTACGATTGCTTGCCGATTCGTTCCAATTCCCATCGCCAGCATTCGTCTCTCTTGCGGCGGCGAAAGTCGGCACATCGCCGGGATTTGATTGAAACGGAGCCGTCTTCTTCTTCCGATGGATTTGAAGTCGGTGAGAAATCGAGCTATGTGGAAAAGAACGACGAGCTTAAGGGGGATATTGAAACAAGCGACGTAATTGAATCAACTAAGGACCCAATTGTTCTATCTTCAGAAAACGAGAACGATTTAGATGTAATTAATTCTTCTGGAGAGGATAAAGGGGAAGATATGGATGCAATTGTTTCGGTTCAGGACCGGGTTGACCCGTTTCAGGAAGAATCCACGGTGACCATCGTGAGCGGCAATGATCGAGTAGACGACGACGACTATGCGGGATCGGTACCACAGCTTCGGGAACCACCTAATACAACAGAGTGGTCTCTTCTTGGGTTTTTGGTTGGGCTAGTGATCAAAGCAATAGAATTTCAAGTCAGTTTGATGACAAGCTTACTCACATTTCCTCCATGGTTGCTCCGTTACTGTTTTCTCTTCTTTTTTGATCCCTTTAGCACAATTAGGTTTGGCAGACGCTTTCTAATGGCAAGAGTTGCAGGGATAAGTGATATGATCTTTGGTACTATGAATCCGTTTAGGTTAAACGATACCAAACAAATGTTGAGTATTGTGTGCAAGTTTGGATGGGGTATGTTTTGGGCTGTTTATGTAGGCATTGTGTTGTTTGGGTTGTTGGTTTCGTCCCTTATGATTGGTGGTTATGTGATTAACCGTATAGCCGATAAACCATTTGAGGTCAAGGAGACCTTGAATTTTGATTACACCAAGAACAGTCCAGAAGCATATGTGCCCATAACCTCGTGTGCTGGTGTTGATTGTGAGGGAAGTTGCAAGGAAAGTAATGAAATGTCGAAGATCAGGGGCTTGCGAGTTATCCCTCGAGACCAGAAGTTAAATATCATTCTTTCAATGACATTACCTGAGTCTGCGTACAATAAAAATCTCGGCATGTTTCAGGTATTGGCATAAGCTATATATTTTACACTCTAAGCATCATTGCAGTTTGATCTGGCTTGTAATAGTCTCCCATGTGTATTCGTTTTTGTCCAATAAATATTTACTTGTGTTTTCTTATCCATTTTGATATGGGATCATGTGTTTGTTGAAGGTTCGGGTGGACTTCTTATCTGCGGATGGTCAAACGATTGCTAGTATAAGGCGTCCGTGCATGCTAAGATTCAGAAGCGAGCCTATCCGTCTTGTTCAGACATTCTTCAAAATGGTTCCGTTAGTGACAGGATATGTCTCTGAGATCCAAACTTTGAGCTTGAAGTTGAAAGGCTTTGTAGAAAAGGAAATTCCCACTGCTTGCTTAAAGATAATTATTGAACAACGGGCAGAATTTCGACCCGGAGCAGGTATTCCAGAGCTGTACGATGCATCCCTGTCGGTTGAATCCGGTCTTCCCTTCTTCAGAAAAGTTATATGGAAATGGCGGAAAACTTTGTTCGTCTGGATCAGCATGAGTCTGTTCATTACAGAATTGCTTTTCACGTTGGTTTGTTGCAGTCCTCTTATCATCCCAAGAAGACGACCTAGAGACAGTTCGCCTTCAAACCCGACTGGAGGTAGATTATGAATCAACAGTTACTGTACATCATGTTTGTAACACTCTGACAATGGTATTTTCACTTCCTGTTAACTTTAGTTCCTTTGTCCAAAAAAAAAAAGTTAACTTTAGTTCCAAAGAGTTCTTTGATTAAATTGTAAATTCGTGCTTACTAATAAAAGTTAAATCTTACATATGGTTTTGATTTAAAATTATAAAATATGTCCTTTAAAACGAGTGATGAGTGATTAGTGATCTAATGGCTACTTTCAGTCTCTTCACAAGCAGTGTGTATAATGATTAGTATCAGAGAGGAGATAATAAATTACTATTTTTGAGTATAGTGCTTAATTTAGTCAAAATATTACATGTACAAGAGGTCTAATATGATACAAAGTGTATAAGCACTCCAAAGCAAGAGTCATTTACTTCAACTGTAATCCCATGAAATTCTCTGAACCTCTTTTATTTCAAACATTTTTCCTTAACTTTCTGTTTTCACATTTATTATATATTGCTGTCCATTGAGAGAACACATGAAGAAAACAATCAGAGCTCAAATATGTGTCAATGACTTAATATTGTTATTTTGCTAAAAATAACTCAGACCTTATAAATCACGACCTGAATAAACTGAACTCTACCAAATCAAGTACTCTTCTGTTCCAAAGCCAGTAGCATGGAAGTTAGAACCTTTAAAGCATTATAAACATCTCCCCATTTCTCCAGGTTTCTATCTGAGCCAGCTGCAGAAAAGAACCCAGAATTCTCCTCAACGTTTTGATTTCTGATTTCTTGATAATGGCGTGCCATGGATTTCTGGGGAAACCGACCCCAAAATCATTTGGGCGTCATAACCATGCAAGGAGAAACCGCCATCATCAATCCAGATGTTCGGCTGCGGCCGTTGCAGCAGCTGGCTCCATCTTCACATCCCTCAACATGTCTCTCTTCACATTCCACAACCGCCTCTTGCGTTGCGTCTCCAGGTTCTTCCGTCTAGCCACCACATCTAGCGCAACTCCTAGCCATCGAGCCACCATGAAACAAGGCTACAAAAAGCTCCACAAACCTGAGCCTCTGAGAAGACGTAATGACAAGAAAAGGACGATCTTTCTTGATCTTGATGAAACATTGGTGCACTCTACAATGGAACCACCAATCCGGGTTAATGTAGATTTCATGGTAAGGATAAAGATCGAAGGAACTGTTATACCAATGTTTGTGGTGAAACGACCAGGAGTTACTGAGTTTCTTGAAAGGATCAGTAAGAACTATCGAGTGGCAATCTTCACAGCCGGGTTACCAGAATATGCTTCACAGGTTTTGGATAAACTTGACAAGAACCGTGTGATCTCACAGCGGCTATATCGAGATTCATGCACAGAAATGAATGGAAGATATGCCAAAGACTTATCTTTGGTGGCGAAAAATGACCTCGGGAGTGTTTTGCTAGTTGATGATAACCCTTTCTCCTACTCGTTGCAGCCGGACAATGGAGTTCCCATTAAGCCATTTGTGGATGACATGGAAGATCAAGAACTGATGAAGCTTGCAGAATTCTTCGATGGATGTTATCAGTACGAAGATCTAAGGGACGCAGCAGCAGAACTTCTATCCAGCAGGCTGATTTGATGCACACATATATATATGGAATTTGTTTGCAGAACCTGTTTTCAATTTTTTTGGGATTCTTTCTTTCTTTTTCTTGATTTTCTTTGGGGAGAGATGATACAGCATAATGGTATTTTTATGTTGAAAAAGGATGCTTCCGTATCCTTCTTCAGCGTTTTTACCTACAAAAAAGCCCTACATAAAAATGTAAGCTGTTTTTCTTCAGAACATAAAAAAGTGTATAATGTAAACAAGAAAATTCAGAAAGAAGGAAAAAAGAAGAAGTTTTGGACTAGCAAATAATCAATAATTTGAAATGATATTAACATCTTAGTCTAAAGAGATTGATCTAATTTTAGTATATCAAGAAATAAGTCCCCACAGACTCTACATTCAACATCAGATATTGAGTACACGAAGAAAAAATACTATAAGAAAGTAATCTTACTAGTTACTAGTTCCTTAACTGGTTTCGAAACATACATTGAATGCTAAGTATATATTATATTACTAGATACTGTTGGATAAAATCCAAGGAAAACAAGAGCAATGAACCAAGAATTGACTAATAGAAAAGGACTCGGGCCAACTTTACCGCTGAGGCTATAAGCTTTCTATGCTTGAGACATTTTCACAGAGCAATCACTCTTGAAGCTATGAGTTGTTCATGCTTGACCCATTAAACTCATTTAAGATATATTTTGTTCATATGAATAATGTAAATCTTGTCTTTAGCCCTTTTGGACTTGACACTAAAATGATTTCACAAAATGAAACCTAAACCATTATACTTTATAAAATCTCAATAAGTGACTCATATTGGGTAGCCCTTTCTAAATTCATTTCTTTTTGTAACTGTATAAAAAAGGTTAAATCTGAAACAACTTTAAGTTAAAAACAAATTCCAACAGGTTCTATAGTATAACTAGTTCACCAGACACACCAAAGCCATAAATGTGAAGTAGCAACAACAGCAGCAGCAATATACTTCAACTGTAATCCCATTATAATCTCCAAACCTCTAATCTTAACTAAACTAAATAATGTATCTCTTGTTAGTTCATGTTGTATGTACATTATTGTCCATGAGTACATGAAACAGTAAAACTATGATCTAATTGTCCAAACTGAACTTTTCTAAAAGTAGGCATCTGCTCTACTTCACCACTAAATTTCCATAAACAAACAAAACTAAACCAAATGTATATTTTTGTATAAAAGTTAGCAGAAGATGAATTCATAAATATCTTATTACTACCAAACCTTTCGTCTGAAGAGCTGCAAGCTTGTTTTGTTCACCAGAACTTGTTTTTCTTCACTGGGGAATCAAGAAGCCAGGATAAATCAATGGCATCTGAAAGAATCATCGAAAAAAACATAGAAAAATCCAAGTTCAACAAACACCAACAGAAAAATTACCCATTAATGTCCATCTTGAAGTTTCATTGTCGCCTTCTGCGTTGTGTTTCCAGGTGCTTTACAGCCACCACCATCAGCTATCCAGCCACAAGACCTGGCTATACAAAACTTGAGATACTCGAGGACCCTCTGACAGCATATACCAATACGAAAAGGACAATCATCCTCGACCTTGATGAAACGTTGGTTCACTCGACGACGCAGCTTCCGGGAGTTAAATATGATTTCATGGTGATGGTGAAAATGGAAAGGGAGATAATGCCAATCTTTGTGGTGAAACGTCCTGGTGTGACTGAATTCTTGGAAAGACTTGGTGAAAACTACAAAGTGGTAGTTTTCACAGCTGGTCTGGAAGAATATGCTTCACAGGTTTTGGACAAGCTAGACAAGAACGGTGTAATTTCACAGCGGCTATATCGAGACTCATGCACGGAAGTGAGTGGGAAATATGTAAAGGACTTATCTTTGGTAGTGGGGAAAGACCTCAGAAGTGCTTTGATTGTCGATGACAATCCATCTTCTTACTCATTACAGCCAGAGAATGGAGTGCCTATAAAGGCTTTTGTAGATGACCTGAAGGATCAAGAACTGCTGAATCTTGTGGAGTTCCTCGAAAGTTGTTACGCATATGAGGATATGAGGGATGCAGTCAAGGATTTGCTGGCAAACTAGCTGGTTTAATGTGAATATATCTCTATTCCCAGAACTATTTTCCTTTCCTTAGACGTTTTTTTGGGTTTGTTTGTTCGGGGGATGATGGAAAGATGATTAGAAGCAATCCTTTTTTTGCGTTGAAAAAGGATGCTTCCTTCTTCAATGTTGCATATACCTAGATCAGAAGCTTTTCCTGAAAACAAGAAAAAATAACTTTGTAAAGCAGATATATGTGGAATAAAAAATAGTTTAGTTGTATAGTAAGAAACATCCCTACTGCCTTAAGATATTTGCACGAAATGATATGCGAAACAACCTAAAAGAAGAAGCTACCATTGCTAATACCACGGTTTCTGTTCCTAAGTTCAAGCATTTCTTCAGCCTTTACAAGAATTATTAAAGCAATACTTACATTAATAGACACCTTCAACTAGATCTTTGCTCACTGTGGCCTTAGCAGCTCCTAACTTCCAAAACCGGCAGTGACGCGTAGAAGAATCCAATACGCATTATAAATGCCACTAAAACAAACAAGCCATAACCTTTCCAACACGAACACATACCAAGGTACCAATTAGTGAACCACTTGATTCTAAAAAGCTGCATATTAGACACAAATTCTATTGACTCCACTAAGGGCTTGATGGTTTCTTTGCGGTTCTGTTGTCGTTTACGAATCAAAACCCTATGTTCACATCTAAATGAAAACACCAACATTACTTTAGTCTTGTACTCATACAAAAATGAGAGAAGTAAAGTACTTGATATATTCAGGTCCTTCCACAATTAAAAATTCTAGATAACAACAACACTTATTTCTTTTTTTTTTTTTTTTGGTAAATCAACAACACTTATTTCCATTTCTCTAACAATGTTACAAGTCAAGAATCATACAGTGTGATCGCAAATTCATTTGAGAGCATGGTAGTGATTACTGATTAGCTCAAAAATTAAAACATAACAAGAAAGAAACACAAAATGAAACACCTTCCAATAGATATGAGAATCAAGATCCAGTACGATTCAAAACTTGTGACGCTCAAAACAATTACAACAACACCAAACAGAGATCACAAAAACGGAACAAGCGATTCAATACAAGTCAAAATTCTGGAAAGGACACAACTTTCTCTCTATCTCCACCAAAACTCCGCACGAACTACAACAACCTATGTAAGATCAAACCTGTTAATTCATACTTCGCAGAGGAAAACTTGACTTGGAAGTCGCAAGGCTTCAGCTTTACTAAAGCACAAGTCATCGAGAGCTTCACTACGACACCACCTGCATCTAGGGAAAGCCGAACATTGAGATCTGCTCCGCATCTCGCAGCACTTGAGTTTCCTATTAGTCTTGACCGGCTTCGGATTTTTCTGGATCTCTAACAGCTGACGATCCAAAACATGAACTTCAGATTCGGCAGAAGAAAGCGACGGGCAGAGTAAAAGGAGGAAGAAGATGATGAGTAGGAGAAAGAGAGACGAGAAACTTAAGCTAGATTCCGGCATTGACACAGGAAAAAAAAGTCTGTATTTTTAGAAAGTTGTCTCTTTTTTGTTCTCTATACTCAGAGAGAAAAGGGGGAGAGTGTCAAGATCTTCCTCGAGTCGGCCTAGAAATCTACACACGTGTGAGAATATATTCACGCGTGTATGGCGCAAGTTAGCAGTTACAGTTAACAAAAGGCAGTCACTTTGTCTCATGAAGCAGTGTTTTTAACTTTAAGCCTCTCAACTTTATTAGAGAATAACTCTGTTGACTGCATTGGCCATTGGGTGTTTCGTTTGGTTTCCTTAAGAATTTCGCCCAAATTGATCCATGTTAAGATATTGGTTTCAAAGTTCTTATAGATTCGTGTTATGTACATATAGTTTAATCTCACTTTGTAGTAAAATGTGTCTTATCAAGGTAAGTGATTTAGATTAGAAGAGTAAAACACTTGAACTATGTCAATGTGTGAAGATAACATTAAGCTGATGAATATGCTTTAATATGTTTGATGCTGATTATATTCTCCATCGAGTAAACAAAATTGATACCACTAATTTTAGATACATAATGATCCCATCTTGTTGCAATAAAGACATAACTAGTCTGAAAAGGGAAGAAAAAAAGACAAGACATGTGAACACACACACAGATCTGTTTACATATGTTTGTGCCTATTAAACCAAGAAAGATAACTGTTTTATTTACTGTTCCAACAACTTTTCACCCGGATTATTACTCCTCCATGCAAAAATTTGGCAAAAACTAATAATGACATTGGATTCGATATTTTCCCTTTTTCCACTGTAATAATAATTTATAAACTCAGATCTCTGTTTGTATCAAGATTTTGACTTGTGAGTCTCCTAGATGAAAAAAAGCTTATCTTACACTTACTACTCTTAAGTGTCACTACCTCCAAGATTCGAAAACCGTAACCCACAAATCTCGCCTTTAAGACACCATTAAAGCTCAAGAATCTCTGTGTGAGAAACATCAAGAAACTTCAAGATTCAAGGACTTGGATCCGAGCCATGGCGGGATTCACCATGAGCTTGAACTTGCTTCTACTAGTAGCAATGGTAGCTACAAACATCCTCTCACTCTACCACCTCTCCTCCACCACAAATTTCTTCCAATCCACCGTCAAATCCACACAATCCTCTGTTCCCACAGTTCCCGATCACCTCCTCCGTCAGCTCCACACAATCCGCGCCGCTATTAACCACCTCACCACTCACCAACCAGACAAATCAACTTCAACTGTAACCTCACGCGCCGCCGTATCCTCCTCCTCCTCCTCCTCCTCCTCCTCCTCCTCCACCGCACCGAAAGAGCTTCTAATCTACTCAAAGCTCTCACCTATAGCTTCAGCTTGTCATAATTACCCTGACCTTCTTCATGAGTATATGAACTACACTCCTTTCTCTCTTTGTCCTTCCGATACCGATCTCGTCGAGAAACTTATCCTCCGTGGCTGCCACCCACTTCCTCGCCGTCGTTGCTTCTCACGAACGCCGCGAAATCCTTCAGATTCGAAACCTGAATCGAATGTTATCTGGTCTTACTACTCTTGCAAAAGCTTTGATTGTTTGATAACTAAATTCCCCGATCTAGGGTTTGATCTCTCCTTAGAGAAATCCAAATCTCAGTTCTCTGCTTACAAATCCGAGCTTGATTTACCGATCTCGCAGCTTCTCCAGATCGCTAAATCAGCTAATTCTGTTCTCCGTCTTGGAATCGATGTCGGTGGTGGTACTGGATCTTTCGCTGCAGCGATGAAGGCTCGTAATGTTACGGTTTTGACCACGACGATGAATTTTAATGCGCCGTATAGTGAAGCGGTGACGATGAGAGGGCTTGTGCCGCTTCATGTGCCGCTTCAGCAGAGGCTTCCGGTGTTTGATGGTGTGGTGGATTTGGTTCGGTGTGGAAGAGCGGTGAATCGGTGGATTCCGGTGACTGTGATGGAGTTTTTCTTCTTTGATTTGGATCGGATTCTTCGTGGCGGTGGTTATCTTTGGTTGGATCGGTTCTTTAGTAAAAAAGTTGATCTTGACAATGTTTATGCGCCGATGATCGGGAAATTGGGTTATAAGAAGGTGAAATGGGCGGTGGCTAACAAAGTGGATTCGAAACATGGTGAAGTTTTCTTGACGGCTCTGCTTCAAAAACCTGTTGCAAGATGATTAATCTTTTTTGAGGTAAGTTGTGAATTTGGATTTTGGTGTAATTCTCAAGTTTGCTCTGTTTGATCTAGTGTTCCAACTTTGGAGAATTACGTTGATCACAGATTCACAATGGAATCTATAATGTGGTTTGAGTTTACTGTTGATGTGTGCTTTTTGTTGCTTTGAACAAGTGTAACTTATGTTGGGCTTTGTGGAACTTTGTTTTCTTACGTTTCTTCTAGAGAAGTGTAGGTTGGTTCTCTTAGAATTAAGAAGAGAGAAATTGTAGCTAGTTCAAAACATTACACTGCTATAGGTTTATGTTATGAAGCTTGTTTCTGCAATGTCTCCATGATAATAGGAAGTTCTCAACGACCGGTTTTGTATTAGCACTCAGACATTTACTCTGTTCTTAAGAAACTTTTATTCTTCTAGTTCAGTCACAGGAGACTCAGACGTTGTGTTCTTCAGTTTTATATGTAAGCTCCTGACTCGTTCTGGTTCACGCCTGATCCAAAGTTGTGGGTTGTTTTGCAGGGCTATTTCCTCGAGTTTGTAGCAAACAGCTTACTGTTGTTGAAGATTTGGAAGGCAAGATTCTTCGACGGTTTCAGACATAGCTTTTTCCAGCTGTAAGCACACAAGCAATCATGTTATTTCTGCGAAACAAGAACTATAGGGAATTGTAAGCCAAGATTTCGTCTGTTGTTGTTAGAGAGAGACTGATTAATTGGTGGTATACATAAATTATGGACTCTTCGACTTGTTTCTGTCATAGCTAATATGCATTTATACTATTCATAAGATGGTATTTTTTGTGGAAGGCAGATTGTAGAATGGTTACAAGAAGTTTCAGAATTTAAGTTCAAGCTTCTGAAAGTTATTTGTCTTATGACGTTTTATAGTGCTAAGAACGTAGATACTCCATTTGTTTCCCACTGCCAAGCCCACAAGACCTGGACTGAGTCTAAGCGCAAATCCAAACATGAACCTGAATCTAAGCCAGACTTGCATATATCTTTGTTTTGCTTTGCCTGCATGTAAGCTCTTTCAGTTAGTAAATTCTCAATCAAGATGAGCTCGCACTCTCCTATTACTGTATACAAATCAAAACAACCAACAGAAGTAAGAAGCGATCTTGCCAGGCTTTCTTTGTTGGTTAAGAAGCAATGCCTTATCTTATTGAACTCAGTAACCACTTAACCATACTAGGCCCTGAACCAAATTCAATAAAACAATTAAAATCCGTAGGTTGAACTAGAACCCATCCAAGCTTAGCTAATGAGTGAGGGTGTCAATGTGGACTATATATAAGGTATTTAGTTGGTCTTGCTCCTTAGTCCTTTACCGACATTTTTAAAACACTGCTTCCTAAAATATGGGGTAAATGTATCATTTCTGAAAGTGTGGTATCAAATGTATAAGAGAAAAAAAAATATGAGGACTAAACTGTAAACTAAGGAAAGATAAATTATGATGATTATGTGGTCGCGTCTGAGAAAGGTTAGCGACGGTGTTAACTTGTAAAATTGTAATCGTTTTCCTTACGACATAGTCGTGTGTTTCTGTGTTTCCGAAATTTTGTAAGAATCGAAGATTGGCTTCGCAATCGAGAGAAGGAAGAACTCTAAAAAATGGTGAGTTTTACGCTTGCCGATTTGATTCCACTCACAATTTTCATCCTTGAATTTCAATTTCTACGCGATCATACAAATCTCTAGGGTTATCACTTTTATTCAAAATTCTTTCTTGATTTTGGAAGATTTTTGTTATTTTGCATCATTTAGTTACAGATTTTTTGTGGAAAACAAGCAAATTAGTTCCGAAGTTATTTGTATTACTATGATCGTTAGCTAATAGACATCTCACATGTGTTTGGTGGTTTTAGATTTGGTATTATCGTTGTCTAGATAACGAGAAATCTATACTAGGCTAAGTTAAAGGTCTAAAATTTAAGCTTGAAATGGTTTGTTTAACTTTTTCTCCCTGAATGGTGATCATAGGATGAAAGAGATCGAGAAATTTGTGGTTCTCATGATGATTTTGATGCTGGTAACGTCGTTAGTGAAAGCATAAGGAATACTAGAGAAGACGATTCTGGCTTTGTTGAAGAGAGCAAAAGACTGGAACCGGAACAACAAAAGCGCGGTAAATATTTTTTCTATGACACGCCGCTTTCTGAGGAAACCGGGGTTTGGATTCCTGTTTCAGTCCCACCCATGTTAGAATCTGATCATGAGGAGTGGTCAAGAGGTCTTAGTTTCAATGGTGGTTACTTCCCTGAGGGAGATATGGGATGGAACCAGATATTTGATGAAGACAAGGAGTTAACTATGTGGGATGTGATAGTTGATATGTTACTTGCAGCACGTGGTAAAGCGAGTGCTCTTAGTTCTGGCAACCTTGAGAGATGTGGCATTAATTTTTTGTCGGGACATCTTCTTGAACAAGCTTGGCAAGAGATGGCTCATACTCTCACTGAGGCTAACTTTGGTAATGCAAGAGAAATTCTGGAGACTGAGCCACCCAAGTGGCTGCCGGATAGTGCTGCTTCTGCTTGTATGCTATGTAGTGTGAGATTTCATCCAATTATGTGTTCCCGTCATCATTGTCGATATTGTGGAGGAATATTCTGTAGGGACTGCTCTAAAGGAAGAAGCTTGGTTCCTGCAAAGTTTCGTGTTTCAGATCCCCAAAGAGTTTGTGATGTGTGTTTTGTGAGGTTGGAGTCTGTGCAGCCTTATTTGATGGACCAAGTGAGTCCTGCTGCTCAGTTGCCAACCCATGATTTGACTGATCTTAGTACATTGAGGTCTTGGGTGAATTTTCCATGGGGGCAATCCATGGAATATGAGATTTATAAGGCGACAAACACTATTCGGGGTTATATAACCAAGGTGAGATTTGTGGGTCCTTAATTCACTCTAAACTTCTTTAATTTTTGTAAGTCATTAGCAGTGTTAAATGTCAACTATATCACTGTCTTAATGGCCTACTAGCCTCGGTCCGTGAAATCTGGAATTCTAATAGTGTGTTTTAATTTGAAAATTTCTCATCAGGTTGGTTCTTCAAGAACTGAGAGGTCCATCCCAGATGCTATTTTAAGACAAGCTAAAGGTCTTGCAGTAATCACTGTTGCCAGAGTTGGAGTCATGGTTACATATAAAATCGGAACTGGACTTGTGGTTGCTCGTAGAGATGATGGCTCCTGGTCTCCACCCTCTGCCATCTCTTCATTTGGTTTGGGATGGGGTGCTCAGGTAACATAGCTCTTTTACTAATCCGTAGATATTGCAAACAGGGATTGGTCTATATTCTTATCGCTTAAACTGTAGGCAGGAGGAGAGTTCATAGACTTTATTATTGTTCTGAGAACTCGTGAAGCCATCCAAACGTTTGGGAGTAACACCCATCTTGTTGTTGGAGCTGGTTTAAGCGCTGCAGTTGGTGTGACTGGACGAGCAGTTGAAGCGGATATCCGAGCAGGTAGCGGTGGATATGCTGCTTGTTATACCTACAGCTGCAGCAAAGGTAATCATCTGATTCATGTGTCTCTAGCCAAAATAGTTTTTAGTAGGTTAACTTTTTGGTTAATGGTTCTTAGACTTCTTCTCTTCCATGTCTTAAATGAGATTCATGGGCCACTCTAAATCTGGAACCATTCTAATATTCCTATTAAAAAATAGTTTTTGAAACTAAGTCTCATAATCAGTCTGTATATTCTCCCTTTTTCTTGTTGCAAAAACCTTACTTAACCGCCATTAAATGAACAGGTGCATTTGTCGGATGCTCGCTTGAAGGAAGCATCTTCACGACACGTATAAGTGAGAACTCACGGTTCTATGGGAGCCAGTCCCTAGCTGCGTCTGACATCCTCCTTGGCTCTTTGCCTAGACCACCTGCTGCTGCTGCTCTCTACCGTGCGCTTGGCGATCTGTATCAGAAGATGGGGAGGTGATTCTAACACAGTTGGAGGGAATTTGTTATTCTGACTTTAATGATGGAAAAGTTCTTGACCTAGAAATTTTCTTCTTGGTGTGCAGTGAAACTGTGGGGTCTCCGGCAATATCTCCATTGTCTGAAGACTAAACTTGTTGAATTGGCTTCATCTCTTTGGAAGAATGATTGACAAATTATCTTGTATAGATTCATGCAATTCTTGAATGTACATAGTTTATGGAGGTTTGGTAGTTTGTGGTTGTAAATAAACATACATTATGGTATATTTGAAGTTATAAATTGTTCTGGAATAAAAGAACTAGTTTCAAAACTTAAAGCCCCTGCTTTATTTTTTGGTTTTGAGATCGTAAGACTGGAAACAGCTTTACAAGAACCATAAACGCAAATGAAACATTGTTCTCATCTTACATAGATCTAAGTGTCACATGCTTCAAAGAGTTTTAAGACCCACACATTCCAGTTATGAGCTCAAGATGCTTGTTCATATCAAACTCTGAGCCAGTCTTTAAAGATGTTTCTTCAGCTTGCATGATTCATCTTAATTCCATTTCACTTGGCAACTTTCTTCTTCCTCAGAAGATCTTCCACTTGGAGCTCGTTGATCTTAGCAGCAAGAATGAAGTCGTTTTCGGTCAAACCACCTGTTGCAAGAGAATCCGATATCACTTAGTCGGCACTTACAACTTATAAAGTTCACAAAAGAAATAGTTTTTGATGAGGGGCTTCTTAAGGTTCAGGCATTTGATAGGATTCATATCTTCATATCAACAACACAGACCATGATTCTCACCTATCGCATGAGTCCATATCTCGATTTTCACATTATTCCAGCCGACCAGATGCAAATCTGGGTGATGACCTGCATCATACCGATCCATGCGTGAGACAAAAGTAACAGATCTTCTTTGAGCTATCTTTGTTTAATCTTATTCAGAAGGGTCACAGAACACGTGTGCTGTATTGCTGATGATTTATTTACCTTCTGATTCAGCGACATCAGCTACACGTTTGAAGAAATCTAGCCCCTTTGTAAAACTTTTCACCCTCCATGACCGATGCAGCTTTAATGTATCATTGTCATTGGCCAAATCCCATCCAGCAACCTGTGTAAAAGGAATAATTGAGGGATACATACTATAGACCTCACCTGCCATAATAAGAATTACAAGCATATTACCTTTTGAAGTAGGTCTTGTGCACTTTGTTCGGTCATGGGGCGCAGATCCTTGGAATTGCATGGCACACACTTTTTGGCTAATAAATCTAAGACAAAGATATAAAAGCAGAGGGAAAAGAATACCATATTAATAACTAGGTTTGGTTACAAATGCTGTAGAATATAACCATCAAATCCATCTTTTAACCAATTAGGTAAAGAAGTGGTATATAAGGGCAGCAACAAGGATATCATAGCAATATATTCTAAAACTTCAAAACTTTAGAAAGGACATGACAAAAAAGTTGGAATTTACTGCACGACAGCAGAAAACTGCTTTAGCTAGTAAAGATATGAGAATGATGAATACTGATACTGGAATTAATCTGGTGTAATTTTTGTCTTTCCATAGAGTTACACAATGGAAGAATGACACTTGTTTGAAACTTATTCTTCCTGACTCGTCATCATCTTTTGCCTCTAATTCACCACTGACTTATCTAAAATAGAGATGGGAAGAGGCTAAGGGGTCTCCAATAGAAGTTGTTCCAATATCACAGAGGTGAGTGACATCATTTGCTGGGCTTATATTATAGAAAAAGCTTAAGCTTCCTAGTATAGTTTCTCTATAAGAGGACCTATGTTCGCCACATACGATACAGAAATCAATCAATTGGATGTTCATCATATACATCAAACCTCAACAAACACAAGTACCAACAAATGAATCATGTCATGATTCAGTCAAAACAAGGAAATCTTGATTCAAATATCAAATGTTATTATGTTAGAGCAGCGGAATGATGAATTTTACCTTCTAGGGAGCAAAATGTTCTAGCTCCAGAAGCAGAACCACCAGCTGTGGATGATATTACACTATCTTGTGACATCTTACTCGTCCAATGAACAAAACTGCAAGAAAATTGCAAAAATAGATCATCTTTACATGCCAGAACTTGTGTAAATCCCATAGAAACTTGTCCTCTATGTAATTTAAACAAATGGAGAATAACATCAAATACACCAAAAGTTGTAGGTATTAACAAATCAGTGAATTTGATTTCACTTCTTGAGATTCAAACCACAACAAGAACAACAATTTGAAAGATGAACACATACATATCAAACCCAGATTATAATCACAACCCAAGTATCAAAATCCGTCCTTTGCTACTATTCTTCACCAAAACCAAAAATATAATTCAAATCATTACCGTTTGTGACGTCCGTACAGATTATTAAACAATGATGCAGCTGGAACCTGAAAGTGTCAAAAAAAAAAGAGAGGTAACACACGCAAATCCCAGATATACATACATGCACATAAACATACACGAAGAGGGAGATTTAACCTGTGTTCTGGAGATTGAGAAAAGTTTAGGTAGCAAGAGCCGACTCATTGGTGCCGAAGCGGTTTCGGAACAGAGAGTTTTTTTTTTATACCTATCGTGAAAGTGAGGGGTTAAATGCCAAAAATTATAAGTTTACGGTTAAATTTGTAAGAATCTAAAACGTATGGAGCATATGTGAAAACGATGACGCGCGTCTCTTAAAGCTGCTACTTGCTTTTAAGAAGAAGAAAAGAAAGATATAAAAAAGTATCAAAATTGCGAACTCTGAGTGTTGGATTAGGCATCTGGAGAAAAGAGACAAGTGCTTCTATGGTGAGATTTTGGTTTTCTCGAAATTATTATGTTTCTTTATTGGAGATTTTTGACTCATTTGGAGATCACATTTAACTTGAATTCTCTAAAAAACCACTGAGAAACTTGTATGATCTTATCACTCGGATTTGTGTCTCTCTTTATCTCAAGGAAGTTGTTCTTTAAATCATCTTCATCGTTGGATTATTGATACTCTCTGATGAACTTGCTATTTCTAATTACCAAAACCCTACTTTAAAGTTACTTTGATTGAAACCGCATCCTCTTGACCCTAAAGTTTTGGAATTTATGCTATTCCGTACATTAATTCTGTTACTTGCATGTAATTTTTAATATCTGTTGCGTAAAATTTGCAGTTTTGGTGTTGTTGTTAGTTTACTGCATTGGTTTTATACAATGAGCTTTGATTTCACAGATTTGTGTTATGTGACAGATTTAAAGTGCTTATGTTTAAATTCTCTGAAGAGTTTTTTTAAATCAACATCTTTCTGTTTGATCTTGCAGAGTTGAAATTATCTGTCTTGAGAAGCTGGTAGATTTTTCTATTGATTTAACCATGGGTGAAAATGGGGAGAATCATTCAGTGTCTCAAGAGAGTAAATCCAAGAAGCTTGATAGTAAAAATAATTCAGGTGTTCCCAAGAGTGATCTTTGGACTGATGGGATTATTTGTGCCTTTGAGTTTATGCGAGGTCCGAAAAAACATGTTGATTCAAAACAACTGGATAAAGGTTACTTGAAGCAAGAAGATGAACCAATCAGACATACTTTCCCTGGTCATAACCCGTTTGTTGATTCGTCTGCCAGGTCGAGGTCTGTATCTTCTTTGGATTTTAAAGAGGCTCATGTGCTTCCATCAGGACATGTTGAAAGATATGAGGGAAGTCATTGGGTACCTATTGGTTGGACTAGAATAACTGAACTAGTTCAAATGGTGCAAGTAAACGCGGAGTGGCCTAACCTGGAGTTAATGGATGATGAAGAAGATGTTCCTGTGACAGATTTAGCGGCTCCGTATTGGGAACGACCAGGTGGCCCCACATGGTGGTGTCACTTGACTGCTGGAAACTCTTTTGTTGACGGATGGCTCAGAAGTGCTACATGGTTGCATCCCGCAATTAGCCTTGCATTGAGGGATGAGAGTAAGCTAATAAGTGAACGGATGAGACATCTTCTATATGAGGTATGTGCCTTGTTCCTGATCCAAATATTCAAGTTGAGTGTCAAAATTCAGCCACATAATTTTCACTTATAGACATGCTCATTCAAAATACCGCCATTAAAATATTTATACTTGGATCATAGTGGTTTTGGATAGGATTAAAGATGTTTGTTAGTCTCTGAGCATAGTAAATTTTCATTTAGTGTTATTTGAGATGTCTCATTACAGTTTACTTTAAACACGTCTGGTGTATTTTCTTAGATGTTGTTGTCTTATTACTTACATTCTATGTATTTCCTTAGGTTCCAGTAAGGGTGGCTGGGGGTTTATTGTTTGAACTTTTAGGACAATCAGTCGGTGATCCAGTAATCAGTGAGGATGATGTACCCGTTGTTTTTCGCTCTTGGCAAGCGAAGAACTTCTTGGTATCTGTGATGCACATAAAAGGAAATGTAACGAGTACCAATGTCCTCGGTATCACTGAAGTAGAGGTTAGTTCAAAAAGTGTCAAAATATTCTACTTAATAAGATTCTTTAAGCTTAAATAACACAAGGCTGTAATATGGATTCTGACCTATGTTAATTTTCCTTCTGATTTTCCTGATAGGAGCTGCTTTATGCAGGAGGTTATAATGTACCAAGAACGGTTCATGAAGTTATAGTCCACTTGGCTTGCCGTCTTTCTCGATGGGATGATAGGTGACAACAGTTTTCTGATTTACCTTTACTCTAATGAACGCTTGTTTAGGTTTGCTGACCAGAAAAATGACTTGAGTTTTATACCATGTTCTTGTCTGGAAAGTATCTAATTGATTCTTTTTGTTGTCCTTGATTGGCTATAGGTTATTCCGTAAATCCATATTTGGTGCAGCCGATGAAATCGAATTGAAGTTTATGAACAGGTTCTTAAAAATATGTATCCGTTTGTTTTGGATAATACACAATGCATGTTTAATTAACAGATACTATCTTTCTTGTTATTAGGAGAAACTATGAGGATTTGAATCTTTTCAGTATCATTCTCAACCAAGAGATCAGAAAATTATCAAGACAGGTCACCTTCTCTTCATTCTCAAACCTGTGTTGATATGTTTTAAATGATATTTGATGTTTGTGCGTGGGATGGACTATAGTCATGGCTCATGGGCATGACGTCTTCCTTTTTTTCATGGCAGGTCATCCGAGTGAAGTGGTCACTACACGCGAGAGAGGAGATTATCTTCGAGCTTCTCCAGCATTTGAGGGGAAACATAGCTCGGCATCTGTTAGAAGGTTTGCGAAAGAACACAAGGGAAATGTTGGAGGAACAAGAAGCAGTTCGCGGGCGTCTCTTCACAATTCAAGATGTCATGCAAAGCAGTGTCCGTGCTTGGTTACAGGTTCTTTCTCCACGAAAAAAATTAAAATCGTATCTCATAAATCTAGCATAATGGATCCATTTGGCTAAAACCCGAGTTTGCATTTTTAGGACAAAAGCTTGAGAGTAAGCCACAACTTGGCCGTGTTTGGAGGATGTGGTCTTGTGCTTACCATAATCGTAGGACTGTTTGGGATCAATGTGGATGGTATCCCGGGGGCGCAGAACACACCTTATGCGTTTGGTCTATTCACTGTACTTATGGTTCTCCTTGGAGCTATTCTGATTGTGGTTGGTTTGGTTTACTTGGGGCTCAAAAAACCCATTACAGAAGAACAAGTTGAAGTTAGAAAGCTGGAGCTACAAGACGTGGTTAAGATATTTCAACACGAAGCAGAGACTCATGCCCAACTCCGTAGAAACAACCTTTCTCCTACTGCTGGAGATGTGTTTGATGCTGATTATATTCTCATCCAGTAAACAAACTTGGAATCTAATTTTCTTGTTTTGATACTACTAAATTTAGAGACATGTCAAAACAATGTTGTTGCATAAAAGACACATAAAAGTAGTCTGAATCACTGAGAGAACAAAGCTCTTAAGTCGAGGTCTCTGTTAAATTTTTACATGCCAGCATTTATTTCGCCGAAATTTTGACCAAATATTCATGTCTTCCATTTCATTTCTGAAATAGTATAAGAGTGAGTAACGAAGAATTTTACTTTGGCTACAATTATTCTTAAACCCAAAAACAAACCAAAATGCGGAATTACTGTGGAAACTGTATTATGTATCATGAACATTTCTCAAAGAGATGAACAAAAAAATAAACTAGTTCTTCTTCACAATGACTGTCTTTATGAACTCCATAACTGTTGTAACTAATTGACTTTGATGTTTGGTATAACAATGATCAGCTCCTTCCACAATCTCCAGCTTGTGGTTCGGTATGATCTTTGCAAACTCCTTGGCATCTTCCAGGGGTATTACCTCGTCAGCCGATCCATGAACCGTCAAGACCCTGCCATTACAATCAATCACGGTTTGTTTATATCTCAAACATGCGATATGAGTTAGAGAGAACTCGGCGAATTTTACCTGCATTCTTTGTCAATCTTGAGGCAAGCTTCATGCATATCAGTGTTTAACCTTTCCATTAAGCTCTTCTCAGTAACACGAAACCCAGAGTTTCCTGTAAAAGACCAGCACATTGATAAAGACACTAGAGTACTGATTTGAGACAGTACAGGAAGACCAAAGAGCGATAACAGTACCTTCTTTAATATCGATGAATCCTTGTTGCTTAATTCTTTCCAAGAAATCTTCCCCAAGACGCTGTCCTATGCCTTCCTTCAGATCATAACGTCCCGAGAGATTGATTACATTGTGGATATCGTGATACTTCGAGGCATAGACTAGGACCACATCACCTCCTATGCAATGTCAAAATAAGTTGAGTTTCTTGCAATGTCAGTTTCACCCCTTCTGTGAATCAGTTGTTCGAAGCAGAAAATCAAACAGTCCTACTTACCTTTACTGTGGCCGATAATTATAGGAACCACACGGTTCATGTTAGTAAAGTATCGGATAACAGAATGTAGATCATCAGCTTCATAGTTATAATTACCAAAATAGAAACTGCCTTCACTCTCTCTGCAACAATGGAAGCGCCACAACCACAAGATCAAAACAAAATCCAAATTCTCTGATGCAAAACAAAGATAAAGCAAGCAAGAGAAACAAACCCATTCCCAGAGAAATCAAAACGGAAAGCGCTGATCCCTTCTTTCTCTATAGCAGCAGCAACATTTTTCATGACCAGGTCATTCTGCATAATTTCATAAGCCAATGAAAAGTTTAATTCATATATAACCCCTACCAACATATGCTTCCACCTTTAGCTTACAAATCTCTAATTAGCTAAATGGTCAATGCACTTACTCTAAGAATTGCATAACCAATAATCAAAGAATAGAACAGAAAATTGCGGTAAGATTTTCAGTTATTCAGTAGTGTATAACCTTTCAAATCACTTATTCTACGAAATGATCGAAACGACTAAAACAATAGAACTCTTGAAGTCTTACTATCTAATTGGAATAAGCAAACAGCTTGAATGGCTTCAACAGATTTGTAGCTTGCCCTCAACATTCATATTGATTACAATCCAGATTCACCCATTATCTAACTCCATATTTGTAAACACAAAGAAAGTTCCAAAACAACGAAGATGTCTAGCTATCAAAAGGCAAAACCTTTAATCAACTAAAAATTACAAATTGAACTAAAAGTATGCAACTTTACAAGAAAGTCTCAGATCTCTGTTACCACAAGAGCTGAGAAAAAAAAAAAAAAAAAAAGCTTGCCATTTTACTTAAGTTGGTGAATCACTGATTACAATTCCTAATTCAAATTTGGATTTAAAATGACACTAACCTTGGTTGATCGAAAGCCATGGCACAAGACAACAATTTCTGTAGAACCAGTTTCATGAAGCAGACCCACAAGCTTCTCATTGTTGCTGTTCGGAATCACTATCTTCTGTTGTGTAGTAGCTGAAATTCCCTGAGACGAATCCATTCTCAACTTGTTTGCTTTGTTGCAGGAGATTCTCTTCTTCGTAATGGGAAGCTAACCTTGAAGAATGAGAATGTGTGAAAAGGGGAAACTTTGTAATCTAGAGAAATGTGAGGAACATATTGCAATTTATGGAAATGAGTTTCCATTGTTGTTTGTTTCATATTATTGTGGACGGAATCTGATGACTCCTGTTTTGGGTGGAGATAAGGGGTAAATGTCACGAATCATAAGTTTACGGTTATATTAGTAAAAGGAAAACTTAATGGGGGCGAATATGTAAGAAAGAGACAGACTGTATATGAAGCGCGTCTAAGAAAAGCTACGTTTGGGTTTTGAAGCATTTCTCCTCCGCTCTGTGTTGGCTTTTGAGGTAAGAGCTCCAATTTCGATTTGGCATCTAGAGGAAAGAGACGAAGAAGAAGGAATCTCCGATGGTGAGTCTTTTTTGTCTCCTAATAATCATTACGCTTCTTTCGATTTTCCCCTATCTACTTTTTAGAAAACTTGAATCTTTCTTAGGGTTTTTGGGCTGTTTCTTTAAGAGATTATGCCTAAAGTTAGTAGAGGTCACGTTGAGTTGATTTCGTTCCTTTCAAACTTGGTTCGCTTGAAGTAGATTTAAGTTTGATATAGCTTAGAGTTTTGAAATTCATGATTGTTACTTTAGGGTTTGAATCAGTAATGACGTCTGATTGGATTTGTTTTTAATTCTAGGTGGTGCCTTTTTTCTGAATCTGTTTTGTTTGAATAGGTGTGTGATTCCATGTAAAAGTTCTTAATCCATATTTGTAAATTGTTTCCTTTGGATTCTGTTGCTTATGCTTTTAATGATCTCTTTGTTGATTTGGTTTTCGTCAGAGGATTCTTTTCTTTCTTCGTTGTTCTTGAGTTGTAGTACTGTTATTGAAACTAACTCTTTCCTTACGCTTTGATATAATTGATGATGAAAAGTATACTCATCTCTATATCAGGCTACTTTCATTGCCCTTTGGTAGGGTGTGAATTATATGTGCTTCTATCTTGTATTGGCAATGGTTGTTGGGTGTTAGATGAAAAATTTGACCTAGGAAATGACGGAGTCGACTGTTTTCTTTCATTCAGTTTATACTATAGATTAATCATCAGTAATCGTGGCACTGTATAATGTTAGCCGAAGAGAATTCATCTTCAAGTGTAAAAACACTGCATTTTTATGTTTATATTTACTCCTTTTACTTCCTGATGTGTAGGCTGATCCTGAACTAGAAGCTATTAGACAGAGGAGAATGCAAGAGCTGATGGCTCGACAAGGCGTGGTAATTTTTAATACCTTAACTGATATCTGTTTTTTTTTTCTCTAAGATATGTGTACTTTGTGGCTCGTTTCCCTTTTAAGATCTTCACTAAGCTGCATCATTAACAGGGTAAGCAGGGCAATCAGCAGAATCCAGAGCAAGAGAAACAGCAGGAAGATGCTAGAAGGTGTGTGTCATTTTCTATTAGTTGACATGTATTATGTTTATGGATTTGGAATTGTATTTTTAAACTAAAGTGTTCTCTGATTGGAACATTCGTGTAGGGAAGCTGATGAACGTAGGCAAATGATGCTTAGTCAAGTATTGTCTTCTCAAGCCCGAGAGAGAAGTAAGTCTCATCTAAAAATGTGTTGGAGTTCATCTAATTACTCTCCCTTTTTTCTTCATTATGTCATTAATATATCTTTTATACTTCTATTTCTTTCTTTTTTTCGATAGTTGCTCGAATTGCCCTGGTGAAACCTGAGAAAGCTAGAGGTGTGGAGGATGTTATTTTGAGGGCTGCTCAGATGGGACAGATAGTTGAGAAGGTAAAAATTCAGTCACTTTTCCATGTCATAGTTCAGAATTCTTACATACCATCTGGTTTCTACTCAAGTGCCGCTGGTACTATTATGCATCTAAGAGTTATTGAAATATACTCTGTTTGCTTTACAGGTTTCTGAGGAACGACTTATAACACTGTTGGAACAAATAAACAGCCAAACTACCAAACAAACGAAAGTCACGGTAAGGTCACACAATCCTCAAAAACATAAGTTATTAAAGCAAAATCATTGCTCTTATCCCAACCATCGATATCATTGAGTGTAAATTTATCTCTGATGTGTATCTTCACTCGTGTAGTACCAACGGCGCCGTGGGGTGGACGACGATTAGGAAGGAAGAAGAATATTATGCTGTGCTTTATAGATCTATGGAGATCTCACTGTTGAGTAAGTGAGTTCACTTAAGATCTACTTAAATGTTTCTGTTAAATATGTTTATTGTGAGTGAATCTTGATTATCTTTCCAAATGCTTCGGATGAGATTAAAGTAATCTGAAACTGAAATTTTACGTTTTTATTTTTGGCATTTCCTCTTGAGAACTATCTCCATCTTCCTCTCTCTTCGCATTGCCTGTTATGATTTGAAATTTTGAATATTATTAGAAGGAAAAATGATTCTGTTCTAATTCTACTTTTCATAATTTTGATGTTATTGCTACTAATTCATGGTATTCTCAAGCCATTTGCTTCTTTTCTGACTGATTAAAAAAAATCGCTCAAAGTCTAAAGTAACAACAACAACAAGAAGTTGATTTTTGATCCTCAAAAAGAGTGAGAAATGATTATGTACCTTGCTATTTACCAAAAATACAAAAAGCTCGTAGTTAGCTTTGACACTCAAAGTAGTTAGATGTTACTTCAAATAATCAAATAGAAAGTGGACATTGTAACCAAACATAGATGAATGCAAACAAAAATGCTAGTCTTTGTCCCTCAAAAGTCTAAACAAATTGAAGAAATAAATAATTATGTAATAATATCTATCCACCTTACTATTTACCAAAAACATAAGGCTCTTAGTTCACCTTGACACTCTAAGTTGTTAGTTGTTACTTCAAAGAATCGAAGAGAAAAGAGATGTATCATGTCTTTAAAAAAGTTAAAAATATAAATAATAACTTTCTTCGAGACCATACATTATTTAAAAGAAAATGTTCAGTAGTATCTTTTTATTTCATTTTAGTTTTATATCGAATTTAGCTTTGTTGCTTGTCGAATTAAAGATGAACTCAAAACTCACATGTTTGAAAATACGAAAATCTCAAACGTAGAATCAAATCGTTTTGTGATTTTTAAGGATGATCGATCACATACGTAATGTATGCTTCATTAGTTCATAAAATTTATTATTAGTACGTCGTTCGAATATCGATAAGTCATTATCATTCGATAAACCATCTTTCACACGTAGACTATGACGTAGTTCTACAATAATAAAGTGGCTATTTTGAAGAAGTAATTAAAAAACAAAAAAAGAAGACAATTAAACAACATTTTATGCAAAGTGTTCTACGATCCGTACACTAATCCGTCTATTAAAATTATATACGCTAAGACTTGTTCTTCTTAAATAGTGATTAGAAAATGACATTAGTGGAGTGGATGTTGAACTTGAATTCTCGAATTCGATTGAGCCTAAACGTTGACTTTTGACTTTTCCAGTCATTGATTTCCTTTTCGATTTCCTAATTCTTTTTATTTTGTCGGCTTGTCTTTGGTCTTTGTTGTATTTCATATTTAATTTATCTCATATACTATAAATGAATTTAACAATAGTACAATACCCATTTGTTGATGATGCATCTTTTTTTTTTTGATTTGATTATCTATTAGATCATAGAACATTTCGGTTTTAAAAGTATAATTCATTAATAAGAAATGATTTCTGATATTGAAGTTTGTAAACTCAGTCCACAATTTTTTTTGAATTTTTGAGAATAGTTAGACCGTCGATGGTTACAAGAATGGAGAGAGCTGAGATATGTGGACATGAACGGTAAGGACATTACTAAAAGTGAATTTTCATTGTTTTGAGGAGATTAAGGATAAGTAAACATACTTAACGACTATATTGGGACATGTTAAACTAGTATTAAATATTTTTCAAATAAATCATGTAGATTGGCTCATTGCCATTTACCAATTAACATACCTACAGTATTACCTAACATATTACCTGCTCGATCGTCGAAACATTCATAACTTTAGTGTCACACTCAACTAGAAATTAGAATAATTGATATGAGTAGTTCAAAGTCATACTTTCATTTTTTTGTTGTATAATTTAAACTAGAACTGTATACTTTTTAGTTTTGACGATAGAGCTTTACATCTACTTGTGATTTGTGAAACCAAAGCAAAAATATCGACAATTTTTTTTTTTTTTTTTTTTTTTAATATCGACAAAATTAAAACTAGCAAAAAAAATTGTAGGTGGAAATGTCAAAGAGAAAGCGACAACCGTACCGTGCACCCTTTTTACTTGTACAAGTGTCTCCACACTTTACCTATCAATTAGTCTAGTAGTATTTTTGAATTTTATTAAGATAACTTTTATCTATTAAATCCTAAATTTTCTAGGAAGAATTCCTATTTATTTAATAAATAACTTAAAGCTAAAACGGAGAACCGCCAACCATGGGAGCTACCAATCTCCGTAGAAGTCTATCTTCATTACATACAGAATTCGAGGCTCTTCTTTTGGCGATGAAGTGTATGATTGGTGCAGGAGGTAGCGTTCCTTACAGACTGTTTTGATCTGGTGAAAATGGTGTCTTCTCCAACCGAATGGCCGACATTTTCAGTGTACATGGTGGAATTCTAGAGCGACAAGGAAAAATTCTCATCCTTTTCTTTATCTTTAATTTCTCGTAATACTAATGTAAAAGCGGATAATCTGGCACAAAAAATTCGTACAGAACCACTTCATATCACATATGTAAGGAATGACTATTTTGAGCTCTAATTAATTTCGGATGACAAAAAAAAAAAATAACTTAAAGCTAAAACGTCTATTTGACTTATCAAACACCACGTTAGGTTTATTGTAAAACTTTTCGGTTTTATCATAATAAGGTAATCGACAAAATCCATTAGAAATGCCAAACAAAATTTCGGTTAGTGCTTATCATTTTTGATCTTCCTCCATGACAAAACAAAAAGCAAATGAATGAAGCATTTTTGGCTCCATAGAAATAGTGTTGTTGACCTGTTCTCACTTGAACACTTATGGTAAAAGAATATTATTATGGTTTTAAGCAGTAGCGGAGCTAGAATTTTAGTTTATAGGGGTCATATATAAATAATTATTTTTATTTAATTATATATTAATAATAAATCATTTATTTTAAACTAAATAAAATATGTCTAAGAACAATTTTGAAAAAAAACTAAGAAAAAAAAATAGAATATGTCTAAAAAAATTAGTATTGTATGTACCACAATTTTAGAGATTTGTAGCCATATATTAGAAAAAACATAAAATAAAAAATGGAAAATGAATTAATGCTAAATAAAAAGTAAACATGTGAGGGGTCAAATTAAGGAATTGATTGTTGGCATGAGGGTCATTATGGAAAAATTAAACCAAAATATCCATAATTATTGTCACTTACCTTAAAAAAACAAAAAATCATAAATGTTATGGGGGTCAATTGACCCCCCTCCCTCTTCACTGCCTCCGCCACTGGTTTTAAGCCTTTAAGGTTAGTTAGAGCACTTCCATCAGTTAAAAACTCAACTGGGTGTCTGAAAAATAAAATAATACTAATTATTTAATTATTTTTTATTTATTTGAACCAATCAACATGAAACAGCTCTAGAGATGGGTGTTTCAGAGTGTCTCAACCCGGAAACGTTTATGTCCTCTCTCCTCCTTTTTCTATTTCTTTTGTTTATTTTAATAGAGAGTTTCTCTCCTATACACTCCCAATGGAGATGCTCTTACTTAGTTGCTGTACTGAAAAAAAAAACACGAGTATGGATAATGGGTTCGACCTCTCACATAGAGATTAAATCCGTTACAAATAGTATCAAGCTAGCAGTGATTATAGACTTAAAGAAACCATGGACCAAAGTCACCAAACACTCAAAATTCTAAAATTAGAAAAAAAAAATACATAAAATGACATAGGGCTTGGGTCATCAAAGACAAGAAAAAAGGAGAAGGAATAGCACATGACATGCACGACTTTGCTGACCCTTATTAGGGACCTATAATGTAATTATATTATACTTAGGCTATTATGTTAATTTTCCCTAAGTATGTTTAGGGTTTCATGTGTAAGATGTATATATACTCTCTTCTTAATGTCAATAGAACACAACTTTCTCTTTATTCTCTTATCCCCTTGGCATGGTATCAGAGCTAGGGTTTTAAGAAGAAGATCAAACAAAGGGAGAAAGAGAAGAGATTATGGCCGACGGTGAGAACAGTGATGGGAAAGAGCTCGGGCCGGCGAAGACTGCGGAAGGCGGCGGCGGCAGTGGGCTCACGGTGGCGGAGAAAGCTAGGGCTTCGCCACTGTATCTCCATCCTTCGGATGGACCGGGTAATGTGATCACTACTGTTCAATTGAAGGGAGAAAACTATGAAGATTGGGCTAAGCATGTGCGGAACGCCTTGCGAACGAAACGGAAATTAGGGTTTATTGATGGGACCTTGGAGAAACCTACCAAGGATGATGAGATTGAACAGTGGGAAGTGGTTAATTCTATGTTAATCGCTTGGATTATGAACACGATTGAGCCGACTCTCAGGACATCGATTTCTATGGTGGATGAAGCTCAAGCGTTGTGGGAAGATTTGAAGCTTCAATTCTCTGCGGGAAACGGGCCAAGAATCAGTGAGCTTCGGGCTGATATAGCAAACTGTAGACAAAACGGGGACACGGTAATGGTATACTATGGGAGACTTAAGAAGATGTGGGATGAATTGGCAATTTACAAGCCTATTCGATCATGTAGTTGTGGAGAACTGGCTGCTCAGTTGGAAGAAGACCGTAATGAAGAGAGAACCAATACCTTCTTGAATGGTTTAGATTCTGCGAAGTTTGGTACAGTGCGTTCTACTATCACAAGTATGGAACCACTACCCAAGCTCTCACAAGTCTATCAAAGGATCATTCGAGAAGAGAGACAACTCACGATTACTAAGAATCGTGATGCCAATCCGGAGGCTGTGGGGTTTGCGGTCCAGGCTACGCAACGGGGTCAAACTTCCAATTTTTATCGCGAGAAGGACGTGACGTGTACTCATTGTGGTAAGTATGGGCATGCAAAGGCTGATTGCTTTCAGATAATTGGCCTTCCTGAATGGTGGGGAGAACGAGGTCGTGACTACAGTTCTCGCGGTAGAGGTGAACGTGGACGTGGAGGACGTGGTGGCCGGTTTGGACGTGGTCGCGGGTCCGGTGGTAGGGCTAACGCGGTCACGGGTGTTCAGGCAAATATTGTTGGGGGAATACAGGCTAATTCAACAAGGACACCGGCTGATTTGGATC